AGGCTAATCCTAACCGGATTAAAACAATTACTAAATAGCCCGTTCCTACGTCTATTAAAGAGCTTCAATCGTTCCTAGGTTTTACTAACTTCTACCGTCGGTTTATTAAGGGCTATTTACGGCATATAATGCCCCTAACTGAGCTTACTAAAACTAAGGCTAACCTAACTAGAGAGTTCAAATAGACTAATAGAGCACAAGCCGCTTTTAACGGCCTAAAGCAACGCTTTACTAATGTCCCCTTATTGCACTATTTCGTGCTAAGCAAGCAGATCCGAATTGAAACTAACGCTTCACAGTTCGCTATATTAGCTATTATGTTATAGCAGGCTAATAATACCTATTAGCACCCGATTGCCTTCTTTTTACGGAAGATAATCGATATAGAACGTCGGTACGAGACCTACGAGTAAGAGCTCCTAGCAATCGTAGAAGCCTTTAAGTACTAGCGCTATTATCTCGATAGTGCTTAGCACCCTGTTTAGGTCTATACGGACTATAACAACCTCCGTAGAATTACGAAGGTTACTAGGGTTATAGGTCGACAGGCTAGATAGGCCGTCTACCTCGCCGGGTTCGATTTTAATATATTACATCGGCTAGGCGTAAGTAACCCTACTAATAGCCTATCGAGGCGACCTAATTACGATAGCGAAACCTAACACATTAATTCTCTGTTTCCAACCCTATAGCATAAGATTGCTATAGACCTTGCTATAAAGCAGGCGTAGGATAAGCGGACTTCCGGACCCCGCGGCGGCAATAAATACTATAGCGGAGTTATCGTTCTTCTAGTATACGTTAAAAGAAAGGACGTAGATCGCTCGAGCTATAACGACTCGATTGAAGATATTGCTATCTATAGCGACAGTACTGTAGAAGAGGTTGCAGTTAATCCGGCTGCTAGTGCTATTAGATGTATATAATGCGTACCTCGTTCGACAGCGAGGGTGCTATTAAATGACCTTGCAAATAGGGATAGTTAATCGTTTATAGATAAGCTGTTGCGTACTTAGCAGAGGGACGCCTTTACTATCGAGCGCATTAATAAGCTTGTAAGTAGGCGGGCGACTCGATCTAGCAAAAGTAACAACAATTGGTCGATCGACGACAAAGGTTACTTAAAGTTTAAGGGCAGATACTATGTCCCCGCTAAACAATCGATTAGACAAGAGCTTTTAAAGAGGCACTATAATAGTGAACTCGCTAGTTACTATAGCACAGAGAGGTCGTACGAGTTACTATCGCGCATATACTACTAGCTAAATAGTAAGCGGTATATAAAGGAGTATATGCAGACCTGTGCAGTATGCTAGCGAGTTAAAGCACTAAAGCACTTACTATTTGGCGAGTTGTCTTCACTCCCTGTTCTAAAGAAGCCTTTTGCAGAGCTTACAATAGATTTTATTACAGGTCTTCCCTCTACTAAGCGAAGAGGAAGCAAGGATATCTTTAACGCTATCCTAGTCGTTGTAGACCGGTTTACTAAGGGCGCTCGATACATCCCGGCGCGGAAAGATTGGACTGCTATTAATATAGCAGAAGCGCTATAGAACAACATCTTCTATACCTATTAGGGGACCCCTAAAGGGATAGTCTCTAACCGAGGCTCGACATTTACATCTTATTATTAGAGTAAGATTTGCCTACAGATGAGACTCAAGCATCGCCTGTCTATAGCATTCTATCTACAAACAGATAGTTAAACCGAAAGGCAGAATGCTACGCTGCAGCAGTACCTGCGCAGCTACATTAATAAGAACCCTAATAACTAGGTTAATCTCCTATAACTAGCCGAATTCGTATACAACAATAGTGTCTACTTATCTACCAAGGTGTTACCTTACTTCGCTATAATAGGCTAGAACGCTGCCTTACTACAAGATCCATTCACCTCGCTCGAGGCCGAGCGCAAGGAAAGGGAAGCGTATCAAGTACTAACCCCTAAAACACTAGCGGCTATTAAGAGGGTTTAAAAGATGCAAGAAATTTACGCTATAATAGCTAACAAACTAGCAAAGGCCTAGGCCTATTAGAAGGCCTACTATAACAAACACTATACGCTAATGACCTTTAAGCAAGGCGACATAGTCATGCTTAGTATAAAGAACCTCCGCATCCGCAAACACCTATTACCTAATAGCAAAACAAGGCCCAAGCTCGCACTAAGATACATTAGCCTATTCCGCATTCGAGAGGCTAAGGGTATACAGGCCTATTAGTTGTAGCTTCTACCTTATTATACTATCTATAATACCTTCTATGTATCCCTCCTTAAGCTATATCACCTGCGCGAGGGGGATAAAGCCCCTGCTAAACATGAAGACATACTAGCGGATAGTAAAGAGCTGTAGTCTGTAGAACGTATTCTAAAGCACCGGACTAGGCAAGGCAAGAAGGAGTACCTATTAAGATAGCAAGGCTATTTACCTGAATAGGACTTATAGGAAGCTAAAGGTTCCTTTAAGGATATAACTGAGTTATTAGATGAGTATTAGACTAGTATAAAGAACAAGAAGAAGGCTAAGGGCCTATAATGTCGCCTAGGAACAATGCTACCCCCGGGGTGCTATTAGCTAACTAATTAGAGGCCGGCAAACTAGGACAATAAGACTACACTAGGCGCGCTACGACGCGTCTATTAATCAATCGCATGCTCTTTCAAGGACTCTAACTCTTTACTAACGCGCCCTATAGGTCCCCCTCTTGTTCTCTTATTCTGTCGGGGCTTTGAGGCCTAGGCAATCGGCGAAGACGGCGCGGCCGGCGCGGCTATATTAGTGACGGTATTGCGGAGTATACTGTTAGTTAAAGAAGAAGATTAGAAGCGAGGTGAAGTTGGCGCTAAGACGACTAGCGTCGCTATTATTAATATTACCTAGTCGCTACTATTATCAACCTCACCTGCGTTAAAACTTTAAGGCACCTTTAATCAAAACTTTAATCAATAGGCTTAAAGCTTTAATTAAAACTTTGAGCCGCCTAAAAGACTAAGCGACTAATAGACTAACTAAGGGCAAAACTATAGAGCTAAGCTAGCCAGGGTCGATCTTGCAGACAATAGGTTACTCCTCGATCTATCTAACCCTTTAAGCGAGGCGAACCTCTACTACTGCACTTATAATAGCCTTTACCTATAGAAACTAGAAGAACTGAGTTTTTTAAAAAGATAAGATAAGATTGACACTTAAAGGCTACTAAACCTAGCTAATTAGGGCTAGCGAAACCACGAACAATAAGAATAATAACCCTCGGAAACGGACAAACCCTCGGAAGCGGACATTGCTAGGTCTTTTAAGAGTAGACGCAAAGAACTCGATACGATATTACTTAGAACGGAGGCAGTGCTGCAATACCTCGTACGTCCACCTATTATAGTAGGGAAGACGCGCTCGTATTGTAATTAGTCGAAGGCCTTTAATTCTTGTAGATATATATCACTTCATAGTTCATTATATGTAGAGGTAGCGCAGTTAGAGTTGTATATTGTGTTGTTGGAGGTAAGGTTTAATATAGTTACATAATTAGGTGGTTAAGTGTTTAATTTAGCGCGGGCTAAGCAGCTTATTAGACTAGCTAAGTTAGCGGCAATAGAGGTCGTAGGACATAGATAGGCTACGAGGGCGCGGCCTTTGGAAGGGAAGCGTATATTAGAGCCAAAGAGGCTACACGTGATTAGCATGTAATTAGGCCGAGTGAAGCTAGGGTCTTAGTGCCTTAGGCAGGGCTTGGCGCTTGGCGTTAGGCCAACTCTCCTGCCTTCCTCCCTCTCCTCCTAGATCCTTATCGAATACTACCTATACCTACCACCACCCTATCTACCTGCTAACATACCTATCTTACACCTTTATACTTCAATAATAGCAGATGTATGTTTAACTATATACTAGCTTCAATTCTTAGCGTATAGCTCTATATTAGAAGGAGAGAGATAGTTATTAATTATAGCTAGAAGGCTATAAAGACACGCGGAAGCCGTAGACTATAGGAGACCTGTATCTTCGTAATTTAAGGGCTTACTATAACGAGGCTATAGAAGGCCTATCTTAGCACTTCTATTGTATCTATAACGATAAGACAGTCGACCTAATAGTGCGCGATAAATATATGCGCGGCTTCCTACGCAAGGTTAAAGACACACTATATAGCCTTACTAACTACTTACTTACTAACTTCCTCGAGACTAGAGCTCCTAAAGTTACGTTTATAGGTAAGCGGCTACGGCCGTAGACCTTATAGCCTCTACTATAACTAACGACTCTAACTCGGTCGACAACCTTCTAATCTACCTTCTAATCTACTAATATAGCGCTAGCTATAGCGCGTACGCCGCGATAGCAACTACGACGTATTAATTAGGCTCCGCTATCTTTATCTACGCGCCCTTACTTTCCTTAGCTTCCGCTATTGCCCTTACGTCTATTACTATTACTATTACCTTAAAGGCCTTAAAGGCCTTAAAGGCCTTAATAGCCTTAAAGGCGCGTTACTAGCCTAAATACTTAGTCGGCGTAGCCTATCGACCTTAACTCGATTAAAGAGGTAGACTTAACCGAGCCTATAGCTATAAGGCTATTTATAGACCTTATAACGCCTTAGCGACCTTCTAGGGTTATAGACCTTAGCTTAGAGTCTATAGTAGCCTCTTAGTTTAACTAGATAGATAACGACGACGCTATATATAAGATATAGTATAAGAGAAGGACTTCTAATTAATATAGAGATAGTAGCAAGAGATAGCGATAGCAATATAGGCCGATAGCTAGCAATTAATATTAGTGCTAACCCCTATTAATCTATCGACCTAATTAGGTAGGCCGCTAAGCTAAGAACGCTCTCCTTCTTAACCTATATCGTTACTATAGCGCATGCCTTGCTTAACCGAAACTGGTTATCTTCCAATATTAGGGCGGTGCCTGCAAAGTTTGGTAGCGCCTACCCAGAAGAATGGTACACTAAATTTCTGGGACATACAAGCATAGCTTATTATTTTGCGTTGTTCAAGGGAGGAGGAGGAGGTCAGAGTTCTGAGAGAGCGTACACTTCCCGACGATCCCCACGGTCCCGCGGTGTTGGGTGCTGGGTGCTGGGTGCTGGGTGCTGGGTGCTGGTGCTGGTGCTGGTGCGGGTGCTGGTGCGGGTGCTGATGCCGATGCAGTTGTCATTGCCGATCTGAAGGCATGATGGCATGTCTAGCAACTCACTCTGACTTGGACACAACATGATGAACCAGTCTGGTGATGGTCCCCTTGTGCAATGCCACACGAAAACACGCAATGCCTCCACCTCCACACAACGCAATAGAACTAATGCCTGGCTAAAGAGCTGCACACCAACTTCACCAAGTACAATCACGTCTTGCCGCGTTACCTGCGCAAGCCTCAGCATTACGGAGATACGTGTATTCAGGATTCAAGATTCCACACCCCTACGCTACAGTAGCTTTGTGCTCTCGAGCCTCGAGGCCCGCATGATTATTCTCCCTGCGTCGGCATGTGTGTATTCGAAGGTTGTACTCACCTCGCATTATGAGAGACACATCAACCATACACCTTGACACCCTGCGCCGCCCCGAAAAGGATGGATGATTAGAATAGTAGGGAAATCACAACCACAACAAGCCTTCTGTAACGCGAGATCACCCACTGATTCATGTCAAAACCCAAGCCAATGCCGAACCAGCATCACTTGACTTTGTATTATACATCGTCGCTGCCGTGTCACGCTTGCCAATCTGCGAACGCTTGAAACGGACGCAGTGTCATCTGCCGGCGTAAAAGGATTGTCGCACGAGGCAAGATGTGCAGTGTCGCGCCCGCGCCCTCCATCCCCGACACACCGACCGCATCTTGTGAACAGTTCGACGCAGAGGCAACACCGCCTTCGTGTTTTCTCCGCGACACAGACATCTCCACCAGTCGGAACTGCCACCAAGACGCGTTATCGTACCTTGTACAAGAGAAGCCATGCAGGCACGCTTGGAGTGGCATTAAGCATGTTCGGGTTGGTAAGGTTGTTGATGCAGCATTTCGCTTTTCACCGAGCCTTGTTCATGATCAGACACCATGCATTGGAGTAATGACAACACCGAGAAGAGAAACCCCTCCGCTGCACCTGGAGTGCTGAGTATCGGCAATGGCGAATAGCAACCACTGTTCACGAAGCCATGTGACTGCCCTTTAGCCCTTGCTCCTCCTCCTTCGTTGCTCAATGGAATGGTCACTGAGCAATGGCGACCATGTCTACATGTAGACTGTTGCCTGCCATGACCTATGATCAGTGTGAGTTGCGTTGCGTCGCTGCGACATAGGAGAGTCCTGGCGAGCTTGCTAAATTCCCTGCCAACATCAGTGTATTTTTCTTTGCACAAACAAGAGTCACAGACACGCCACTAACGCGATGCACTACATTTGCTGTCCTTCTCGGCAGCATCGAGACATTACATCTCCAGTCCCTCCAAGTCGACCGCGGATCGAAATGGACGGCGCTCTGGACAGCATGTTCGCACAATGTATACTGCCAGAAGATCACCCTCACGGCCGGCGTTTTCATCTCTCGCCCGTTGATTTCGGAATTCTCAAAAGTCCAAAGATCGCAGACAAGATCAAGCTCAAGATGGGAAGAAAAAGCTCAAGGACATTGAGGAAGCAGCTCAGTCAGATCATGGACGGACCGTACAGTCCTGACGCTCACCCTATGACATCAGCCTCAATTGTTGATGCCACTGCTACACCTTTGCCCGAGGAAGGCGACAGAGATGGGGAAAACAGCCAGCGCCAAACCTTCCCATCGCGCGTACCGAAACGTTTCGGCACCGCATCCGCTTCAGATGAAGCCGCGCAGCTCCATCGCGCTCGGCCTGCTATCTACAGTCCTTCGGTCTACAGCAGATCCGCAAGCAGAGTGGACGGCGACAGGCCAAGAGCTGGAAAGTCCACCATGAACCGGCTCATGCGGCCAAATTCCGACTTCTTTGGCCTTGCTTATCGAATGATCCTTCCAAGAAAGCCTTCCATCTCCACGGCCGGCGACCGCCACTCACGACACAACTCAAGACACCTCAGTGCATCCACTGACAGCACTATCACTCGCCGCTTGGAAGAGTCCAACAATGTCGATGGCACTTATGACACCCTCTACGACCCGGCCTGCTATTTCGATCATTCGGACATTCGACTTGATCCTGGAAATCCAGACGCTTCGATGACGAAGGCTAAAAGGCAGTCCAAAGTCCAAGAGCATAAACGGCAGATATCTGAGCACAAAGAACGCATTTGAGGCAGCGGGTAACGGGACGAGTTGTGGAGGGAAGGCAAATTGAAATTGTCGCTTTCCTTCTTGGATCATCAGGACGAGCGGTATCTCATCTGATTATTGGCTACTTACGTTGAAAGAGCAGCATGTTTGTTTTGTTGGTATAGGTGTTTGGTATTGGTGTTTGGTATTGGTGTTTGGTATTGGTGTTTGGTATTGGATTGGATTGGCATCGCGGGCGTTGGTGTCTTGAGATCTGGGGGGTTCAGAACTGCATCTGTTTTCTTGAAGTTTATTTTATGATAATGAACCGTTCTCAAGTAGGACTTTAAGCAAAGAGTCCTTCAAGTATGACCATCTTACTCAGCTTCTCAAGGTCGTGGTCCACGCCTGCGCTAATTAGTTCTGCTCCGACCTGAAGTTGCTCCCTAATTTGGTCGTTCGTGGCTTCTTTTAACCAGGCATTCGGCATGATCGTGAAGAGATGAGCTCCGATTCGTACGGCAACGTCGGGGATCTTCACTGGTTGAGTAGATGCTGCCTGGTAGCTCGACAAGAAACTGCTCAACAGCGCCATACCACTGGCTCTACTGCGGAATGCCGCAAGACAGTACATTTCTGCTGCCTGTATACCATTTTAAGTATGTCAAAGTTTCAACCAAATGTGTCCTCCTCGGACGACTTACCATTTGACCAATATCGAACGCTGCAGTGCCCGCTTTAGCCAATTCAAAGTCCACTACACATATATCTAGCTCTTCATGTCCTGCTTTGCATACCAGGATGTTGCCAGTCCAGAAGTCACCGATCGTGAAGACATCATCCGCTTCGAGAACGTCTCGTGCTCCTCGCTCGGCTGCCGCGACAAAGCATTCAGCCTCAAACCCATGTTTTCGTGCTTCAGTAGGAAGTCTAGAGAAATAGACGGCGGAGGAAAGGCTTCTGGCTGTCGAATTGTTGTCGAATTGCGATTTGACCTCGGTGCTTATACTATGGATCTCCGCTAAGTACCGGCCTAGAAGGGAACCGATCTTGCGAACTTCATCGACGTCGGAGTCGGCTTGTATCCATGACTTTAACGAAGGGACGTGACCTGCATCTTCTAAGATGAGAACGAAATTGGTCGCGTCAAAATAATAGATCCGCGGGACTCGGATTCCCGGGAATTCTAATGCGGAGAGCACTCGCAAGGCTTTCTCTTCGAACAGCTGTTGTGCTGTCAGCAGCCTTCTCGGAGTCGTAGCAGATATGAATTCACCATCCTGCTCTGATCAAGCTTATACTGTTTTGCTCTAGCTGCCCATCCCTCAACATGCTTAATGATCATTGTCTGAGGCTCCGCTTGTTGATGAGCCCTGAACACAAAGCCAGAGAATCCTTCAGTGAGTCTCTCCACCATAAAGCACGAAGCATACCCCTTTGCTTCGAGGTACAGCTTGACCTCGTCCTCCCTTGTCAAATCCATGAATGGCCAAAATTACCAGATGGTCAAGTCCGGCCTTCCAAAGAATCGATCACACCAAATCGAGGACTTGCAATGCCGGCATATGCGGCTTCAGATGCATTGAGGAAGATTACGGGACATCAAGCTGCAGTCTATGCCGGTCTTTGCCTCGAATTGTAGGTATGGTTTTGATGCACTGGCGCTGCACTTCTGGAAATGAACCTTGGACTGCGGCTCCACAGCGGCCTCGTCAACACCGCAATATTCAAGCGCTCGCTGAAGCTCAATGCGAGACAACATTCACAGAGTACGATCTGACTCTGGCATGTCTGTCGAATGTTGATGAGATCAAGAAGATGAGACGCAAGGCAAGACCGGGACATGATGTATGTGCACGGACCGGCGCTCAACGCTAAACCACATTAGCTTCTTGCCAAACCTTAGGCAGGCACCCTTTCGATCACCCGTGGTTGCCGTTCTCACGCTGCAGCCTGCAGTGGAAACTCACCTGTGACCTGAGGGCATCTTCACTCACAAGCTGCCGCTTTCCACGATTGTCACAAAGAGCTGGGGACTGAGATCATCACAGACTTCGTGTTCAGCCAGCAGGAATACATCGCCGTGTGCAACTAGCCGGCCTTCAACATGAACCAGGCATCACCGTACAGAATGTGACCCGGGACAACAGCACATCGAGTCGACCATGGACATCTCTAGCGGCACATCCAGTCCCACTTCGACTGCAACATTGCAGCGTGAGAATACGCATCGGTCTCCTCCAACCACACCAGGCTCAAGTCGCTACTCCCCGAGATACCAGTGGACTACCCATCTGTCTGAAGACGCGGTCAGGCTCGTAGCTGATCTCGACAACTTTCTGCCCCTAGGATGTCTTTGCTTTGAAGGCCTACTTACTCCTGACGAGGAAGACAGTAATATCGGCGCGTGGCATGAAATAACGTCTACAGCAATCCTGGGCCAGGAGACCCCCACCTCATCAAATCTGGCCAAGCTGCTTCAGTCTTGTTGGATCCGCATGCAATACTCTCAATGTTCCTACCGGCCACAATGGTCCGTATTCCGGATTTACCTGCTATCCGAAGACGTTGAGATACATGAGATCGATAGGAACAACCGACATCTTCTTGCAGCCCTGGGAAACATTCTATTGGAGATCAACACTGAAACTCGAGCATGGAATGGTCACTACATACCGGAAGAAGCTTGTGCATTTGACTGTTGGGCAACTCAGGAAAAGGGTAATCCTAGCCTTTTCTACCTTTTCAATCAAATACCATCTCCTGCGCCTTCGCCTGAAAATGTCCAAAAGGGATTCGCACGTCAAGCTCTTGAAGATGTCCTCGGACGACGGTATAGCATCCAAGGTCTTACAACGTCATTATATCCGTATCAGCGGCGATCCGCAGGAGCAATGCTGCATCGAGAGTCCACGCAGCAGCGTAATCTTGACCCGCGTCTGGAAGAACGCGTCGCGCCAGATGGGTCCACCTTTTACTACGGTCCAAGAGGCCTTCAATTCTTTCGGGAGCCTAAGTTCTGGGAGACACCGCGCGGCGGTGTCCTCGCTGAGAGTATGGGTTTGGGTAAGACTGTCATTTGCTTGACACTGATTCTCGCCACCAAGAATCACCTTCCCAGCTTTCCAAAGCAGTATTCGACGGTGCCAGTCCGATCCAAGACTGGTAGCTTATCTCAAATGGCGATTTCTGCGATCAATCGAAGTTCGTATTCCTGGAAGGTCGAAGCTGCGCGGATGCGCGCTTACGGTCAGAGGCTTCCTGAAAGATGTGAACAGATGCTGGAGGAATATCTCCCTAGATACCAGATTCCTGGAGTACGGCATCGTTGGAATCGATATACGGTCCTCCCTGCGCCGCAGGACATCACCATGGCACCGACGACCATAATTGTTGTGCCGGGAAATTTGATTAAGCAGTGGCGGCGAGAAATCGACAAGCATGTGGAGATCGGTGCCTTGAAGGTGCTTGTCGTAGATGATCGGAAAGTGCTTCTTCCACCACCAGAAGAGCTGAGGACTTACGACGTGGTACTTTTCACTCGTAATAGATTTGATTTGGAAGATCAAGACGGACAAGATAGTACGGGACGACGGATGTCTACAGTACCACTCGTCTGTACGTGTCCGTATAGAGGGGCAACAAGAGATCGCATGTGCACCTGCTTGAAAGAAGCAGATTTGTACAGAAGTCCTCTTAAGAAGCTTCATTTCAAACGTTTGATCGTGGACGAAGGACATTTCTTCTCGAACAAGAACACCAGTTCTACGATTCGAGTCGCTAAGAACCTGATCAAGGCTGACAATCGATGGGTCGTCAGTGGTACTCCGGCAAAGGATCTACTTGGTGTGGACATAGGACTAGAGAGAGCTGACAGCAGAGAAGAGCTACTGGAACGCCGGAAGACCTTCGACAGCAGACACGATGTCGAGGGTGCTATCGACACCGTCAATGCATTAGCTAGCAACTTTCTACAGAGCACACCATGGCGAGCGAATGACGCGAAGCAATACATTTACCGGCATACAGAGTTCTGCAACAAAACATACTCTGGCTTCAGTGTATCTTTTCGACGGGTGTTGGACAACATAGTTATCAAGACTCGCCCGGAAGATGTGGACATCGAAATCCCCCCGTTCACGCATCAGGTGAAATTGCTAGAGCCTTCCTTTTATGACAAGCTCACTGCGAACCTTTTTACGCTGGTCCTTACCGCAAATGCTGTCACGTCCGAGCGAACCGACGCAGATTACCTCTTCCACAAGAAGAGTGCGAAAGACCGCTACCGACTAGTGTCCAACCTAAGACAATCTGCATTCTTCTGGTCTGGATTCTCTGAAGCGGATCTAGATGCGAGCATCAAGAACAGTACGGGTTATCTTGCCAAAGAAGATACTGGCTGTGGACCGGAAGATCGACAGCTCTTGCTCGCCGCATTAGATTCAACAAAAGCCGTGCTTGCATCCAAGGGTTGGCAGGCAATGAGTCGGTCGCACGAGTTAGGTATTTTCATCGATGACTGGCCTGAAGACAACGCCGAACACTGGGCTTTCGACGAAAGCACGGACCCTCTATTGACCGGTATATCACAGCTTCTGGAAGCTCAGAAGTATGTCAACCTACGATTGCATTTAGACGATCCGGGCGAGGAAATGTCTGGGGTGGGCATCCGATCGCTTGCTCCAATAAGAGATTCCGATACCAAGGCTAAGGAAGGCGATGAAGATTCTCCAAAGGCAAAGGGCAAGACCGTGAACGCAATTTTGACAAAGTCTGGCATTATCGCCTCGAGCCTCCGCGGCGAGCCGCGCAAGCGAAGATCATCAATCACTAGCCCTGGAAAACCAACCACTTCTCGCCATTCTCCGACCGCTAAACGTCGCAAAGTGTCAAGGTCGAAAGAAACAGCGACACCATCGAAAGAGGTTGGACATGGAGCCGTGATGACAGACGATGCGGCAAGGCTTTCTGACGATTCGCCGTACAGCTGGACGAGGATCGTGGGAACGACATCTTCGAAGCTGTCCTATCTATTGTCGCAGATACTAGAGCACTACTCCAAGGAGAAAATATTGGTTTTCTACACGGGAGACAACGCGGCCTGGTACATCGCGCAGTGCCTTGAATTGTTCAATATCAAGCATGAGATCTATGCGAGATCACTGTCTGGCGAAAAGAAAGCCCAGTATGTGGAGAATTTTCAAGAGAAGGAAGAGTTGAGAGTGATGCTTATGGATGTTGGTCAAGCCGCCTTCGGACTGAACATCTGTGCCGCATCTCGAATTTACTTTGTCAATCCGATCTGCCGACCTCACCTTGAGTCGCAGGCGATCAAGCGAGCTCACAGGATTGGGCAGCTCCGCAAGGTCACAGTTGAGACGCTTGTACTACGGGGCAGTATCGAGGAGAAGATGCTGGATCGTAGCTGGGAGATGTCAGAAGCGGAGCACAAGGAGGCAAAGGCTTTGGAGGACGATTTGGGCATGAAAGCAATCATCCAAAGTGCTCGACCTCTGCCTTTGGATGATGCTGAAGCAAGCCCCGGATTCGCGAGAATGGCTCCTCTTGATAAACCAGAGCAATTGTGGTGTCGAACGGGATGGCGCGAAGGCACTGTGTCTCCTTCGCGGAAGAGAAAGCGAAGCGCCGCCCTGAATGCTGTTGCCGGTGCGAAGGAAAGCGAGCGAACCATGCACGAAGAATCTGGCGAAAATCACTCCCACCCGCAAGTGCAGATTCAGCGGTACAGTGGCTCGATATCAAAAACCTCGGAAAGAATTGCAGAGCATTTGCAAGTCACTGGCATTGAGTTTGCCGGAGATGCAACGAAGTCTTGAACTGTACACCACCCTGTACGGAGGAATAGAAGCAAACTATCCTCAGTTCGATCCTCTGCGACGAAGCCGCATCGTCCTTGTTAGCAACCAGGTCTCGAGCATAACCGCAGGCGCAAGATCACGAGGCCAGAGGTGACGGACGGTCTTCCCAGAGAACGATGATGAAGTTCAGTGAGTATTTCGGCTGAAGCGCTGCCGATGACTCGAAGATTGTGGATTCATCCATGTTCTCTCAGGATCACAGGGAGACCTGCTCTGCGAGATCAAGGCAGCTCCATACTCATTTACCGCTCTCGCGCCCGTTTCCGACGTCTTCAGCTGGTGCAGACTTCAGCTCCGTAGTCGCCTATAAATCGTCAGTATACACTATGACTGGAATTCTACCATCCCTGAACAGCAGCGACTCACCTTCTTAGCCTTCTGCCTCTCCCTCTTCGCCCGCTTCTTCTCCTTTTTCAGCACTTCCTGTTCCCCCCTTTCGCCCTCCATTTCCTCCAAATAGCGCATGATGCGTTTGGAGTAGTACTTCGGCTGATTCTTGAGTCGATAAGACGCATCGAAGAAAACTCTCAGCACCGATTCCTTTTCAAATTCGATGCCGACTGAGTCCTCGCCATTCTCCTGGCCACCTTCGCGGGTGATGGTGCCGATGATGTCGTAGGTGACGCCATTCGCATCGATTGTTTTGCTGGCTTTTACGCTCTCGAAGTCTTCCCGTCCATCGCAAGCACAGATCAGGAGTATCTGCGATGTTCCCGAGTCGGCAATGACGGCGTGCTCGATCTCATGGTTTTCATCTTCCCACATCGAGAGGTTGGATAAGAGATTCTGAATACAGCGCTCATTGATTTTAGGCATTGTGGAGTGATGGTCATTCGATCTAGTCTTTCTTAAGTGCGAAATTTTATGGCCTCTAGTGAAAAGTTAGTGTGAGGAGCGCGTCAAGTGCAGGCGCGGAACAAGTTGCTTCTGAAAGTGGAGTGTTTCGGTGAGGATGCGCACAAGTTTGTCGGATGGTGTTGTGATGCTTTGTCAAGGCAATCGCGATGAACTAACGTGCAATGCACCGCACAACAGCCGATCTGAAACTATGTCAAAGGATGGAAAATTGAAGGCACAGGCAGAATGTTCTTGGATATCATTGGAACGAACTACCGTGCATGCCGTGAATGCCTTGTGAGCCTTTTCGCTCTTTTCAAGGACCTTCGTAACGCCGTGACCACCTTTTCCCTGGATGCTAAACGCTTACGATGACTGAACAAGGTCCTTCTTGAGAGTACCGACAAATTGCTTCTTCTCGGCAGGTGTCTGGTATGCACCGTGACCGAACTTGCTGGAGGTGTCGATCCATTTGAGCTCGACCTTCTCGAGCGCGCGGCGGGAGGTGTGCACGAACATAGACTTGCGCAGGGTCATGACACGCTTCTTTACACCAGGCACAGAACCCTTGAGCATGACGAAGTCGTTCTTAACCTCACCGTAGCGGACGAAGCCACCCATACTGCAGAAAAAGGTCAGTACAAAGCCATGAACAGAAAGGTTGCGGTTCCAACATACGGTGTGATCTGCTTCTTGCTGTGGTCGAAATCGGTGGTGGCGTTACCATCGTCGCTGCCCTTGCCAATGCGGTAGACCTTGTGGTTGACAGAGGTACGGTGGTGGTAACCCATTTGACCGGCACGGGCAACGGTCCACTGCACGTGGGATGGATGCCATGCACCGATACAAGCGACCTTGCGAAGACCCTTGTGTGTCTTGCGAGGAAGCTTCTTGGTGCCCCATCGGGAAGTGACACCCTGGAAACCGTGACCCTTGGTGACGGCGATGCAGTCAATCATCTCGTCCTGCTCGAAGATGGAGTCGATCTCGACTGGCTTCTCGAAGAGGCCGTGACCGAATTCGACTTTGTCGGCGATGGAGCCACCGTTGACCTGGATTTCCATGAGGTGTGCCTTCTTCTGCTTGAGAGGGGTCTTGGAGATTTGGGTGTGGGCGAGGACACGGACGACGGTACAGTACTTCTTGATGCGCTCGAGGTCGCGGGTGATGTTCTTGCCGCTCTCCTCAGAGTGCTTCTTGGCGTACTTGGTGAAAGCCTTCTTCTTGCTCTTGTACCAGTTCTTGTAGAATCGGCGCTTGACCTCGTCGGAGAGATGCTCAGCCCAGACGGTGGTCAAGGAGCGCAGGCCGCGGGGAGTCTCGATGTATCCAACCAAACCAATGACCATCATCTGTGAGTGTACGGATCAGCGCATGCCATAAAAGCTGGTATTGGCGCCAAACTCGTACCGGAGGAGTTTCGATGACCGTGACGGCCTCGACGATCTCCTTCTTGTGCAGCTTGGCACCTGGACGGTCCAAGTCGCGCACGATGGTCGACATGCCGGCCTTGTAGCCCATGGCGGCAGTGAGGTGGACGGGCTTCTTGGGGTCGTCCTTGGGAAAGCTGCGATGGTGAACATGCGTCAGTCAATCTTCTCTCTTGCTTCCATCCCGTCACCCTCCCATTCCGCCCTCAGCATGCCTTTCCAATGCTGCACTGGATACGCACCTCTTGACCTTTCCGCGGTGTCTCGATGCGCGCTTGCGTGGCAAGAATGCCAGCGAGCCATGGCGAGGCGCCTCGAACTTTCGGTGCGACATGTCGTTGGGTTGCGGGCAGGTGGATGTCGCTGCTGGACCTGAAGTTCAGAATCAAACGTTCGCTTTCAGATTTGGGCCATCCAGTGCGATTTGCCAAGCCAAGGCGCGCTAGAGCTGAAGCGGGCAAGGCGTGTCTGCCTTGAATCTCAGGCTCGCAAAGTTTCCCACCGTGCCACCGCCGTTGCCTCTGCCTTCGCCTTCGCCTTCGCAGCGGCCTGTTGGTGAGGGGTTTCACTTTGCCTGGGCGTGTGTATGGTGATGTGATGTCGCTTCTCTTCTGCAATTGAAGACTTCAGCATCACGATGCTTGCTGTTCTCGTGACTCTCATCACAGCGGCAGCAGCCATCAGCAACCATGCCACTGCTGGCATCGAGGCACTGGTCAAGCGACGCCTTCCTCGCCATGTCGATGGCTTCTCTTTTTCCATCGACCCTTCCTACCCGAGCGCATCGTCCTCGACACCTCCCAACGACCGATATACAGTAGCAAATGGAGACAATGGCACCATCTGCATTTCAGGCAATTCGCCAATCGCCCTTGCAAGTGCACTTCGCTGGTACTTGGTCAACGCCATGCACGTGGATCTCTACTGGTTCGTCGGGAGCAACTTTGACCTCGCACCAGAAGCATTGCCACCACTCAAGTCCACCTATCATGGCTCCTCGATCGTGCCCTACCGCTATCACTTCAACACAGTGACATTCAGCTACACTGCCGCTTTCTGGAGCTGGGAGGAATGGGAACAGCAGCTCGATTGGATGGCTCTCCGCGGCATCAATCTTCCTTTGGCCTGGGTCGGGTTCGAAAAGCTGCTTCAAGACGTATTCCTCGGCGCCGGCTTTACCAATGCTGAAATCGGCACGTTCCTCAGTGGCCCAGCTTTCCAAGCCTGGAACAGATTCGGCAACATCCAAGGTTCTGTAAGTGTATCTCAACTTGAGAGGCATGGCTCGGCCTCGGTTGGAGACCACGCGATCAATTTCAAGAACTCGATCTCAGCTTTGCTTGTGGAGAATCGTGCTATGCTTCGTTGACATTCACTAATTCTCCCGTCCGCTTGCATTTAGTGGGGAGGAGACTTGCCACAGAGCTGGATCGACCATCAATTTGAACTTAACAAGAAGATTGTCGCTCGCATGGTAGAGCTCGGAATGACACCAGTGTTGCCATGCTTTACGGGCTTCGTGCCCACACAAATCAGCAGGCTGTATCCGAACGCTTCATTTGTCAATGGATCCAGATGGAACGGCTTCCAGGCAGAGTACACTAATGTTACATTCCTGGAGCCATTTGATCCACTGTTTACCACGCTACAGAAAAGCTTCATCTCCAAACAGATCGAAGCATATGGGAATGTTTCAAGTATATACACATTGGATCAATACAACGAGAATGACCCATTTTCAGGCGAGCTTGCCTATTTGAAAAATGTCACTTCAAACACCATCAAGAGTCTCAAGGCTGCAGATCCGGAAGCGATATGGTTCATTCAAGGATGGCTATTCTATAGCTCGGCTGACTTTTGGACTGATGAGCGAGTCGAAGCATATCTGGGAGGCGTTGCAAACGAGGACATGTTGATTCTGGACTTGTTCTCCGAGTCACAGCCTCAGTGGCAGAGAACAAATTCCTACTTTGGCAAGCCCTGGATATGGTGTCAACTGCACGACTATGGTGGCAACCAAGGTGAGATCGAGTGTCGACGAGGAATGCATAGTGCCCAGTTGTCTGACTCCTCAATAGGACTTCACGGTCAAGTCGAAAACGTGACCATCAACCCAGTGCAGGCGTTAGCAAACAAGACTAGCACAATGGTCGGTATGGGCTCGACCATGGAAGGCCAAGAAGGCAACGAGATCATCTACGATATTCTCCTTGACCAAGCCTGGTCAAAAGAACCAATCGATAGCGACAGCTACTTTCACGATTGGGTCACCTCACGCTACGCTGGATCTAAGCTCCCCAGCGGACTTTACACTGCCTGGGATGTCATGCGTCAGACAGTGTACAACAGCACTGACATCGAGGCCGCTGAGGCCGTCACCAAATCCATATTTGAACTAGAACCAAATACTACTGGACTTCTCAATAGAAGAGGTCATCACTCGACTCTGATACTGTACGACCCGAATGTGCTGGTAAGCGCCTGGAACGACCTCTACAATGCTTCAAATGACGACATCCAGCTCTGGGACGTAAAAGCCTATCAATTCGATCTAGTCGACACAACCAGACAGGTTCTTGCCAATGCATTTTATCCGCTCTACACCGACTTTGTGCACTCTGCCAACAAATCAGTACAAGGCACTTACTCTCCGACCAAGGCCGAGGAGAAGGGAAAAGAAATGATTATGCTCCTCAAAGATCTCGACTCCGTCCTGGAAGCGAGCGGCAATGCTCACTTCAAGCTGTCGTCCTGGATTGAATCCGCTCGGCTCTGGGCTCCTGCTGAAGATTACGCAGACGACAAGAACACCACTGCAAAAATCGCGGACTTCTATGAATACACCGCTCGTAACCAGATAACTTTATGGGGTCCAAATGGCGAGATCAGTGATTATGCATCGAAGCAATGGGCTGGTCTGATCAGGAGCTACTATGTGCCACGATGGCAGCGCTTCGTCGACTTTACACTAAATAGCACTACATCGATGAACGGCGAGAACGGTGCGTTGAAGGCTAGTCTTACGGCTTTTGAGCTTGCGTGGCAGCTTGAGACTTCGACAGCACCGCATGCGAGCACATACTCGCAATCTGATGGCGGCAATCTGAAGGATACCATTGCAAGAGTGGTAACAGCATGGCCCAATGTGTTCAAGCCTTAGATGTGTGAATTAATTTGCAATTGCTGGCTCTGCTTCCTGAATTGGGGCTCTACATCTAGATTGTCTGAACACGTCTTATCGTTTCCCATACGGCACTAATCGTCATCTGGCTCAGGTTTTGGGTCACCAACCAAGCCTGCTGTCATATTGTTCATTCGTCTTGCAAGCAAATCCTCATGACTCGCAAGCCGGTGGACGATTGTTCGAGTATCAGCAGGACTCATCCTACCAGATCTCACCCTTGCCCGTCTTCGACTACCACTTGCGCTGGAATTCGCAGCAGCCCCAGAGCCGGACTGGCGCCTTGGGTTGGCATTGTCAATCTTGGTCATGCGTAGCCTGCCAGGCACGTGAAGTTCAAGTGGCTTGTCGGCATCGGAGTTCGAAGCTGATACGCGACGAGAATGGGTGCGCCTGTGCGTAAAATAGTCCTTCCCGGCATCACCATCAGCGGCAGGCGTGGCAGCCGAAGAAAGAGGCTCTTCAGCGTCCAGTTCCGTGAAGACTTTCCTCATCCATCGACTGCAGAGATGTATGTATTGCCATGCCTTGGGGAACACCGACACGAATTGCAGAAAGCCATGGCTGACTCCGGGAACAAAATGGACTTCTACGTGCTGACGGTCATCGAAGCGGGCATCTTCAGGTTCCAGTCCCAATTCTTGCCTCCGCCTGAACTCGAACAGTTTGGCTTGGCGGACTCGTCCGGCAAAGATTGCAGTATCGTCCACAAGTGGATCGCGCTCACCGCACAGAAGAAACATTCTTGGGAACTTTGTCAGCAGCTCCTCGGGCGCTCTGACCGGCGAGAGGAGGAATTCGGTTGAAAAATCCGGTCGATTGTGCTCGCCAATATATAGCAAAATCATGGATCGCAGCATCTCTGGCGAGATAATGCGGTCGTTGAAGTAAGATATCATGCTGCTCATTGCCAATCGCGTTTTCAGTCGTGGATGGAAGGAGTCGTTTCGTGCTAGCATTTTCCGTTTCGGTAATTCTCCATTTGCATCGTCATCTTTTTCGTTGTCCGAGGCGTATGGCGTATTGGGTGTCAGCTTTCGGTAATCCTCTGTCTTGCGGTCGAGGATGCTTTTGTTCTGCTTTCGCCGCTCTGGAGCCTTAAGTAAAGATAGCTGTTCATCAGATATCCAATTGCCAATGTTCATCTCCAGAGCCGGATATATTCCTACCACTGCATCCGGTGGCGGAAGCATATTCAGCTTGTCGCCATGCCGCCAATTCTGGTATGGAGATTGAGCGTCCAGTATCATCAAAGTCATAGCAATTGCGAGATTCCCTCCAGCACTGTCGCCTGCGACAATCACTCGTGGAATCATCTCTCCCGAGAGACCAATACAACGCCCGCGCGTCGCAAGAAGCTGGTAGTACACATCATGGCACTCATTGAGAGCATATGGATAAGGGTGTTCGGGCGCCTTCTTGTAATCCAGAGCCAGGACAGGTATCCCGAGTTTACCTGCCCAAGCAAGCAGCTTGTCGTCATGGCATCGTGGATCCATAGCCACGAAGCCACCTCCAGGAATATCCAATACGATCTTGTCCTGCCGTCTCAATTCCGAGTCATCCCCATCGAAATACAGCCATGCATCCACCGGGTCATGGTAATCGCTCTCTTTCGGCCTGCGGAGCTGAATCTTGCGCGGCTCATACTTCATGAACTTTGGTCTCATGAGCTTCGTCAAGAAGCTGAGCACGGGACTGTTTGGCTTGTTCCAGCTGACTCTCAAATGCTGAACGTTCAGAGCACCTCTTACTCTCCTCACCATCTCATCTGCCTGCTCGGCACATACGAGGTAGTAGACTGTGAACACAATTTCGCACGTGCTCCTCAACCATGCAGGTCGTAGATGCATTGCTGTCCAGAACCCGGCATCGAGCGCGGTGGTGATCCATGTGGCGCGGAAGAAGCTGCGATCATACAGACTTGCCAAGGGCTCTGGAGACTCAAGACCCACCACTCTTGCAAAGTTGCGCGTGACATAGAGCAACACACAGAAAATGACGACTGCCTGGTGAAGGGAGAAGCGTCGCGAGAGCCATTTCGAGATTTTGTTGATCGGGGGAGGCCCGTTCTTGGGGGCTTTTCGGAGGTAGAAAGACCAGAAGAGGACGACGGCGAAGACTTGGTACTTCCGAAATCGAGTAGAGGGTCGTCCAAGTATGTGGTCTGGGGGTCGCGTGAGCGCGGCATGGCCGACATGCTCTGTGATCATGTGCTTGACTCACCAATCATGGCCTCAGCCTACTTCAGACCGAACACAAGCAGAGCATGAGTACACGATGCTGCCAATCCTTGTCTCTCAGCCTCCGTCTGCTCTCGAATTGTCTCGTCAAAGCCGCCGCCAGATAGCTGTCAGAGTCGATGAATAAAGAAAGCCGCTGTTCTCAGTCCAGGACTGTCCGTGGTCGTGCACATAGGAAACATGGGAAAAGAGACTTGCAAGATGGTTACTAGCGACGGTAAAGGAGGGCCATACCATCGTGACCAGCGAAGTCAAATGGCACGCCTCTGAGTGGTTGTCTTCTCGCATGTGAAAGCCGTGCCCTCTCATCGTCACATGCCAATGATGATGCCATGACATCCAGCCGCAGGTCTGCGGATGCACAAATCGGCAAGTAGCGGATAGCAAAACGGTGACTCCCGAAAACTCAGCAAATAACAGCACCTTCGATTGAAATCTATATAATACTGCGTCTTTTGCCCCCTACTATCTATAACGGCGTATATTCTCGCTAGTATACTATCTATATATTATTAAATTATTTATTTACTTAGAAGTAATTTCTTCGAAGAATTTAATTATTCTAGCGCGTACGTCTTCGCGCGTATATCGTATCTTTTTTCTAAAATAATTGTTTAAAAGACTCTAAGTCGTCGCTATCGTTATATCCCTATATCGTTTACTTTAAGTAATTTTCGAAACTTATTACTTAGAGTCTAGACGTATTAAAACAGTCGGCAACTATATCGAGTTTTCGCTTTAATAACGTAACTAGATTATCTGATTTTTCGAGAAATTCGGTATATTTTCTTACTCCGCGTTTCTCTAGTTTTCTCGGGGTATTACAATACGGCGGTATCGCGTTTAGTTGCTTCGAAGATATAAAGAGAAAGAGTAAATAAAGGAGATCGCGACGAGGGGCTGGCATACGGGAGTCGCCGTTTTGTCCGACACTCATCGAGTCGGCAAAACAATGGGCCGAGGATGCTAGTTCGTGCAACCAACGCGAGCGAGCTGCCACGGCGTATACTGCTGCTATACGCTATGCTGCTCATAAAGGGCAAGTGCCCATCAACAAGGTCACATATGCTTTGAAAACAATCGCATGTGGCAATGGGCCTCAAACATTCCTCCTTTTCCAGAAACACACCATCGAAGTACTTGATTTGGCGTCAAGCTCACAACAGAATCATGCACGTGCTCACACCGGAGGGAACATGAGATGGAATGGAATTGAGGGCAGATTGAGGTCCGATCAGTCCACGCTGACGCTAGCTAGGTCCTCTCTCAAATGCGTTCGCCACACGAAAGCGCCGTCATGTGAAACAAGTACACCAAGAAGGTAATCAGCAACATTCGCTATCATTGATTCCAACGCTCAATCTTCCATCTTGCCGCTCTGCCCAAAGGCTCGAACCCACTCGCTCACCTCAAATCCCAAGCGACGCAATGTAGACGGCTCAACCTCCAAACTATCCCTACTATCAGCCTTGGTCCTCTTCACCACAAACAGATTGCCATCATCCATAATTTCGACGCTCTGCTTGCCAGTGTCTGCTGCAACACCATCGCGCACATAGATCGTGAGGTCTGGACTGATAATACCACGCCAGTGTGTTGCAGTCCACTCCCAATGATCCTTGGGAGAATAGCGAGCATGGGCTTCGATCGGAATGTGGCATGCGAAGAAATTGCTTGCATAGAGCGAATAGTTGACAACAATGCTGACAGGCTTTGCCGAACCTGAATCGGTCAGTTCCTTTCCAGTGCTGGAGACTGACGACTTGCGAGCGTCGACATCCATCTTTTCGTCGCTATCTGAATTGAAGCGCCCGGTGTTTCCAGAACTGTCGTCATCCGAACCAGTAGTCGCGGTCCTGTTCTGCTTGGGACTGTCGTCTGGGTCCTCGTAATCCTCGTCCACTTCGCGATGCTTGGCTTTCGTAAGCACATCGACCATGACCGAATCTGTTGGCGATGAGTTCCTGACGCTCAGCGATTCAACAATATCAGCAGTTTTCAAAAGCCAATCGGCAGCTAGACGGTGATATTGCGCCATGATGTGCTCTTTGTTTCCTTGAGAGGACACAGATGGACCATCTAACTGTCTGACTTTCAGATCATCGCCCTTGCTCAGCGTCTCGGTCAGCCACGATCCTAGTGCCTTCACCGCGTCAGGATTGTCGCCCTCTATAGCAACGAACGGGCCGCGCGGTGCCGACTTTCTCACTGGTCTCGGAGGTGCGACCTGGCTGAGCACCTTGACCTTGTACCAAAAATCCAGGCTCATGATTTGCTCCTTGGCAGTCTTGCCCGTTCCTGCAGTGGCCACAGTTCCAGCTATGCCACCGCTGCTACCAGTCTGCAGTGGAGGCAGAGTAAGAGAACGGTCATGGGGAATGTGACCTTGCGAGAGGCGGTGTTGCTGATAGCCGGGTCCTGGACGTGGTGGCGGCGCCATCGGACCAGGAGGGCTCACGACACCGCGGAGACCCGGCAGGCTTTCGCGTCGTACATGAGCTGCAGTTGCGCCAGGTGGGTATGGATGTGGCGGACCTTGTGCAAATGGAAATGGTGTTCCTGGGCCCACTGGAGGTCCAGGCTGTCCAAGTGGTGGTGCTACTGCATACCGAGGAGGGAGGGACCTGCTCATTGTTGTGGGATGCTCGCCATTGTAGCGCCGGCGCTTGAGATCTGGGCTGAGTGGTCCGAGATCATCACGCTCATCTTGGTGTCCATGAGGGCCGGGAGACATGGTATTGTTCGGAAATTGCCTACCCATGCGCCGTGCTGCTGGAGACTGCAGGTTGAGGTCTCTCAACACGGGTAACGTACGTGACACCGGTGTGTTAATCGACGCTGGAGTGTGTGCTGAAGCTGGGCTGTTGCCTGTCGAGTTAATGCTGGAGTAAGGCGTAGAAGGTGCTAAGATGCTGCGGCCGCCGCACTTCTGACAACGCGGCTTTTCGACTGCAGAGCCGCCTGCTTCCGATGACAGACTATTTCGTCGGCCGCTGCGCTTTGGTTGATAGCGATAAAGTGGGTATTGCTGCTGGTGGCGGAGCTTCTCTTCCTCGGCAAGCGCTTTCCACCTACTCTTCACTTCTGGAGGCTGGTTCTGCCACTGCTCGCCTATAATCTTCGATATTTCTGGATTTGCTAGACCTGGGTTTTGAGCAACAACTTGCGCTTGGTGATTTTGTCGGTATAGAATGAACGCTAGTGCAGGTCAGTCAGATGTCACGCCGTGCATAGTCAACATAAGCACCTACCGTTGCGAGGACGTGGTATTTTGGGCTCGGGCTGGCAGATACAGACGTGTATGTCACCACTTCCGGATCTGATGTGTGCTGGCGAAAAGGCTTCAGCGTGGTCGAGGTCTTTGTCCTCCGACTGCACAATGCCGGCGGTGCGCTTTCTTGTTATCCTGATAGGGGGACTCTCCTCGGGCGTCAATGGAGTCTTAGACTCACCCTGACTCCGAGAAGGACTTGGAGATTGCCTCTGGGAGCGAGACGAGACGGAAGACGATGTACGCCTGCTGGAACTGGCGGTAATATGATGGCTGCCTCGTGTATCCTGAGCTTGAGACTTGTTCAAGACAGCGTTATCACTTTGATTCCCGTCTGGCATGGTTCGCTGCCACAGCTGTCTCGTGAAAATGATACGTCCGCCGGAATCATGAGCTGCCTGCGTTTGTATAGGAGGTAAGCACCGGCGATCTTGCGGGTTTGGTAGCGACGGCAAGCATGAATCCTGTATGGCAGACATCGAGAAGAAGATGGCAGGGTCTCACAGGCCTCTTGTTCCACTGGCATGCCCATCGACAATGAGATTCCAGTGTACCAATAGGATCGCGTGACGAATCAAGACGAGCCATTATTGCAAAGAAGCAGAGAACCTTTGTGCCTATTATCCCAAGCCTACTGTGGCATGCGGCTCTTTGTCCAATGACGAGCACGGTCATCGTCTACATCGCGCACTGCTGCGATTGTTGCGGAGTCGATACTGCACGCTTTTCTTTGTTCTTTGTTGGTGAGCGCGGGACCGAAAGCGGCCAAGCCGTAGCGCGCAGCAGCCAGACGAAACGTCAGCTGCCTTTGAGACATTCCAAGCGGTAAGCATGCAAGGAGGCGCCTCAAAGAAATGTAGGCTGGCACAACAATGCGAAGTTGCGAACAAACGGCCGTACATCCGTGGCCGCCTTAACCTCCGCTGGATCATGGAATTTCCTGATATCTGGGCACTTTGTGTTGTGTCATGGAGACACGATTTCCGGCACCGAGATGGCGGAATGTTACACATTGTTGCAACTCTGTGAGCGTGCTGTGCGACACAACACGACCTCCAATTCTCGTCTTGTTATACACTTTGTAGCTTCGACAGCCCTTCTGCGTCTCGGGGTGGCCGTCCAGTTGGCGGGCGGGTTTCGACTTTGCATGCTGCAATGCCAGACTTTTGGGACACTGATGCTGCTGTGCCTGCGACAATTGGTGCCAAAGCCAGTTGAGGATCCATAATCCCATCTACTATGATTACCGACTTCCGACGGGTTCCAGGATGACGGCTAAGTCTGTTGTGTATGGACAGCTGCACCCGAAACAAAGACCATCTGTAGCTTTCGATAGCCCAAGGTCAAACGCCAGTTCCACTTGATGAGTACTTTCAGGTGCGATCGGGGAACGAGCAAGCACACAAACACTGCTAATAAATCGATGTTAGACACAGCAGCCCACTCAGTAGCACATAAGTACGGTCTCAGGCAACTCAAGACGCTCGAGCGGTGATGACGCTCTGATCCTGCTTGCGCTGCGCGTCGATGCTTGTGCACCCTTGTGACGCATCCAATAAGCAGTGAGGCGTACCGAAATTAGCCAACGACCGGCTCAACTTGCAGGACCAGAAGGTGTTTCTGCTCTTTCAGTAGCATACAGATGCCAAACCACGCCCTTCGGCTTCCATGACCTCATGCACGTCGCCGATGCATATTTTCGGGAAGTGGCATGAACGTGAGTGGGACTACCCCCGACCACGCGATACATCCATCGGACCTCGTTTGTGGTTGTCCTCTGAGAATCCTCGTAGGACCACGGGTATTTGCAGCTGTCAAACATGCTTGACGGTAATCACGCCGGGCAGTGTCGATCTTACAAAGGTGAATGGCCGATTGGGGCCACTCGTGAGGCGCAGTAGAGGCGTCGAAACATGCGGTTTGGTCCGTGCAGCAAGCTCTACGTTTGGGTATGTGTTGGGCGTCGGCTGGCTGGCCCAGGCTGCGACTACGACTTGTGCGAAGTTGATATTATCGAAATGCTGAAGATAAGTGCGCATGTAGGAGCTTGGGGGCAGCGGCTCTTTCGAACACCGAGTCCAATAACCGCGCAACGGTGAATGGACTTGAAAGAAAGTGCCATGCAGCCCTTCACGCTTCACAAAGCTCCAGCGCAGCCAGCATCTCACTGTCTCGCGATATTGTGTAGCCCTCCCTAAAGAGCGCATGCAGGATTCATCGTTGCCTGCCTCCTTCCACGACAAAATATCTTCCGGTCTTCTTGGAAGCATTTCCTAGGACATCCCAACGGTCTTGTTCTTGGTCTTGTCCTTGTTGTCTCTCGTGCTTTCGTCTGACGCGCTTATGGTGTTGTCCTCTGAGCTCCTCATTTGCGAGCGCGCTCTTCAGCGCGTTCATTCCAAGCTCTGCTTCCTTCTCACCCTGCGATGTTTCGTCCCTGAGGCTTGAGAGTGGTTTCACGTCTTCAGTATTGACCCTTTGAATATCTCTCACAAAGTGGAGCTGCGAGGACAGGGTGGCAAGCATTTTGCCCTCCTCCTCCAGATCCTTGGGTGGTGGCAGCGCTGACAACCTGAGCAGATGGTGTAACTGCTGGGAGCTAACCTTCGGCATGCCATCTTGAAGAGCTGGTAAAAGCGAGGCCACTGACCACGTTGGCTGTGAAAGGAGCTCGCCAAGCTCAACAACACGTCTCGGACCAGATTGATCTCGCCGTACTGGAACTGGACTTGTACTGTACGACCTGAGCTGTGCCGGAGGCGGCAAGCTCATTCGCGCGCCAACCGGGCGCGGGCGCAGCCCATAGCCCTGGAAACTGATTTTCATTCTGTCAATCTCTCGCTGTACCGTGTACTTTGGCGCTTCTCCATTTCATCGTATCGCGAATCAGTGATCATGAACGGTCGAGGAACACCAAGCGGCGGGACGAATGACCGGGGTCCGGCATGCTCTCCTCCGATCTCGCCGCATCTCAAGTCCGTGCCATCATTGAAGATGTTGATGTCCCTTTACCACTTGCGAGCCCACTTCAAAGCATCATGAGGGGCGGTGCTGGGCTTGCCGGAGGTCTGCTGGCTGGCATCTGTGGTGTCTTCACGGGTAAGTGTCCGCCTGATCATAGCACTCACATATCCAATGAGCTCACATCTAAACAGCGTACACGGCCTTCCAGCCAGCGCTCAAAGAAGATGCCGAAAAGCGTGCTGGGACCTTCCGCGAACAGCATGGAGAGGAGAACAAGGACAATGTGCTGAGCCAGGCCATTATCAGTGACCTCAAGGAGGCCAAGGAAGAGGTCAATAAATATGACAGCGGTGGCTTTGCCTGGGGCATCAGGAAGGCGCTGTTTGGGTCAACGCAACCACACGACATCCCAGCAGCATCGGGCGCTGATGCAAACACTCGAGACGAGAAGGAAAATGAATAGAGGAGCAAGGATATGGATGCCCGTGGTGGCGGGAAAAAGCTGCTATCCCGCCGGCCAACGTTGGATCGCCCACAGCTGTCATGGCAACTGCCCATGAACAGGTCTCCGGTCTGCTCCGCTGTGGCCACTTCTATGGTTGCCGCTGCCTCCCACAAGCATGAACTCCAGACGCCACTGGTTCTGCATACACGTACGACTACGCGAAATCATCCTCTTTCTGCTCGATGTTGTCCTTGACCCGCAGAAGCAGCGTCGTCTTCCACTTATCAAGCTTTGACATCTGGTCAAATTGGAACAGCTTGTCCGCAAATTTCTCTTGGTCTCCCTCATCTACTGCCTCTACGAGATCAACAAGAAGTTGATGCTCCCGAGTCTGGGTGAAGCCGGGTTCAAGGTCTCGGTAGGAGTCGAGCGCCCTGTTCATAGCCACCATATCGCCATTGGCGAGGTGACAGATGCCTGCTTTCAGGAAGTACTCCTTGACCGACCACTTCATGAGATTGTTGTTTATCGCGGATTTCGAGATGCGTTCGTAGTTGGAGATCGCTTTAAGATAATCGCCCTCGAGAGCAGAGATATCAGCAAGCTTGAGATAGAGCTTGTTCGCAAGTCTGGCGCAAGACGTCAGCAGGCCTGCGACCATAGTGAATGGACCAAATTCAAGCAAAGCACATACTGCTCAGCGTTGTCGTTCTCGTACCAACCCGCCGCTGTCTCATAGGCTTCCATCGCCCGTTTCTGGTCCTGAAGCTCCACCTCGTACAGCTCTGCGAGGTTCTGCTTGTGCGTGGCTGCTCTCCTGAAGTTACCTTTGATAGTGTAATGCTGGATAGCCTGCTCGAGTACTCTCGCTGCCTCCTCGGGCTCATCTTTTCGATAAGATTTGTATGCTTCGGTCAAGGTATTCGCGGCGTCATCAGGCTCGCTGAGTTTGGAGGACTGAATCTGTGCTGCCTTCTCAAATGTTTGCCCGGCCTCTTTGCCTGCTTTCTGCATACGGAAGGCGTTCGCGGCCTGCGTATACAGTTCGACAGCATTCTCCCACTTCTCCGTCCGGCCACCAAATAGAGAGAATCCGCCAGTCGCAGACTGAGCAGCCTTATCTGCCTACGATCCACAATTCAGCGGTGTTCCATGGCACATAGTCCGGTAGCTGATGGTGGGGCTCACCTTCTGCAGGAGCGCGCGTGGGTCTTGCGCCATGGTCGCGGTGTGCTCGTCAGATTTGGGGATCAAGTCTGGGTCCAGCGGCTTGAGGATACTGTGGCCGCTGGAGCCTAGAAATCGTCTGAAGTTGGTTGCGTGTCTCGAGGTGCGGCTGGTGAGAGGTGACAAGACAAGCTACACGTGCCTTGGCGATGACGAAACAAGGTTGGCCAGGGTCTCGATGCTGGAGCGCGTGCTTCAAGTCGCGTCGACCGAACTCCACGCTTGATGGAAGGCTCGAGTCACTTCCAACACCAACAATCGCGGCCGGAACAAGCAATTGCAGACAACGTGGCATGCTTTTTCATCAGAGATATGTGCAGCATAGCAAATGAAGCGATGGCAGGATCGCGGAGAGGTGGCGGATTCAGATGAGGACGAACTCGAACTCGAACTCAGCATTGAGTCTTCCGCGGAGACACCTCCGAGAAAACGACCAAGGCTGGATCAGGTCTCTGGAATCACGGGACTCGCACCGCCATCGGATCATGGCGCGAAGACAGATGATGAAGATGAGATTGCTTGGCTTCCGGCCAAGGCGGCGACGACGTACGGACGAAAGGGCAAGGGCAAGCCAGCGCGAAGCAATGCAACAGCGTCCTCCTCCCGCGCGCAATCGGTTGAGCGCTATGGGGGCGACAAGCTGGTGCCAATGATACCAGCTTTGCCAGACAAGACGATATGTGAGGCTATTCGAACCACTGCCAGCTCACCTGCGCACGGCTGGCTTGGAGGGACCACAGATCTGGATAATGCTAAGCCTAGCCTTTCCATCGATTCACCTCTGGCAGTTCCACTGCCGCCTTCCTCGGCCGATTCAAGCGACGAAGATGAGCTGCCAGACGTGAGTCAGATCTTCGCAGCAAAGCGCCAGGACAATCGCTATGCTTCGAGATGTCGTACATCCAGCTCGTTGAGCGAGCGCTCCGTCTCTCCCCCCACGGACTTCCATTCCCCAATTCGGCCTCTCACGAGTCGCAGCGAATCTGGGCGAGAAGCGCTTTGTACGACTGCGAGCGATGAAATGGTCGGTGTCACACTTAACGACTTCGCTGCTGTCGATGACGATGTTGCTTCAGCAAAGCGCAGTCTGCGAGCGCGAAAAGACATTCAGCTACATCCATATCTTCTTGAGAAAGCCAAGTATCAGAGACAATTCATGGAGCGCGGATTGAAACCTGTTCGATTGGTCCAATCGGATCCTCAACGCGAAAATGATGGGACTCCGTCTTATCCAAGCAGCAGTCAGGCTACCCTGCCGTCGTCCAGCCCTGCCGTCTCTGAGATAGGCGTGACGTCTGAGAAACCTACAATTCAGCCAACGTCTGTTAATTGCTTTATCGCCTCGCCTCACAAAACCCAACATCTGCCGGTCGAATCACACCAGCGATTGAAGAGGAGAAAACTTCATCACACAGACCCGTCGACGAGCTTTTCTCTCCATGCTCCCGCCTCACAGCCTTTGTTTGATCACTTTTCGATACCGCCCTCGCCTCCAAATACTTCAAGCACAGAGAGTAGTGTGGAAGAGGAATCTCGTCATGTACGCCGCTCGCCCCCCAGATTCAAGTTTCCTCCCGGCTTCACTCCTCAACCGTTGCCCACGCCTGTGGTCTCCTCGGATGTAAGACGTGCCATGAGGGACGAGTGGTCAGATTCAGAGTCGCCGCCAAGGACAACACGACGGAATCAACCGGTGCGGCTCGACAGCACTCCTGTGACAAGCTCTTTAGAAGACGATTCGGAAGTTGAATCGGAGGCAGAGCTAGAAGCTCAACGTCTGCAGCGTGAACGGAGACGAATCAAAGGTGTTTTACCCGCATCGTGGCTCAAGATTGACATGCATCAGCAGCAGAGGCAAAGGTCTCATGAGTTAGCCTTACAATCCACGAGGCACAGGTCAATCACACTCTCGCCGGAGCAGGCTGAGCCACGGAAGGGTGTCGCCAGGCGCGTCAGTGGTCGGCTACGGCGAGGCAGCGTAGCTGGGAAAGAGAGCATAGAATCCGATGGCGCAGAATCGGACCATTCGGTTCAGATGATCGACGTTGTACAGAAACACGCAGGCGTTAGCCCTGATCGACAGCGCTTCAGTTTCGCCCAAGAGTCTACAGTGAATGATGATTTGATCGAAAATGACTTCGTGGATCCCATGCTAGCTGGTCCTTCCCGGCGTGCCCAGCAGACTAAAAGGAAGAGCTCGCGTCAGCCACGGATTAGTACAGCATTGGGGCAAGGAGCAAGAACAATTGACGACTTCTCCGAAGAGCGCTCGCATGGCGCAGAACCAAGCGCAGTACGTGTGCAAACTGAACGCACCCCGAGATCACCGTTCAAAAGACGACCTTATCCGAGAAAGGACTCATCTGTACCTCTGAGCATAGTTGATGCTCCACGATCGCCTAGAACACGAGACGTCCAATTGCCACAGTTTGTTCGGCTTGCTTTGCGTCAAAGCAATCGTATCCAAAACCAAGGTCGCCACGGACCTCATGACAAGATCATCCGCCTCACGACCTCAGACGACACCGCTGAAGCAGATTCGGTCCTGCGAGCTTGGCGCCAGGGTATGCTTCTGCCTCGCTATGAGCTCATGCCATCCGGCAACCACAACTGGGCAACGTCAGAGAAAAGTCCAACACATCGCGAAGCGCTTCGCGAGCAGTCGCACAACTCGCAAAGGCACGAGCCTTCAAGTACGACTAGGACAACTGCTGGCGCGTCTCATGCGCTTACCAAGCCTGATGTAAATTCTGTGCGCAAGACGAAGTACAAACAAACTCGATTGCCTCATGCTGTAAGGTCAGCTCAGGCGCCGATGCACAATCCATCTCGCCTGGGTACAAAGGTCGGTGAGGGTCAGCTTCGAAAGAAGTCATCCGCCCGGCGCTATACGCCTGCACTGCGCTCTGCACAGCTCGAAACGCTCCAGCAGGACTTTGACAATCACCATCGCGAGGAGGCTTTCGAACGTCGAATGCAGTGTCTGACTGAAAATGTAGCTTTACCAGGAAGGCATGCACGATCATCCGAGTACCAGATCACGCGATTCCTGTATAATCATGATCAACAGGACCAAATCCGGACAGGAACGGACCAGATCAGACCTGCTGTTCCGGCTGTCGAGCATGATACGACTATGGATTTCCCTCACAGACCGCGCAAGTCACGTCCGCAAAGGCTAAATGCTGAAGCAAGCGAGTATCGCCAGCCGGACGAGCTCACGCAGATCGACGCGAACAATGCCGATGATGAGCAAGACAAAATCAACATCTCTAGCCCTGTCTTGCATGGCTTTGGTCTGTTCGGCTCACGATATACCGTTAACTTCAACATCGAGCCATTGCCACCAGGATTCCTTTTCCAAGCCGACACGATCATTGGAAGCGGAAAACTCGCGGAGGCGCTAGATCTGTCAAACCAAGACCTCGACAATCCGCGCGGCCAAACACATTTCGCTTTCGCAGATCAAAGCCGTAATTGGGGAGTCTGGAATGAAGACGTGGCTGCAGACTTCTCACGAATGACTGTCGAAACGATGGATGAATTGCAGAGATTACACATCGTTTCTGCAGGTGCCGGTCTTAACCAAGTACGCAATTTTATGGACCAAAACGTGAACGCTTCCTTACGGTCAGCGGTAACATACTGTTCGAAGTGTGTATACTTTGTCGACGCCGTCGACCGGCAGCACTTTGCTGAGAGCCTTTGCCGGCTTGTGAACGATGTATCGGACATCATCGAGGAGTATCAAACAGATGTATCCCGCAATCCGAAGGCATTCAATGAGACTCGACAATACCTGGTGATCTTAGCTGTGCTGGCCAAGCAAGTGACATGCCACCCTACCGTCAGCAGGGGCACCAAAGACAGAGCATCTGACGTATTGAATGCCACAGCATTAAGCCTCTCGAAGCATTGTATCGCCGACCAATTCGAACAGCTGCGAGCGGACTACGAGAGCTGCCGCAATGCCGCTTTGCTGGAAGAAGGCATCTCTGGCAGTGCTTGGGCACTGAGCAGCCTCGTGATTTTGATCAATTCATTTCAAACGCTCGGATCAGATGCCAACTTCTGGCTGGTCATTAGCGCAGCTCTTTTCGGCGATATTCAAGGATACTGTGCCGTAAGCGATTTTGAGCGTCAATGGCACAGCCTATTTACGATCTTGCCGGCACTAGATATTGACAGCCGTGGTGTGCTGCAGCGTTCGGCAAGGAATCGTTCGTCGGAAGCGTGGACTATACCCAAAGCTTGCATCCTGCGCACTTTCGAGCTGTATGAAATGTCCAGCAGGATACGGGGCTTCACTGTGAATGATTATATTCGCACATTACTTTCGCGTTGCTGGTGCTTGATTGAAAGATGGCATTGGTGGCGATCCGAGCCAATTCTTAACACCATCTTCGACTTCTTCAGCGGCCGAAGCTTAGGCTTCCTTCACAAAGAAGAATCTCAAGGGTCTCTCGAATTTTTGGAAGAACTCAGCTCGCAGCCGTCACTCCAGGTCCTGCCGAGCGACCGCTCATTTCACATTTTCGTCAAGCTTTTAACAACATCATTCCTGCGGATGCGTGATAATCATGTCTACGACGGACGCAAGATTTCAGGCTTGGCGTGGCGCTTCATACCAAGCCATGGTAGAACATACAACAAGGACATGGATCTCAAGCAATCCGATCTCGATGCACTGCAAAACCACCATGATCTACTCGTGGCTTTGTACTATGCTCTGCCGCCTGTCCATCGGCCAAAAGCAAATCTAGTGCGCGATCTTGTTGACCATACCAAGTCTCATCGGAAAGCTTGTGATGTTAACGTCAGGGCCTGGGCAAATCTTACTGCATTCCAAGCATCCACTGCTGAGCCATTGGAAACTATGCAGCCCCTATCTGAGTGGTTTGTGGCTCTAGTAAGGGCAGCAGTACACCAGTACAGGTTGGCCAAGAGTGAAGCTGAACAGGACTTTGAGGAAGCCAGAAAGGAAGGTTCAACTTCTGACGAGGTTAGACTCCAGGCCGTCATCGCCAGCAATCAGCGCCCGATAGCTGCGACGATTGTCAATGCTCTTGCTGGACTCAAACGAGCTCTGCAATCTGCCCGCAACATCTCGAGCGTGCGGTATCTCGTAAAGACAACACAATTCTGGACTGTACTGGATCTCTTTGACCCATCTCAGCGTCGACTTCTCAGTGCCATGCTTGAAGCTGTCCAAGCTATGGACACGGCACTCGAAATAGACGAGAAGTTGTCTTCGACAATAGAAAGTCGGAGTCTGAGCGAAGACAGTCAGGAGTTTGGTGATATCAGTGCTCTCCAGGAGTTTGCCGCGCATGACACCACTACACCATCATCATTGCTCGATGCGGTTGCTGATACTCTCGTCACGCCAATGGGTCAATTTGTGTCGAACGTTTTCGGCGCAGACTCTGCTCCTGACGAGTCACTGCTGCAGAGAGTGATCAGCGTTTGGGTATCGATCGCAAATCGACTTGTGAAAACATCAGCGAGAGACTGGAGTGCCTTCCTCAACGAGTATAGCACTCAGAGCTGGGCTCAGATGCGTAACACTCCACAATGGCGCAAGTACACTCCTTACTTCATGGCTCACGTGGTCCAGCAGCCTACTTTCCCGGGAGATGAAAGTGTTGCGCAGAAAGTGCTCAATGCATGGGTTCTGTCGCTTGTGGAGAGAGAGGCTTCGCTGAAATTTCAGCATGTACTCACGGCTGCGCTGCTCAATCATTGCAGGGAGGAGCGCCTGTTGCAGAACCTCCCTTTTGCTCAAGATCAGGACGGGCAATTCCACATAAAATTGAGCGAACTTCGGCAGAGAAGACTCCCGCTTTTGTCGTCACTGTTGTCGAACATGCGAGAAAGCTTAGCAGAAGCTCATTCGAACCACAATCGCCCAATGGCGGAGTCCAGAAATATGTACGCTGCTGTACTTCGGCAGCTGATGCAGGCGATGAAGCATAATTATCAAGAGCTTCAGACGGAGAAGGAAAGTGAAGTTGCTGACAGTACCGCACAAGGATCATACGTTGAATTCGTTCAGCATGTGGTCTCTTTGCTGCAGCAGCACACGAGCGACATATGCAAGGTGGATCCGTTCTTCACTGACTCCAACGCCTTCCCGCTTCCTGTTCGGGATCCAACTTATGTTGTCGGCAAGCTGAAGAGATATTCACCGAGACTCGGCGAAGCCAAGTCACGCAAAGAACTTGCTGTGTTCATGCAGACTGTCAGCGAAAGAGCCGCCGTGGATGGACAGCAGCAATACTTGGCCGAGCAGCTATTTGAGGCGATGAAAGCAACGCCAGAACAGGACTCAAGTAATGGACCTTCGCTTCGACACGTACTCTTGACATCAATGTTCCCGGCATACATCAATACAATATTCGCTACAACCTGTGGATGGATCCTCGCGATTCCTATGTTGGACGCCTGTAAAAACGTGGCCATGGATCTTATCTACAAGGTCGACTTTGGGAATGACGGCGCTGTCTTGGCAACCACAGAATCTGTGACAGCTGTGTTGCACAGCATCAATGGTCAATGCCAGTCCGGTTTGGCGCGTGCTGGACTGTCGGAGATGGCCAAGTACATGCACGTACTAGCGATTATGTTTGATGTCTGCAGCTCTGTTCTGCAGCTGGCTTCCGTCGTGCAACATGCAACATCACATGGCCGTGACTTGCTGCACCTCCTACGGGCGCTGAACAGGCAAGCTCGAGGCATAGAGCAAGTGTTGGATGGCGCCGTCGAAGTCGACTGTCTTGAGTGCGCTGGCGGAGGACCATCGCCCTGGCCTGATACTCAGGAGTTTGTGAAAAGGCAAATCTACGAGTCGCTGAGCAACTGGCAGGTTGTAGATGGACGATATTTCTTGCGAAGAGGGAATCTTCTGAAAGAAATAATTGTCAGACTGGGGGATGCTAACGAAGAGAGGGCCGTATTGCGGCAGAGCATTCGAAGTTTCAAGGGCAGATATGAAGCGACATTTGCGCCGAGGCAGAGGAAGGTACAAGTGGTATGCGAGGATGCATGCGAGCTCTCGCAGCTCATGATATGATAGGAAGGTGATCGAGAGCGGATGGAATGTCGACAAAATTGAGTTGATAGCGTTCTGAGCGAGTACAGTTCTGATAGGGTCGAGATACTGTATTGTGCATGAGAAGGTGTGCGTGCGTGCGTGAACCTTTTCCCTGCTCGTGCATTGCAGCAATGCCGCCACCCGACGAGGATCAACAACCACCTCCAGCGATACACCAGCATGTTTCAGCATGTGAAAGTGAAAAGATGACAAACGCGGGGTACATCATGCGGCACGCCCATCATCATGACGGATCATCACCAGCGGGATTTGTTTGTTGTGCGACGATTTCAGGGTCCGGGGAACGGAGGGTGATGTGCATATGAGGTAGACGAGCGGCGGTAAGCGAGGTCAATCATGGTGGTATGCGGCGGTACTTGCTGTCTGCACCTCCTGGATACCTAGTAATGAGCTTGCCATATATACTTTGTGAAGCAGGTGGGAAGGAGTTGTAGGCGTACGTTGATGCGTCTTTTTCTGCCGAAAATAAGGTCAAGCCCTGGGAGGGTACTTAGAGAAGGCATCAGCACCGACTCTGGTTCGAAAATACGAGGATGGCCTTCACGAAACGACAGCTGATCACTGGCTTCAGCGTTGTGTTTCTGGCTCTACTCACGATCTTGGCGGCGTATGCGCTTCATCGATGCAATGCGCTCAACTTACCCATTCCGAACTCCTTATCAGCGTTCATAGTCGCTCTCCCGCCGCTGGCTGGAATTGTCCTGGAGTCGCTGATCAGCTTTCAATATCGGCTTGCTGCAAAAAGACGGCTTCAGAACAGCAAAGTATTCCAAAGCGTAAATGCTCTTTTCCTGGTTTACGAAGCGGTCGTGGCAACATTGGCGGGTACGCACATTATGCCTGTTGGCGGGTTATGGTGTCCTTTGCATGACAGATGGAGCGAGATGTTCCGAAACAAAGACAGCCGCGCGATCAGGAGCATTCAAGATGCTTTCACGTGTTGTGGCTTTGCGTCGACCAGAGACATGGCATGGCCATTTCCGGATAACAAACACGGATCCGATGCATGTGTCGTACGTTTCGAGAGGGACACAGCGTGTTTAGGGCCTTGGAGACATGAAGAGCAGACTGTCGCAATCATGTTGCTGGTTGTTCCCGTGGCGGTATTTCTCTGGAAGGCACGTCTTTTGTCGTCGATGAACGGATTGAGATGACTGATTCTCTCCAGGTGGCCTTATTCGTGACACCAGGCTTTGACACATCGTGGTTGCCATCCACCCTCCGATTGCCGATCGAGGATAACCAGAGCAGCGATCGACGACGGCCAGCTCTTCTCTTTCGCGATGTTGAGGACGAGGGCGAAGTTGACAGTCTCAGGGACGAAGTAAGACAACCTCGAATCAATCTGGTTATTTGCTGACCTTGGTCTTCCCCTTTTCAGGTAGCGAGACTGAATAAGGATTCGAATCTGGCCACGGTAAGAAAGGAACAAGTTGAGGGCACCTCGGGGTTGGAAACATTTGCTGACATTCGAATCGTCATTTTCTAGCACATTGAGCAAGGAAGAGTTCAACCATCGGCCCTCATTCAAGAGCATGAGAATTCGTGGACCAGAGATTGATAGCCAGCGAAGCTGTAGGAGCACGGCGTAATCGGCGCATGAGTTGACGATTTCGCGGTACTCATTCGAGCACGATATTTGCCTTTTGAGATCCTACTTTCCCTCCCTGCATGCGTTTATGATAGGATATACTCATCCTTGGCCTCTTTCGTTGCGCGTGTTTGGCGACTTTCCGGCGTCCACCGGTAATCCATGCATTCATTGGCTTGCGAATACCAATGAATTTGCCCTTGGGAGTAAATACTTCCACCTCAGGAACACTATTCGCTGAATCTGCTTGATGGCCCAGTTCCGCGGTGAATGCATCAGAAATCAAGCTCTTCTTACGGCTGCGGACTTGGCATGCCAACTCAACCCAGCCAACACCTTCGATCAAAATATCGGCACTGTAGACAATGAAAGGCAGATCTGCGACCTTTCTTTTACCAGCAGTCTTATCTGTCAAAGACCCAGTGCGCTGCTTTGTGGCATCCCATTCGAGCTTAAACGTACCAGCACTCTTGATGCGTTGCTTTGCCTTCTCCGTTCCAATGTTGTCCACCGTCCCGGTATACGGCTCTCCCTCTTCATCCAACCCAGTTTGAATAGCTATAGCTTTGCGAGTAGCTGTAGCATGAGCATGAAGTGGAGTGAATGGGTAGGCTAACACCGTCAAGTCTTCCGTTTTTGGAGTGATGCGAACTATGCCGCCGAGCAAGAGCGACTGGCCAGGCTTGAGTGTGTACTGCTCGGGCTTTATCCTGCTCTTCATGACGAGAGACGCATGGTGTTCTGGCTTGACATGCGTTTCCATCGAGCTCCGCATGACGCCCGGAAGATCGATGAGTTCACCTTTCCCATTACCAAAGGGCAGGCGAATAGGAGCAGCAGTGGTCCCTGGGAGTGATGAGACGATGGGCATATCAGGATACTGCACCTCCTTTTGAGCTGGTGGCAACAAGGAGAGGTTTTCGTCCTCGTCTCCATCCTTGTCATCTTCCTCCTCTGCTTCCAGTTGCCGCAAGGTCTGCTGTGCTGAGTCGTTGATCTCACCAGGCACGAATGGAAATGATTGGGCATCTTGCTTTGGCTCCAGTGCTCCTTCTGCAGCCTCCATCATGCTGTCTCCGATGCCGGAAAATGGTGCATTGTTGGACAAATTCTGATGTTGTCCTTGCTCGAGAGCCTTATTCGCAGCATTATTGTCCTCCTCAATAACCTTGTCCACGGAATCGATGTGAGTTTGGCCGCGCTGTCGGACCTTCTGCAGCTTCTCCTGGTCCTGAGCAGATAAGCTCCTGCCTTTGGGATAGACGACTTCGAATAGTGCGCTTTTGCCAACGTTGACCTTGCCCACTACCCATCCTGCTCCTCCTCGCTTCCAGATCTCTTCCTTCACCTGCGGTGTCCACCAGCCACGCTTTGCGCTGACGCATCTCACGTTTCCCAATCTAAGGTTCTTGCCAGCTCGTCCCAGCGCGTCGCGGAGCACTTCCTGCAGATAGGGCATCAGGCGATCAACCATTTCTTTCTGCGGCGCGAGCAGATCAGAGCGAGTGATGATGAAGGAAATGTCAGCCTGACGGCCTCTGATATACTGGGTCGCTTTGGAGCGTCGATTCCGAGTGCGTAGTCGTGGAAGGTCGAGACGGGAGATGAGGTTCGGGATTAACGACATGGGAAAGTCGGCGGCGTCCAGAACGTGGTAGATGTGGTTGTCTCTGTGTGGACTCGCTTCGATTATGTCACGAATTGACTCCATGGAAGGATGCAGGATTGACGTGCCTTTGGACTGATAGATTAAATTATGGCATCGATCACACAGCATCGGTTTCGTGTTCTCCGGAAGCACTTCCGTTGCTGCTGCTGTGGTGAGAGTAGCAGTATCGGCGACATCATCGCCAGCCAATCTTGCAATGGCGTCTTCAAAAACACGGTCCTCGTCGATCATTTTCGGCCGGCGCGTATTCCGCCGTTTTGGGCTGTAGAAACCAGGCGATTCAGCCTCGACTGTCTGGCTCAGAGCACCACATCCTGGACATACTAGGGGCAGTGTCTTCGCAAAATTCAGATGCTCATCCGAAGATGGAGATGGAGCCTGACTCGATACTGGAGGATGCTTCAGCTCCACCGCTTCTTCCTGATCCCTCCATGCTGTCCTGCTGAAGCTCCTGAGCAGACATCTATCTGGATCTGCTGCTGTCCATTGTAGCTGGCGGGTCAGAGAACTGGTCAGGCCTGCCGATGCAGTCGATGCTTGTGCGCGGGCTGAGTTAAGCGTGTGCGTATGTCTTGTCAGGCGCGCGAGTCGGAACATCAAGAGGCGAAGGCGATGGCTGGATGTCGTGGTTTTTGCGAGAAGGAGGAGACGAAACAGTAGAATCGGCGACCACTTTATTAGACTTGGCGTGGAATAATAAGGTTGATCGATTATCGATGACCTGCAGCGGTTGCGTTGCGCTAGAGTCCCTGCTGCCGAGCCAAACTTGGCGCCTGGTTCACCTTGCAGCCCGTGTCGAAGTCCACATGTTCTGTTCTGTTTCCAGCACTGTGAGCAGACACTCCAGCGCACCGCATCGCATTGCTTCGGCGAACACCGATCCCGACAGCGACCCTCACGATCGAAACGATTAAGCAGCGCCACACGAAATAGCACAGTCTCTCCTCACGACAGCCTCTGCGACATGAACTGAACCACTCTTCTCCACCTCCGGCTAGGGAGAAGACGTGCGGTGCTGCGACTTGCCTCTGAATCCTCTGCCGCGAGAGCTCGATACCATGGCCGGCATGATCCAGTTCCCATACCCAAGAAAGTCCTCCACACCACATGCCTATGCTTCAACGCGATCAAGCTCTCTCCGAAACAAGCGCTGGCTACGGCAGTATGGCCCAACCGTTGCTGGCTGCATAGCCATTATCTGGTTGCTGGTATGGTTGTTCAATGGTAGCGCTTCCGCCACCACCACACATGTACCGCCCGGCACACCAAAAGTCGTGATCGTAACCACACTCGACCCCAAATTGCCCGACAAATTTAAAGAAGCCATCAAAGAGAACAGGAGGGACTACGCGCAAAGACATGGCTATGCCACCTTCTTCCCAAACACCACAGACTACGACCTCATGGAAAAGACACCACAGTCATGGTCAACGATACCAGGTCTCCGGCATGCCATGACCCTCTATCCACATAGCCAGTGGCTATGGTACCTTTCCTCCACAGCACTGATCATGGACTCCCACGAATCCCTCCACACCAAACTTCTCGAAACAAGAAAACTCGAGTCTCTCATGATCACCGACAAGCCAGTTGTCCCACCGGACAGCGTCATCAGAACCTTCTCACACCTCAAGGGCGAACGTGTGGACTTCATCATCACACAAGATCAGGAGGGTCTAGCAGGAGACAGTATTTTGATAAGAACAGGAGAGTGGGCCAAGTTCTTCCTCGACGCCTGGTACGATCCTCTATATCGCAGTTACAATTTTCAAAAGGCCGAGCGCCATGCGCTGGAGCATATCGTGCAGTGGCATGGCACAGTCCTAGCCAAGTTGGCATTGGTGCCGCAGAGAGTGCTGAACAGCTACACGAGAGAGGCTTCCGCGAGTAGCGGGGAAGGTAAGTGTTGAGAAGTCTTCACATGTGATTGACCGCGCACAATGCTGACTATTCCCAGGTCTGTACAAGGAAGGGGACTTCGTGGCCAACTTCCACGGCTGTCAGCGCGACCCGAAGCGTAATTGCGAGGACGAAATGAGCCCCTTGATCTCGAGATGGCGGGAATTGAAAGATCAGGAGCACAAGCGGTGATGAGACTTTCTCTTGCCGCTCGGGTCCATGTTTGTACCAATATGTTCTTTTTGTGCTGTGGCCAGTATGAACGGCTTGCATGAATCAATGGAGCGACATGCGACCTACGCAATGCTGCTCTTCCTCACGGCGTTCTCAGGTGTGTGAAGTCTTTTCAAGACGCGGACATTGGGCATGCATGGAAGCGTGAATTACCAAACAGGACATAGGAGAACCAAGCTTCGTGAACCCATCTAGGAAGAAATAGGAAGTGTTACTTGTATGTGGTTGAATGCTCGCATGATAAGTATTCACAATTGAAACCTTAGGGAACCGAAAGAACATCGTTTGACGTATGAAGAAGCGTGCAATGCCACCGGCCGGCCGCGGGCTCGTTCCCTCCACGACGAAGCCCAAGTCGTCATACTTGCGGCAGACTGCGCGCTGAAGCGTGGCAACGAGGTGGCTCGTACCATGACTTCAGGTATCTTAATTTGCCTTATAGACCAGTGGGACACAACTCACTGTGAGCGCCACTTGGGCCCAGTCTCGTCGCACTGCCATTCATCGTGCATCTATACAGGACCAGATCCGTTGTCGTGATAGAATTTTCGCAACAACGTCTCGACCTCCTGGAACTCCTTTTCTGCTTGCTTGATCGTCGTCTCGCAGTTCGACAGGCACTTGTCTTCATCTGGCTCGTCCTTGGTGCCTGTCTCATCCTTCATGGCACCAAAGTGCTGGATCTTCTCGCACGAATCTTTCACCTTGGTAAGGCCTAGAGTTGCAGAGGATCCTTTCAGGAAATGACCCAGTGCAGAGAGCTGGTTAAGATCTCGCTTGGTGCTGAGAAGCGGGTTAGGGCTCGAAATAGCAGGTCGCACGGGGCCGTGTAGCTTACAGATTGGTATGCATCTGCTCGAACGTCCCTTCGGCTTGAGTAAAGAAATCGTATACTATGCTCTTACTGAACTCTCGCTCCTTTGTGTCATCATCCATTTCGAGGATCTAGCAGCGCTGTCCGTTAGACAGAAATGACATCAGAGTGCGGATACTGGCATAATTGCTTCACTTACCTGTTCGAACGTCGCCTGGTCGATCAAATCTCCGAAATCATCGATCGTGACATTGTCGTCGGACTGCACGTCAAAAGCCCTGTTAGCATGATAATCGATAGATCGATGCTCACAGCAACGAGAACAGCGTGGAGCGTCCGCAGGTAGCAGCAGAATAGGGTACAGCATCACTGCTGGTCCAGGAAGGGAGGTCTAGGAAGGTCAATGCATACTCTTGCCTCTTGTGTTGCCGCCGGCATGGTGAGCGGTCAAACAGTGGTCTGCAATCGGCGCAGACCAAATGGCTCGCGGCCGTAGGTCCAGCTGTAGCTGTACGGGGTGGTGCAGAAGGTTACCGTCTTCGGTTGCTCGGTATGGTATGCGGTCAAGCAGCAGTTGGTGGGTGGTTTCAGATTTGGCGAGTTGCGCGTGCCGGCCGATGATGTCAGTTGAGGCACACCCTCTGGTCAAGTCAGGATCAAAGGAGCCCAGGATGAATTGGGACTCGGCAGAAGGGTAGGGGTAGAAGGTCAAATGTGCCGGGGAGCTCAATGGTGGATTCGGGTCTAGGTGCGCGAAATGAGTCGGTCGCTGGTCTCCGGACTCAAGGCGCTGGTGAAGAATGTGAGCTCCGTGGTGCAGATGACACTTGTGAAGCTTGCGAACAAACCGGGACCTGCAGATGACAGGCGCAGTTCCGGCAGGCGCGCACGTGTCAAAGCAGAGGAGCAGCAGGAGCAGGAGCAGGTGCCGGTGGTGCAGAAACAGCCGGGCGCGGGCGGGTTCTGAGTGAGGGAGTGGAGGGGAGAATGGTCGTCTGCGGTGGAGGTGTAATGAGAATTCGTGACAGGGTCCCACATTCACAGAAGGGCGTGGTGTGGATCTTCCATTGAACACCACTCCAGAGACGAGACTATCAGATGGCGTGTAGAGGGGCGACAGGATTGTGCAATGCTCTATTCAGTGCGAAGATGCGGGCAGGAGACATGCCGTCGCCGTCGCCGTCGCCGTCGCCGTCGCCGGCCTGCGTGAGTGAGTCTGCAATCACGTAATCTCCTGCAGCCACGTACAGCGCACTTTCTGCTGCCTCTGCCTCTGCCTCAATTTTTCGAATCTACCTACGTCATCTCACACAGGGTCTCGTCGTCGATCCCGTCGGGCCGGGCTTCGGCTGCCCTTGCACTTGCTCAATCGCCAAAGTCCAGACTCCAGACTCTCTCTACTGTCTTGTCTCCCTCTCCCTCTCTCTCTCTCCTCAAAAGCTTCATCGGCTTGAACCGCCCTCGGGCTTCGTCCTGATTACCGCTGCACGCACGCGAATCCAGCAGGACTGGTGACCTTGCGCTTCACTCGGTCAAATGTCGAATGCGCTGTGCTGTCATCTTCGCCAAGACTGTTTGTCTCTGGCGTTGACGTCTACTCTGCCTTGGCGCCCAACCTGGCAAAGTCAAAGCAATGCTCAACAGCCTGCTATCATCGGCCAGCCAGCACTCACTCACGCTAAGCTCTGCGATCTGCGGAACTGCTCTTGCTCCGTCTGCGCAGCGGGAGCCCACGCGATCGAGCGACCTTGGACCCTCCGCAGCTCGGTTTGACTGGTTAAGCCGTCTTCTGCCTTCAACAACTTCCCGCTATGCTGCGGCGAAGACGCGAAGGAGCCTGCTGCACGCCTGTCTACCGTGGCATCGTGACCGTAACAACATTGCATTCTCTAGCATGCCAGTTGCCGCCGTTAAGCGGGACGCCAGACAATACCACGACATTTACGGCACGTAAGCACAAATCTTCTGCTCGCGACGCTCTGTACACAAGGTACCTAGCTTTCTATCTCTTAAGCCATCTATTATACATCTTTTGACCTTGGCACACAGCCAGCCTCCGCTTTTATACACCATTCTTCAATTGCCCTCTCTGTTGTCATTTCCCGCCCGCTCGCAGCTGATGAACGAGAGGCTGGTAGCAATGCCGCTTCAACCCTTGATCTTGTAGATGGCCTCAGCAAGTCTGCCCACGTTCTCGGAGGTAATGCCAGCAACGCTGATTCGCCCATCTTTGGTCGCATACACCGAGTGCTCCTCCGCAAGCTTGGTCATCTGCTCAGGAGTCAGACCGGTGTACGCGAACATGCCGATCTGTGAAGTGATGTGGTCCCAGTTGTGCTTGCTGCCCAGCTTCTCGAGGTTCTGCTTCAGCAGGGTTCGCATCTTGATGATGCGGTCTGCCATGCCCTTGACCTCGCCAAGCCACTGCTTGTTCAAGGCTGGGTCGTTGAGGATGGTACTGGCAATGCGAGCGCCATGAACTGGTGGGTTGGAGTAGAGTGGACGGACAAGAATCTTGACTTGAGAATCGACACGAGTCTTCTCCTCGGCCGACGCAGTGACGATTGAGAATGCACCGACACGCTCTCCGTAAAGGCCCATGTTCTTGGCGAACGACTGAGCAAGACATGGCTGGTGACCTTGTTCAATGAAGTAGCGGAGAGCGTAAGCATCCTTGTTGGTGTCACCAGATGCGAAACCTTGGTAAGCCATGTCGAAGAATGGGAAATGCTCACCAGCCTTGACGGCATCGCTGATGGCCCTCCACTGCTCCTCAGTTGGGTCAACACCAGTTGGGTTGTGTGCACATGCGTGGAGAAGCACGATCGAGCCCTTCGGCATTGCCTTGATGTCGGCAATCATGCCATCGAAGTCGAGGCCAATGGTGTCCTTGTTGTAGTACTTGTAGCTCTTGACTTCCAGCCCGCTGTCAGAGAAGACTGCTTTGTGGTTGGCCCATGATGGGGTCGGGATGTAGATGGTCTTGGCGCCAGGATAATGGCGGGCGAGGAATTCACCACCTATCCGCAGGGCGCCAGTTCCAGATATGGACTGCGTGATGGCCACTCGACCGTCCTTGATGGCAGTACTGTCTGGTCCGTATGCTAGAAGTGCAGCAGCCTTGGTGAAGTCAGGCACACCAGTGATGCCCGCGTACTCCTTGTCGAGGTTTTGCTGCACCACCTTCTGCTCGGCCTCCTTCACCGACGGCAGCACATATGGCTTGCCCTTGTCGTCGCGGTACGCGCCAACACCAAGGTTGATCTTCTTGGTGTTGCTGTCTTTCTTGAATGCCTCAGTGATGCCCAGGATGGCATCTGGCGGGCCCTGAGGCACCTGCGACCACGCCGAGGCAGCGCGGACGGATTGCTTGACGATTGGAGCTTGGACGGCTCGCTGAAGGGCGGTGCGGGAGATCATGGCTGTAGCGTGGAGCGTGGTCACCAATGGCGGACGAGACAGACTCAATGGAATGGAACGCTTGCTGATAGGACGCGTGTTTGGATGATAGAAGACTGGTGCTCAATGGGAAGAGTGTGAAAGGGTGACTGTCAACTTTCTGGGGATTTTGGTTTTAGCTTTACGGAGCTGGTCTGGTCTGGAGATGCGTGGTCCGAGCGCCGACTTGAGCTTTCAGCGCTTCGGCTCGCTGATCCGACCCGACCCGACCATCGCCGCGCCTCCGCTGACTTGCTTGGGACTTGCAAAAAAAGTTCCTCTTCAGTCTATGCACGACCAAGCATGTTCTGCTAGACCGAACTCCACGAAATGGCAGAGACTGATGCGGAGAGGCCCGCCGCGGTCGTCAGGAAGAAAGGTCCGACCGCGCCGTTAGGTCCAGAGGCTGCAGCCCTCAAAAAGAGGCAGCAAGAGGCCAACCAGCAGTATGGCAGAGGCAAAGCGGTGTCGTTGGAAAATATCAGAGACAAGAAGCTGCGCGGCGAACTCAAGGCACTGGAAGCAAAGTACAGGGAAGCGACGCTCAAGGCGAAAGATGCTGAGATTCTGCTGGAGAACAGCTCGGGCTTCCTCGAGCCAGAAGGCAAGCTTGAACGCACCTACAAAGTGCGCCAGGATGACATAAAAAGCGACATAGCCGTGGAGACCGCAAAGAAAGGTTTTGAGTTGAAGCTCACAGAACTGGGTCCGTATTCACACGACTACTCGAGGAATGGCCGGAATCTGTTGCTCGCTGGTCGCAAAGGGCACGTAGCCACCATGGACTGGCGTAGCGGGAAGCTGGGCTGCGAGTTGAACCTTGGTGAGACTGTTCGCGATGCGAAGTGGTTGCACAACAATCAATACTTCGCGGTCGCGCAGAAGAGAAACGTGTACATATACGATCACCACGGTGTCGAAATCCACAACCTGGATCAGCATGTTGAAGCGACCCACATGGAATTTCTGCCATACCACTTTCTGCTTTCGACGATTGGTAAAGCAGGCTGGCTCAAATGGCAAGACACGAGTACCGGCAAGCTCGTCGCTCAGGTTAGCACAAAGCAAGGCACGCCCACCACGTTGGGGCAGAATCCTTACAATGCGATCATGCATGTCGGTCATCAGAATGGTACGGTGTCACTGTGGTCGCCGAATAGCACCACTCCCTTGGTGAAGATGCTGTGTCATCGTGGCCCGGTGCGCTCTTTGGCAATAGATCGGGAAGGAAGATATATGGTCAGCACTGGCCAGGACTTGAAAATGGCCGTCTGGGACGTGCGCAGCTTCAAGCCGGTGCACGAATATTTCCTTCGTCAGCCTGGCTCGAGTGTGGCAATAAGCGATCGAAACTTGACAGCTGTTGGCTGGGGTACGCAGACCACTGTCTGGAAAGACTTGTTTACCAAGAGTCGATCCGACATCGACCAAGTCAAGGTTCAGTCTCCCTACATGGCTTGGGGTGGCGAGGGGCAAACCATTGAACGTGTCCGCTGGTGTCCTTTTGAGGATATCTTGGGCGTAAGTCACAATGAGGGATTCTCGTCCATCATAGTTCCGGGCGCTGGAGAAGCCAACTTCGATGCACTGGAACAAAATCCATACGAAAACTCGAAGCAACGACAAGAAGGCGAAGTCAAGGCTCTCTTGACCAAACTTCAGCCGGAGATGATCAGCTTGAATCCCGAGAATGTTGGCAACCTAGATACGGCCTCCCACGAACAGCGACAGCGGGAGAAGGATCTTGACAGGAAGACTGGAGCCGAAGCTGAGAAGGACCGGATCGAGCAGCTCAAGAACCGTGGTCGCGGAAAGAACAGTAGTTTGCGCAAGCATCTCCGCAAGAAGGGGAACAAGAACGTCATCGATGAGCACAAGATGCGTGTAATAGAACTTCGTGAGAAGCAGAGACAACAGGCCAAGGAGGCAAGAGAGGGAAAGCAGATTGAACAGCTCGGACCAGCGCTCTCCAGATTTGCACGCAAAGGTGGCTGAAAATCGGGTACCTGGACGGAACAGCTTTTTATACCCACTCATGGGACAAGTCTTGGAGACCTGAATGTGTCTTGGCATACCGTAAAGGGTGGTAGGGCAGAATCGCCGTCGCATGTTCCACGGTAAAGCCCCAGCCATGATGACCGAGGAGCGGAAATCGCAACGTCTCTTGGGTGTAACGTCGCAAGGCTCGTACAAGGCTCTGCTGAGCTTCAAAGAAAGTAGGAACTGGAGCCGCGATGGATTATTATCTGGTTGGACAAAATGCACGTGTCGCTTTCGAGAGGCGACGAATACAGGACATTTATATGTGCATGGAGAAATCCTTCCATTGTAGCTGGGCCATAATAACGCACTCTCGCCGCCTTGGTCATGATCTACATGTTGTCAGGTGCACCTCCGGCAGAACGACTGTGCTCTGTTGCAGGCATCGGTCTTAAACCATCGCCTGCGTTCTCAGCCACTTGCCATCACGCATAGTGCTAGACTCGCCCAACACAAGCTAGAGGCCCGAAAATGGTATGCTGCAAAAGAAACAGAAAGTACATGCAGCCAGTCATATCACATTCATTCTAAGGACGCTTTTGCCTAGCAAAATATTTCACGCTGTCAGTAGGCGACTCAACTCAATTTCTCCACCTCTTGCTCAATAGCAGTAAAAACATAAATTCCTCCTCCATCCGAATGCTTCCTCCCCCCATTCGACACCTGATGCCTCCCACCCAACTCAATCTCATCCATACTCCCGCCGCCCTTTCTCTGCTTACTTTTAGTAATCCCAAATTCAAGATGTTCCAGACTATCATCATCCCTCATATCCTTCCCTCCACTTTTCCGACCGCCGTACGAATAATACGGACGATTGCCGTTAAGTGCCCCATTCGTAGCATTGACTTTCATACTGAAAGGATTCCTGAAGCTATGTAGCTTCCCAGATCTGCTGCCTCCTTCGAGCGAACGTGTTCCAGGCGGCGTCGTCAATCGTCCAGAACCGCTCAAAAGCGATTGCGAGGTGAAGATGTGGGGGCAGACGCATCGGACTGTTGGAAGGCAGGAGCAGAGGATTGCAGTGTTCATTTCGACGTTACTCCAGATGGCCGCTAGGCCGTTATTCCAGCTTACGTCCTTGGTGTTCGCGATCACGTACAGTGATTGGAGTCGAATGATGGAGATTACACAAGTGAAGCCTCCTAGAGCGAAGACGAGCATCAGGGCTCTTTTCCGCCGTTTAGGTAGTTCTAATTTGTTGATCATGGGTAGGGGGAGAACGGCGGTGGCGATGTCGGTGGCGATGCTAAGGCTAGAGTTCACAAACCTGAAGGGGTTCAAAGTCAATAAATTGAAGGTGAGGAGAGAGAGAGAGAGAGAGAGAGAGAGAGAGAGCACAATGTGTGGTGGTTACTTACCATATTGCGAAGCGTGGCAAACATTTGCCGCCTTGGATGGTATGATCCCAGAAAAACGCGATTGGCCAGCAGGAGAAGACAGCAGTGAGGAAGACATAAAGCCCGATGACGATGATAACGGCCATTAACGTCCAGGTCACGATTCGAAATCGCTGGTGTGGAAATATGCGGAGGTACTGAAAGAGGATGGACACTTTCGTGCATGTCATGGAGATGTTGTACACCCAGATCGACACGTAGAACTGCATGCAAGGAACTTGTCAATTTTTCTCCCTCCTCAGATTCCTATTTTGGTAATTCTTACCGCTTTCAGATTCGCGATGGACTCATGTAGTTCAATATCCCATTCATGTCTACCCATTCCCGTTTCGACTTGTATAATCATGCATACTGTAGTAGCGATTGCGAAGATCTATTATCATGTCAGTCAGTGTCGTTCACAAGCATGCATGCATTCAAGCTTATATAATTACCAAGGCGACAAGAATCAGAGCGTCGTCTACGCCTGTGTTTTTGGCAACCGCGCACCTGGCATATAGTCGCAGTCCGCAAAAGAATCCCGCCAGAACCGTGAAGACGACTGTGATTGCGATGATAGACGCCCCGGACGCATGTCCAGATACCATCTTCGTTCCCCTCTCGCGTGAAGGTAATCGCTCTCAGAGGATATATCTCTGCATGTCGTAGTACGTACACGCTCTTTCGGCCTCGGTCACGTAGCGTCCAGGAGGAGTTGGGACGAGATCGCGTTTCACCGAAAGGAAGTCTTGTGCCTTAGGAGGTCGAGTGCAGTGCTAGAAGGGAAATCGAGCTTGGCCGAGGGAGCTCGCAGTAGACACATCATTATACGACATATTCATCTCAGGGAGATGGTGAAGTACCGCGTGAAGGCGAAAGGCTAAAGCCTATAATGGCGATTGGCGATTCAGGCACCGGCGCTGACCAGGCTGTGCTAGAATAGCAAAGCATCCCTGTACTGAAATTCTAACTCGCCGAGCAGTGCAACGTGCGTGCGCTCTTTGACAAGAAGCAGCAATTGGGCAAAGCGAGATAGATCTTCACAAGTTGTCCACAACACTTGTGACGCTCAGTGTGTTACGTGTGCCTTGGCAGTCGCAAGTTTGCGTGTTTGAGCACATGGCTGTGGCGTGCTTTCACACGCGACTAGGTTGACTCCCGAAGTCGTAACCTTGTGATGCCTGCCAATAGGGTTGATGCTAATAAATGACAGTCATTTAAGCTAAGCCTAATCCGGATATTTTATGCACCTGCAGGAAGTCCTGTGACAGCAGCCACTGTAAGTGAATGTATAGGGGCGATATTTTAGGGACCCTGAGGGTTAGGCGCCATCTCGGCGTTCTGCCCCTATACTTCACCGAATTAATGTGCACTATACAGCGATGCAAATGTATTGATTCTTGCACTAAAAAAATCGCAGTATCGAGTTCTATGATTCTAAAATTAGCCGCAATATATTATGATAGAATGTGGTGATGAAATATCGTGTTGTTTAGTGGTGACTAATTAGCTTTATACTGCCAAGCCTGCCTCGGCAAAGCCCGTCTAACCTCCGAAGCTCCGCCGAGAGGACGGAATTGGGAAAGCTAATAGCCCTCTGCACGCACAACACACCAACCATACTATATATAGATATACCAAATAGCGCAAATGAAAGGTCTTAATGCATATAATAAGCGTGTAAAGTATGAAGATAAAGTATAATAAAATAGTAGTAGTGCAATGCCCTAAATGTATACTAAAAAGCCCGCTTCCTAAATCCGCATTCTAACTAAACCCTAACTCGCGAGTGCACTTAATCGACCGAGATACGTCGATTAGACACACTTTCAACTATTGATAGGTGTTTCTCGGCTTCTAATTGGCTAGTTAGATTATAGCTGCAATCGACATACGCTCGTTAGATAGCAGGTTCTCGTTTAGCTGTTTATATAGACCGATAGCAACGAGTGCTTCTTCGAGCGCTTTAATAGCCTCTTCTAGTGTCTCTTCCTTACGTAGGTAGTGTAGTACACGCTTATTAATATAGATATACTGCAGCTTGTTCACTTTAGCGGGTACTAGTCGGTTACGGGTATCCGTATAAATAAGATTTAGTACCGAGAATAAGCGCTCGGAAGGCACTAAAGACGCTACTATACGAGCGAGGCGGATAGCTATTAGTGCGAGTATTATAGCCTCACTCTGAATGAATTGCTAGAAGGTTGCTAGATCGTTTATATATATCTAGCACTTAGCATCCTTATAGAAGGGCCCTTCGCGGTTATAGAAGGCATTGAACTCGCTTATAGCTCGCTAGAGCCTGCCCTCTTGCACCCTACGTTGAATGAACTTATATAGGGTAATACGCTATTGTAACTCGGTCTAGTATAGAATAGGGTCCTTCGTAACCGATAAGCCTAGATCTAGTAGATAAGCAACAACGTAACAGTTAGTAACCTGCTAGTTAATCCGTGCCTTTAGTTTAGTCTCTAAGTGGAAGAAGTGCTCCTTTGTAAAGTTACTAGCTTTAGTAGCGGCCTTCTAGGCGGCCTTGATCTTCTACTAGTAAGGAATAATATACCGAATAAAGCACTAGTCAGACTCGGCTATTTTAATATACTCGCTAACCGGTTGAATAACCTCTTTAACTATATTAAGCTCAGTCTAGAAGCTTGGATTCTATACAATATCTCTAACCTTCTTCATTAGCTTGCTAGTCTTATCCTTCTTACCCCTAATAGTAGGAGGGTTGAAATTTATAAGGGCAGGCTTAGCCTTGCGGACGCTCTTCAATAAGGCTAGTTAAGTGCCCTAACGAGTGATTACTAATAAGACAAAGGCGACTGTCTTACTAATAGTCTCTCGTATGTGCTAGCGAAGAATACTAAGCTATAGAGGCGACCGTAAGAAGGTAGATACAATAAGCTGCGCTATGCCGAGGACCTTCGTAAAGAAGGGGATTCTCTCGAAGATATCTTTAAGGGATAACTAGAGAGAGTATGCTTAACAAGGCACGTAGAATAGGTGTAAATACGGCTCGTACGTAGCAATATTGCTCTAAGTTGCCCGTATTGTCGTATAGGTGTCCGTTACAATAGCATTCAGTCGCTTATAGAAGTCCGGATAGCGTAGCTTAATCTTGTCCACTTATCGCCTAAACTAGTAAGCGTACTATATTACAGTGAGGTTGTCGTTCCTAATAACCTCCGAGGATAAGAAGAAGGCGCTATAATATAGTACGTAAGCACAGAGGTTGATAACACGTTCTTTGTTAACGTTAGCGCTCTTATTAAAGATAAGGTTAATATATCGCTAGTTGAAGATAATCGGGTCTACCTTTAACTATATATCCTTATAAACCTCATTTAAAAGGTAGTCTGCAACGTTCTGTCTACTAGGCACGGTATAGGCGTTATTAAGTAAGTTGAAGGCGTCCTTAAACTATAGTGAATTGAACACTCTAAAGGACAGGCTACTTATAATAATACCCTTTAAGAACTTCCGTTATATAAGCTTTATACCTTCTAGACCGATTGCTAGCATTTAAATCTCGCGTTGCTTAATCCGCTGCTTAATCTTATAGTAGTTAAGGCTAAGACTAAGCAGATAGGCCTTATAGACCTCTAGGTGGTGTTGCTAACGTGTTGTATACGCTACCCTCTCTTTCCCGTAGTAGTTATAGCGGCTCCATTCGGTGTTCTTACTAGTAGGCTTCTAGTACTTGAAATGGACCGAAACATCGAGGTTTTCGGGGCGTCCGCGCTTAAGGGAGGAAGACATAATATAATAGAGTAGATTGCGCGTATAGAAGTATATATAATCGCGTTGTAGTAGTAGTTATAGACGCGTAGAGAGATTAGAAAGGAATCGTAGAAGTTAGGTTAGGAATGCTTAGTTATATTTCCTGCAGTTATTTATGCATTACGTAATAAATAAATGACATGTCATAATATGGAATGCCGTCATTTAATCATCCCTACCTACTAAAGCATCAAGGGATGTACAACCTGACTAAGCGAGATAGCGGACGGGGGCGATCCCCGTAAACGGTAGCTAGCTTGAAAACGTTAGACGTAAACTTTTTTGAGGTGCGGATAACTCCTTTAGGCAGTACGCTAGCTTTGACCAGTTAGCTCCCGTTTTTAGAGATCACCCCCTTCCACCATCTCGCTTAATCAGGGTGTATCAATGTCTTGTGCGCTCGCCGCTTTGTAGCGTTCGTTGCACACTGACACTGCAAGAGAGCATTTCGGCTACTTGCAATGCCACCGCAGCTGTACTGTGCAGCGTAGACTGTTCGACGACAACAACCGCGTGTTTGTGATCACGCTGATTTGCTTGTAAATGTTGGAGCAGACCGTCGCTTGAAAAAGGCTAGTTGATTCTGCGCAGGAGCTCTTGAGAGTCAGGCGATCAGAACCGGACTTTAACCCTTCTCCATCACTCACAATGATATCCGCATGTTTCTTGGTAGAACAGGGAATCAGCCTATTGATACATATGAACCAAATCCGAGGGTATCTCTTCCTAACGCCACATATGCAGCTCCCACATGCCACTTCGCCTCACTTGGCTACTATGCAGACCGTTGCCTCGCCAATCGACGTTATTATAGAGATGTTAAAGAGAAATATGAGCCTCGCACCGGTTACGAATCGCGCCTTCGGCTTTCGAGCGCTCCAGGTGCTGTGTCTGATCGTGAAATATGACCTTCGATCCCATTTTCATTTACTGGCACCTCCAGCGTTTGCGAAGAATCAGGGGAAGATACTTCACTGTTTTGTAGAAATTTTCTTTCGAGAAGGCCAACCACTTTATCCGACATTTGGTCAAGCAGCTTAGCCACAGTCACCTCATCAAGAGTCTTGCTCGTTGACCTCTCACCCAAGGCGCGAGCTGTGAGCTTCAGCTCTTTTTCAAGCTCACGAAGAGCGTCTGTGTTGATTTCTTCGGTTACAGATGCGGTTCCCAGCTTCCTGCGGTAGGTTCTGAGTGTCCGACAAACCGATTCTGTGGAGGCATTCAATGTACCGAAGCTTTTGTTGCTGGCGGCGGAGCTGCTCGTGCTCAGCACATTCTCGCTGCTTTTTGACCTCAATGACATCCCCAGCTTAGCGCCGCGGGCACCAGTCTTGGTTGAGTGCTTGGGACTGGGTGGCGAAGGCGAGCGCTGCATCATGCTGCGGCGTCGAGAAGGGTCAAAATTTGGCCGAAATCCAGGATCGAGACGGGGAGTTTGCGCAAGGGAGAGCCTACTCGTCTTTTTGCGCATCTTGTGTGGCGACGCTGGATACGATGGAGTCGATGCTGAGGGCGGCATGTTCTCATCAATCAGACGTTCTCGTCGCATTCTCGACATTTCCGAGTGCGATATCACCTTGCGAAGCGGAGGGCCCAGCGCTGGGAGAGCACTTTCTCCATTCGCTTCGTCAGACATCTGTGTTGTAGGTCTCGGGGCCATGACCATACTCTCCCAGAGAAATATTGTTGTGTCCGCCGCAACAGTGACTATCATAGGTGATAGACGGTCTGGGGTCTCGGCATCTGACCATCTTGACGCAACCAGTGCGAGGGCCGTAATGCCTTCAGTGTGGCCCCAATCGCAAGCAATTAGGGTCCCGTAGTCTGAGTACAAGCGAACCGACTTATCACTTCCAGATACGCCAGCTATCGTGGGATTGCCGTTGAGAGAAGGCGCAAATAAGATTTTGGACATGGCCACAGCCTCTCCCCCTTCGCCATCTGCGCATTTGAAGCCGAAGCCTGATTGCCCTGTCTTGATGTTGTATTTCATGATTGATCTGTCAACGGTCGAGACCAAGATCGTGTCCGGCTGCGATGTATTGCAAATACTTGTAGGAGCGGATTTCAAGGTTATCGCCCGTGCCATTGCAAAGGCCACTGGAGCAGAGTTGGGACCGTCGCGCTGGATACATTCTCGCACGACAATAGAGCGATCGGCGGAGCAAGACATCAATCGAAGGCCGTCTTCCGCTAGAAGCAAGCCCATCACAGCTCCGGCGTGCTCGTCCATGGTTTGCAAAAGCTCCAGCTTTCCCTCTCTGCACGCGAACAATTGCACGGTCCGATCGCGACTTGCGGAAGCCACGAGCTGCTCTTGATTCTTCTCGAAAGCGAGCAGGTCCATGACCTCAGCCGAATGCGCACGCACGTGATGGTGGATCTTGTTGGTGCTCAACTCCACCAGAGCGATGGTCCCATACCGATCGCCTCCAGCAATGTATTGACCATTGACCAGTAATGCGACTGCTCTCAGCTCGTTCGGAGTCCCCTCTGTCTGACTGAAATCGTTGATGGGCATTTCTACTGCCTCACTCGTTGAATCGCCATCAAGGTTCCAGAATCGCACCATGCCACTGCCGGAGAACGTCAAGAAAGCGGCATGACTGAGGGACATTGCTTGCACCGGGAGGACGCCAAGGACCGCGTCTTGGTGGGCAGGTAGACGACGGGGCCGCAATGATTCGCTTGCTCGCAAGCTCAAGCCAGGCTTGAACAGGCTGATCACACGATCAGAATTGATCTCAACCACGGCATCGCCAAGGGTGGCGAGTGCAACAGTGTGCGCTGGCCGCATGCCAGATTGAGAAGATTTCGTCGGCGATGTAGACGCTCTCCTTAGGGTCTTATCAGCGCCACGTCTTTCAAGGTCGGGTACCAGATATGAAGCAGATTGTGCCTCCTCTCCAGCAACATGAAACATATGTTGATTGTCTAACCTCGCGGCGGAAATGCGCATTCCAGCATTCGCTACGAGAGTAAGAGTCTGCATTCGTGCGCTGTCGTCCAGAAGGCAGATCTCTCCGCCCTCGGCGCAGACCAGCGCTTTGGAGTTTGAAATGGCCAGGACAGAGATGAATACAGCTTCTAGCAAGTCGCCGAGCAGTGAGTTTTTCCCAGCGAGAACGCGATGCTTTGGACTTAAAATGCTGTTGCCGAAGTCGGCAAACTTGCTGTCGTGTTTCTGTCGTGGCGTCGTTACGGCATTTCGATCGCGTTCTCGGACTTCGAATACTTCCTCCTCAGGCCTCCAGACTTTGACAAAGCGCAGGCCTACGGTCACGATGCTCCTACCGCACCACGCCATGCTGTAGATCAGCGAGGTGCACTTGTTACTGGCGTACAGGCTCGCTAGGCCTGTGCGCTCCTCGATACTCCACACATAGAGAAAGCCATCGTTCACAGTGCCCAGTGATGCAAGGTATCTCGAGTCAGGACTGAAGCGTACCGCCATGACTCCGAAGGTGTGCTCTGATAGGGTGCACAGTGGTGCCTCGGATGATCCGTCCCGCGCCGAGAAGATCAGAACCCTTGGTTTGTAGCCCGTCTCTCCGACGGCCAGCCACTTGGCATTGGGAGACAGGGCCACAGATGTCGCGGCTTTCACACGATCTTTCGCTGAGGTTGTCCTTCCAGTGGGCGAGTCGGGCCAATCGCGATTGGTGAGGGTGCTCGGAGAGGCGTTGTCCTTGAGATTGCCTAGCTGGCGATGTCGTGGGTCGCCGGGAGTAGGAGTAAGAGGCCAGGGACCATTGTCTCTGGAGACATTTACGATGCCGGTGGCGCTGGGATTTGCACGAAAGAACTCCTGCTTCACGCCAAGCTCTTCGTCTACAGTGGCAAGCACGGCTGCTGCGCCGGCGACACACACGAATGTGCGGCGATGGGGCAGAGAGTCGAAGGCATTGCTGGAGGCTGTGGTTGTGCCAATGACCTTTTTCAGGTGCAGGCCGGGCTCTTCGCGAGACACTTTGGTGGGCGATCGAGGGACGGGGGATTTGAAGAAGGGCGAGTGCGAGTGCGAGTGCGAGGGCGTGAGTCGTAGACGTCCAGATGCAGATTGCGAAGAGGTCATGCTGCTCCACGCGCACGTCGTCGGCTGTGCCAGCTACGGGGTGAGCATGATTGTCAGTGCTGGTGCGAGGCGGGTGCGAGGATGTAGGTATGTGCGTTGCTCACGGAAGTCGAGGGGAGTGCCAGCTGATGTGACGGCGCATTATCATGGCAACTGTTCACCTGCGCACGCACATTGAGTTCGAGTTGCCGTGGTGGTGGTGGTGGGTGGTGGTGGTGCTGGGGCGCGTGCGTGCTTGCGTGCGTGCGTGCGTGCGTGCGTGCGTGCGTGGAATGAAGATGCGTGGGCGCAGGCGCAGGCGCAGGCGCAGTCGCAGTCGCAGTCGCAGATGCTCCCAATGACAGGTCGCGATTCGCGATTACCAGCTGCTGGCAGTGTGCGGACCACTGGTCAAAGGCGCGTGCGGTACAACAACAACAACAATATTGAACGTTCCGTTCCCACCACTTCAACGGCGGTCAAGCGAGCCAATGAACATGGCGGAATGCCGAATGCCAGGGCCAGATGATAAGATCCATGATCCATCGCCGTGCTTTCCATGACGACGAAGGCGTGGAGGTGTATAGTGATGATAAGTTGTGATTGTTATTGTTATGCGACACTTCCTACGGCCGGCATGGTAGTTCTATGGCATGGCATGGCATGGCATGGCATGGCATGGCATGGCATGGCGTCTCACCATCGCGTACGAGTACATGTGCAAGCGACAGGCAGTGCGGCTCCGGCAGCTTCTACATACTACACTACTGTACAGTACTCTCCCGGGCACCGCACGCACGCACGCACTTTTGCCCAGCGCAGGAGCACGAGCACGAGATTTTACTGGAGACACCATGCCGCTGGACGGGCATCCAATAGGAAAGACTGCACGGTCGAATGGAGATGAGGCTCTGCCTGATGTTCGCAGGCATCGCCGCATCGCCGCATCGCCCAGAAAGCTTGCCAAGCCCTGCCGGGAAGCTGGAGCTCTCGCCGTAGCCGTCACTTAGCCGCTACCCGTCTACCACGCCTGCTCCGCTGCCCCGCTGCATACACGCCGTACACATTTCTCGGCGATGATGCGATGCTCATACTCACTCATCCTGTACAAAGGCCCGCCAACTGTCCTCCTTCGTGCGTCTTGCCACCTCTAATTCTACCAATTCTACCTCCACCTCCACCGCACAAACACCTCGGAAGCGTAGCTCAAATCAGCCGTCTACACTCCCAAGCCTGCACCCGACCGACACATTCACCGCACTGGCAGACAGACATCACCAACCATGTCTGAAGGCACACAGCAACCGCCTGCTGGCATCCCGGAGTCGCACTCCGCCGAGACTTATCATGTGCCAGACGCCTTTCTTGGGTACGTCCAGTCTTTGCCAGCCTCACCATGACGCCTGATTCATACTGAACATCATTTAGCAAGCATCCCGCGAAGCCTCATGTTGAGTCACTGGACCAATACAAGGACATGTACAAGGAATCCATTACGAATCCAGACAAGTTCTGGGCCAAGCTGGCGCGAGAGCTATTGACTTGGGAGAAAGATTTCCAGACCGTCCATACTGGTACGCTGGCGGGAGGTGACAATGCTTGGTTTTTGGAGGGCAAGCTGAATGCCTCCTACAACTGCGTGGATCGTCACGCGGCAAAGAACCCGCACAAGCCAGCCATCATTTACGAAGCCGATGAAGCGAGCGACGGCCGCATCATTACCTACGCCGAGCTTTTGCGAGAAGTCTCCAAGCTGTCCTGGGTACTCAAGCATATGGGCGTCAAGAAGGGTGACACTGTTGCTCTCTACCTTCCAATGATTCCAGAGGCCATCGTTGCCTTCCTCGCATGTACCCGTATCGGAGCAGTACATTCCGTCGTTTTCGCTGGTTTCAGTGCCGACTCCCTCCGAGACCGTATTATTGACGCTCAATCCAAAGTCGTCATCACTACCGACGAAGGAAAGCGTGGTGGCAAGACTATTGGCACCAAGAAGATCGTGGACGAGGCTTTGAAGCAATGTCCAGATGTCAAGAACTGCCTTGTGTACAAGCGAACCGGTGTCGAGGTTCCGTGGACGAAGGGGCGTGACCTTTGGTGGCACGAGGAGACGGAGAAATGGCCAGCTTATTTCGCGCCAGAGAGCATGAGCTCGGAGGATCCTCTTTTCTTGCTGTACACTTCCGGTTCCACTGGCAAGCCAAAGGGCGTCATGCACACAACTGCCGGCTACCTCCTTGGTGCTGCAGCAACTGGAAAGTACGTCTTCGACATTCATGACTCGGATAAATTCTTCTGCGGCGGTGACGTGGGGTGGATCACAGGACACACCTATGTCGTGTATGCTCCATTAGTGCTTGGCGTCGCCACTGTCGTCTTCGAAGGAACTCCCGCATACCCGGACTTTAGCAGATATTGGGAAGTCTGCGAGAAGCACAAGGTCACACAGTTCTACGTTGCACCGACTGCATTGCGATTGTTGAAGCGCGCTGGAGATCAGCATGTGAAGCATCAGATGAAGTCTCTCCGCGTTCTTGGCAGTGTCGGAGAGCCGATTGCTGCAGAGGTCTGGAAATGGTACCACGAGATCGTTGGAAAGAAGGAGGCGCACATTGTGGATGTGAGTAGCATTTCGTGCCCTGTCCGCTCGACCATGGAGGCTAATGAGAACGTGTCTAGACATACTGGCAGACCGAGACCGGGTCGCACGTCATCACACCACTTGGCGGTGTTACACCAACGAAACCTGGATCCGCATCCCTTCCGTTCTTTGGCATCGAGCCCGCGATTATTGATCCAGTCTCCGGCGAGGAGATCCAAGGGAACGACGTCGAAGGTGTGCTTGCCTTCAAGCAGGCATGGCCGTCAATGGCACGAACCGTCTGGGGTGCCCACAAGAGATATATGGATACATACCTCAACGTCTACAAAGGATACTATTTTACCGGTGACGGTGCAGCCCGAGACTACGAGGGCTACTACTGGATCCGCGGACGTGTCGATGATGTGGTCAATGTTTCCGGTCATCGTCTCTCCACTGCTGAGATTGAAGCAGCACTCATCGAGCATCACGCCGTGGGCGAGGCAGCAGTCGTCGGTGTCAATGACGAACTCACCGGTCAAGCCGTAAACGCCTTCGTATCGATCAAGGATGGCATCGAGATCAACGACCAGCTGAAGAAAGACCTCGTCCTGCAAGTCAGGAAATCCATCGGTCCATTCGCCGCACCCAAGGCCATTTACACCATCCCCGACCTACCAAAGACCCGATCCGGAAAGATTATGCGCCGAATTCTCCGAAAGATTCTTGCTGGCGAGGAAGATCAACTGGGTGACACATCGACTTTGGCTGATCCGTCGGTTGTTGATAAGATCATCGAAACCGTTCATGAGAGCAAGCCGAAGAAATAAAGATCGATTGATGCGCATCGTTTTAATGTGTCTTGGAGGATACCATTTCCGTAGCTTATCTGAACCGGAGCTGCTTGTCCATAGTATCAATGAATGTATGAAGTGTCTGAAAAGGGTCAAACAACAACAACCGCGCATGAGCGCTACCTTATTCTTGTTCATCGGCCTGAGACCTACCCTATGTCACGACATGAGCAGCGAACTTGTGCCGCTATCATTCATACCCACTATGCCTAATAAAGCCGACGTGTTACTGTTTTCGTTCGGTATGTATATGTCACTTCTCCTCCACCTGTACCGCGAACCACCTCATCGAAATCCCAGGATGACGAAGGCACGTCGTCAGCACAAGGCTCCGATCCAAAGTCCAGGCTGTCTGTCTACAACTTCTTCCATTCCATTCCATATTCACCATCTATCTACAACAATGTCCTTCCTTCCTTCCTTCCATCACATTGTACCTTACCCGTACCGAAACCCTAGCTTAGCACTTCGAACACCTGCGTCGAAATGCACCCACTTACTCGCTTTTGCTGATCATTCCCGCTGTCCTCAAATTCCTGCTAACAGGAACAAAAAAAATGCATGCAATGCAATGCAAAGATGTCATAAACTTCGTGACGGCCAGATGCCCGATTCCATCCCACCTATCCCTTTCCAACAAAAAGTCGAAAAACTCCTGTCCGCCATGACCTGTGCCAAAATAGGTTGCAAGAAACAGAAATAAGAACATATTAGCAGCAACTACGCGTACCGCACAGAACTACTCCTCTGATATACTGGCGGCGGCACAGGTGGTGAGCTCCAGGCCTGGTTCCCACGATTTTGCTGTGCCCAGCCTTGGCTAGGATGTGATGGAGGAGCGTAATAGCCGCCTTGCTGAGACATGGCCGGGCCACCACGGTTGCCGCCATTCCATCCTTGCCAGCCTCCTGGTGGCGGCGACGGAGTTTGCTTGCGCGCGCGGCCCCGTCGACAGCAGCGGAATAGGCAACTTAGAATAGCGAAAAGCAGAAGGCCTCCGACCGCGCTGCAAATGCCGATGACTAGAGCTTTGTGGTCTTCAATCCACGATTTGACTTGGCCACCAATGGAAGCTCCTTTGCACTGGCCCTGTAATGAAAGTCAGTAACGATGTTGACGTGGAGAAAGAGCACGAGACCGCTTACATTTCGGCAGCGGCCACCACCGCCACAGGGGGTACCGTTGAGGAAATTCTGCTGAAGACCATAGCATACTCCGGTACCAAACTCTGGGCTCGCGCAACTGATTGCACAGCCAGAGCTATCACATGCGTACGTATCGTTGCCCTGAGTGTAGCTTCCCATCACGCTTTTACACTGCTGATCACGGCTAGTGCATTGGCCAGAAGCACATTGCAGTTTGTCACCGCAATCAGTGCCATCTGGTTTGGTCTGGTCGGTGGGACACGACGAGGAGTTGCCTTGGCAGGTCTCTTGCGGATCGCAGTCACCCGTGCTTGCACGGCATACAGTGCCCGCCGATGCGAACTGGCAGTTCCTGCAGCAGTCCTCGTTGGAGTCGTCGCATACGGAGCCCTCTGTAAATTTGCAGGTGGTTGGGTTACAGCAGCGATCGTCCCCACATCCATCCTTGCCACCACAATCACAGTCTTCTCCCTGTTCCACAATCCCGTTGCCGCATTGCTGACCACTGATGGTAGTGACACCACGGTTATTCACCAAGCACTGGCCATTGACAGAGTTGCGATCCAAGGCACTACAGATATTTCCTACCGAGCATGGACTGAAATCAGTGATCCCTTGCGAAGTTGAGGGATTCATGATATACCGCTCCCCAGCATCACAAGTACTGGCGCTGAGAGGGCAGCACTGCTGTGAGTTGACGAAGTTTGAGTTCTGGCATGTGCTGCTGTCGCAATCGTGAACGGCGCCGAATGTGTGGCCTGTTTCGTGGGCGATGATCTGCCATTCTTGAGCACCTCGAGTGCGGATGACCACGTTTGCTCCTGTGACGGTCTCCTGGCCGCCATTGGTTTGGCCATTTCCAGTAACACTACCGTTGGTGGTGATGGACGTGCCCACGCACGCTTGACCCAGCCAGGCGAGGCCGACAGCAGATTCTGTATTGCAGGTGCTAAGCAGCGTCCAGTGGCTATTGGCGTCGCGCTGGTTGCCTCGCCATGCAGAGAACATGTTCAATCGGTCCTGAATATCAACGTTTCCCGAGCAAGCCTGATTCCACTCTGTAGCAGCAGCAGGGGTGCCTGGGCAGTTCCTGTCCGAAATGGTGAGATTCTGCAGGCCAAGCGATATGTTAAAGGCGCCCTCCCATACACCTGAAGCCTGATTCATCTGGGTGATGACATTCTCGCGGGCGGCTTGTTCATCGTTGAATTGCGCAGTGTAAGTACAATCGGTGGCAACTCCTACCAGGGCGACCTTGCGTGTAGATGGGCAGCCACGCGTTTGACCGACGGTGCTCGCAAGGTTCACGCCAGCACTGTTGCCGGCCGTAGTGCCATCAATCTGTCGCTTGCTGAAGACATTCGAAAAATCCATGACACCGTAAGAGGAAGCCGAGCGCTTGCTCTTCATGGCCACATAGACTGGGTGCTCGGGTTGTGCATTGAAGCTCAGCTTATCTGCTTGGCATATGGCGGCGGAAGCCAGCCTCTTCTTCAACTCCTGATGCTCTAGTGTATCCGGTAAGATGTCTGAATCCCTCCACAAGACCATATAGTCTTCGGAATGATCAATCTCGGGATCCAGCCGATGTCGTGTGCGCATATACTCGGTCGAAGTCTGAATGTGATGGTGGTCGTGGTTCATGCGGAATGCTGCAGCGAACAGTGGCTGCTGGCCGTCTTTCAGAACTGACACTCTCGCCCAGCCGACCTGTTGCCATTTATTCTGTCCCGCCGCGGGCCTTTGCGCCCATGCTGTGCCTTTGTATACCTTGTGATTTAGCCGATCCACGCTTTCTGTGTGGCGTATCGATCCATCTGGGTGGAGGTATTGGATGTTCGCATCGGGCGCGAGGATGTCGTGGTTTGGCTCCAGATGGAACTTGACATACAGCTCATCACGAATGTTGAATGTGAGGTCAAACTCGGACAGGGCTGTCAGGCGCGCGTTGTGGGTGTGAATGGTGGCATTCTGGACGGTCGAGAGGGCGCCGATCGGATTTCGGATGGTGCTACTGGCTTGTACAATGCTCGATAGCAGTGGTATGGAGGAAGCGAGGCCGAGTATTGGTCCGGGTCGTAAGCAGCGCATGGCCGCCGCGAGCGGGTTGAAGGCACGATTCAAGGAGTGGGAGTGGCGGCTCTCATGCGCAGGAGCAAAGTTTCAATGGGTCCCCGAGTACGATAGGGAATCGATCTCCTGCCAATGAGAGTCTCTACGGGGAAGAGCGTGGTTGTTGTACCAAAAAGACACAGTGAGTGTCGTGTCGTCAACGAGCGGAGGCAGCATGCGCTCACAGCAGTAGTAGTAGTGTACAGCAAGAGACAAGAGATGAGAAGGCGCTCAGCCGCCACCACAACTCACAAAGGCCAAGCTTGCAAGCGCCGAAGCGCGGTTCCACTTTGCTCCGAGAACCTAAACGCTACAGCCGCACTGGCCACGCTCCAGGCCGTGCTGAGATTCCGGCTCCTTCATTGGCTGGCGGTGGAGTTGTGTGTCTACCAGGTAACAACTGTTCCTGGGGCGATGGGAGAACAACATCACTCCATCTACTGCTACAGTATACCGCACCGACACGGCCCGGCCTGCAAACAACTTCACTGCTCACGCAAAGCAGCGCTGCATAGGAGTCACCTCCGTCCGCGAAGCACCAGCGCCTGTGCAACGCCGCCAGTCTACCCACATCGACTACTGAACGAGACGTGTGGATAGCCAAGAAGCCCAAGACATTCGATTGCGTACTCCTCGCCCGCCAAGTCATTTACTTTGCGGCCACTTTGCTTTTCGCTTACAAAGTCTTCTCCAAACTCCCTTCATACGTGCGTGCCTTGACGCTTTTCCCGCTCAACTTTCGCTTCGAACAGGGAGAGCATGAAGCGAGAAATTACGCAGATAACGTGATCGAGAACGATTCCGCCGAACATGATAAGCTGAGGCCGAGAGGTATTGTGAACACCTCCAGGGCAGCCATCTCTGAATGAGAGTGGCGAGACACACTGACAAAGTTCGTGTCACTTGACCAGCTATCTTTGTTGGACGTAGATCTGCCTCGCTCACTTGTGAAGACGTGTGAAGAGGTGAGAGCACAGCAGAACATCTGCCACACGCTGTCGAGGCCATCCTCCGGCGGGCTAAAGTAAGGTCTCTGCCCGTGCTGCTTCTATGTTCTATCACTAGGTAATCTTTGCCTGCCGCCAGCGTCAAGCTACCGTGGCGGAGTTCCAGAGCGCACTCTTGCTGCACCCTCGTCGACAGCCTTATTACCGACGCCGAAGCCATAACTTGGTCGTGTTTTCCGCCCTCGTCGATCACCGAATTGCTCGTCGAACTTTTTGATGGCAGTCAATGAATCCATATCTTCGCTAATCGATGCAGAAATCTCCTTGATCGCCTTCTCAAAATGTCGACCGGACAACACACGCTTCTCTGGAAGCTTGAATTCTTTGTCATCCTTCTTGCTCTGCGCCAGGTCGTTTTCTTCGCCGACGCAAGCAAGCGCCGCCGAGACGCAGAGGTTCTTCAGATCCGATCCAGAGTAAAGGGGTGTATCGCCTGCGAGCTTTGCCAGGTCCACGCTCTCATCCAATGTCTCGTCGTTCAGGTGTATTTTGAGAATCGACTCCCTGTCCTTCGCGACTGGAAGATCAACAAGAAGTCTTCGAGGAAGGCGTCGTAAGACTGCATCGTCCAAATCAAACGGCCGATTGCTAGCAACCATGACGAAGACATTGTGCATCTCCATGCCATCCCATTCTCTCAAGAACTGGTTGATGATTTCTCGGTGAGTATTCCTATTGCCAGCATTACTGCGACTGCCGAAGATAGCATCCGCTTCATCCAAGAACAGGATGCAAGGAGTCAGTTTCTTCGCAAGACTGAAAACCGCGCGGACCATTTTCTCTCCCTCGCCCACGTACTTTTCGTAGATCTGCGCCCCGCTTATCTCCAAGACTGTCGCGCCGGACTCCTTAGCGACCGCTTTAGCAAGTAGCGTTTTGCCAGTTCCAGGTGGCCCATAGAGCAGCAGACCAGGCAAACGATCTGCAGCTAGAATGCCATACTTGAAAGCGTCAGGCCGCTGTAATGACAGCGATGTCAACATCTTAAGGGCGTCGATAGTCTCCGGAGGAGCGTGGACTTGGTCGAACCCAGTCTTGATGTTCTGCGGATCAATAACACTTGGAAACAGTCGCGTCTCATGGCTGTTGCTGCTCTGCTTGAGCTTATCTAAACGAGACTGTCCTCCTTCGACCGAGTTTGGATCTCCCTCTGGTACCCCGTTGAGATCTGAAGACAACTGGAACCTGGCCATTCGTCGCATGTTCTTGTTATCGAAGGAGTCGCTTGCAGTCTTGGCTGCCTGCCATTCGATGTGAGATGCCAGTGCTATATGGCTAGCGTTCACAGAGCTCGACAATGCGTGGGATTGGGCAAGACCGATGGCAGTCAATACCAACGCTTGTACTCTGTCGAATGATAGTGGTTCCCGGTCTAGATCATATCCGCCCAATACCAGCAGCCGTTGAGCAGATTCAGAGTATGGATCGAAATCGCTTCCAGGCTGCAAAGTCTCGAGCATTCTACGGATATGCCTCAAGTTCATTTCTAGAAAGCGAGGATTCTTCGGTCCAGCCGCCCATGTTTCATCTGTGCTCGACTTGTAAAGCGCTTGATCCTCCTTGGACAGTTCGAACACAGCGGGAACGCGCACCTCTCGAAAATCATTCAGACCTGGGGTATGTGATATGAATGGGAACCCTTCAGCAGATGAGGTTCCTACAAGCACAACTTCTGATCCAGCCCGCCGCCGCTTTTGTGTAATACTTACCAGACAGCGGATGATGGCTTCTCCTAGTCGATTATGGCAGATCTCTCGCAGATTGCGTATGTGAATGATAGTCTTCGGTGGCCCCGAGCCTGCAGGAGCCTCTGCGCTGTAGCAATGTTCTGATGGTTCAAGCTTAACCCCAGATAGGCCCTTTCCAGTCTCATCACTAGAGGCGTGAACGTGCGCAGCCAGCAATCCAGACACATCTGGCAGCCAGCTGCCAGTATCCGATCGCCACATGCGCCACATTGCATTGTCGGACTGAGCATATGGACCGGCCGTGCGCGAGCCCAAGCGTCGCAAAGTCTCGTTACTCTGGGTGTGGGGAGCTCGTCGTTTCAGGGCAGGAGCATCAAGCAAGTCATCCAGCAATGCAGACAGCTTCGCGTCGTCGTACTTAGGTTCATCGGATGAAGGCATTGCTGTGAAGTGCTCTCGATGCATTGCTGATCTCTCCATTGGGACATTGATGTCCACTTCGAGTCGTGCTGGCGATTTCCGGACTCCAGTCGCAGCGTCCATCAACCTTCTCTGTAGACTGCTTAGACTAGTAAAGCCTAGTGCATCCACCTTCGTCCATCTGCCGCCCCAACCGCCCTGCGAATCGTTCATCTCATCTTCGTCTGCTTCGTCCTCCTCCAGATCATCCTCTCCCTCGTCCTCAGCGATGCGATCTGGACGACCAGATGATGGCGCAAACTTATTACAGAAGACATCGTAGGCCAGGTTGGAAAACGAGCCTGGCGTATCTGACCCCCTTCCCACATAGTCTGCTGTAAGCTCTGCAAGGTCATTGGCATCCAGGCGGATTATGTCTGATCCGGTGATAGCAGCAAGGTCTTCCACAAGGTCGTCCAGATGGGAGTCCGACCCGGAATCACGGCAGTGGAGTGTTAAATCAACCCTCGAAGCTGCTTGCGAAGAATGTTGAGGTACGTCTTTGGCCGTTGCAAAGGCTGCTCGGATGCCCATCTCTGCCTGCAGTATCGCCCACCGGAGTAGGGCGTGTGGGTTCACGTCTTTGTAGGCTTCGTCAGAGGGAGGTGTCTTGATAGGTTGATGCCGAGTATTCGAGCTTGTTTGATCAGGTGTGCCATTGCCATCACCCCGATGACTGTCGAAGAAGCTCTGCTCTGATAACTTTTGCTGCGCCAACTCCCCATCATTGGCCTCCCCGCCACTGGAAGTCCGCCCTTTTAGGTCTGGCACTGGCCACGCTTCATAATATGGCAATGTGAACAAGACATGGCCGGTGGCATTGTCAGCGCACTTCAGTACTTGGGCGGATTCAGCCTGCCGATCTGATTTTGCCCGTTCGACGTGCAGCTTTACATTATGAGTCAAAAACCACTCAGGTATCGGCGGCGGTTTTGGAACAGTTGGTGTCAGGGCCTCGCGCCGTCTCTGTCTCTTTGTCAATCCAGTTCGTTGCTTCTGTTCATCCTCAGCTATTTTCGCCTCGGATTGTGCGCCCTGCTTCGTATCGCTTTGCGCGACATCCCCGCGTGGTCTCTGCCCTTCTTCACGAAACTGAAAAGGCGTATGCTGCTCTGGCGGTAGGGTCGGGGGTCGATTGTCGCTTTGGTAGAGTACACTCTTGCTGAAACTTCGAATATGCTGCTGCGCGCATCTGGGATGGTTCGACCGTGATTGAGAGCGGCTTCTGTTGGCCAAGCGTACGCTCTGCCGGACTATTGGGCGCATTCGCGGAGCCGAGTGTAAAGACGGTGGTCGCAATGTGTGCAGCCGTTGGGAGACAAGGTCCTCGGTCAAGTTCTGCGAAAGCTGGCTGATTGTCCACGTCCACTGTTCCACACCAGCCACACAGCCCACAGGGCGCGAGTCAACTTACCTGCACAGATCTCTTTAATTCAGAGCGACGACATCTCAGTGACATCGCGAATGCTTCGGTCTCTGAACTCATCCCAGATCGATGGAACTTCCAAGGAGCAGGAGACAGACATGAGTTCAACTATCTCCCGATCGTGTCTTCCTGCTAACCATACATTTCCGTCGGGTTCAAAGAACGCCTATCGTGCCATGACGAGATACGAGCGAATGAACAGCAACAATGGAAGGCGGAGTCAAAGTACGATCTTTTCAACTGTCTGATTATTTCTCGCAAGGTCGAGCTACTCGTAAGACATTACTTGATATCTGGTATCGCTGAACGTTACAGAAAGAAAGTGATCATCATAATCCACGCTTGAGTCACTCTGCTCTCCTGGCTCTCATCCAGGTCGCATGGGTATCTCCTGTTTGAGTGTTTTTGTACAATGGTCAGTTGCCTGTTGGGTCGTGTTGCGCGTGATTTCTATCCAACCCAGCCTTGACAACTAATAATTGGTAGAGGTCGTAGTGTGCGTAGTAGTCGTTGTATCATATCCATATGGGTTCGTAGCGCCCGTGCCGGTAGGAGCAGTATAGTATCCAGTGTGTGCAGCTGCTGGTTGAGGAGCGTAGGTGGTTGGCTCAACTTTATCGTGACCAAGTCCAGCGTTGTTACCGACGGTGGTACCCGTCTCGTACGAAGTACGATTGTTTGTGCCAGCGCCGATACCACCTGCCATCTCAGCATCTCTCGTCGCATTCTTCGGTTTTCGCTGCCAGAACTTGCGCTTGCCGTAGCCCGAGCTGTAATTGTTTGCTAATGGAGTAGTTCGAAGGTCAGCAAGTGTCTGAACTTTTAGGATGCTTTGGTGTGAACGTACATGGTCCTGGTCCGAATCGCTTCTCTTTCTTGTGGTGTCTGACGAGAGCGACTTGCATCACGGCAGTAAGCAAGAAGACGAAGACGCCGATGATCGATACCGCAAAGACAGCCGTGTTCAGTCTGCAAGCAGTGTGAGGAGATACTTGGTATGTGGTGTTGTCTCCTGAACCAAATCCAAAGTTGCCTCCGAAACCAGAAGAATCCTGGCTCGATGAGCCGATTCCGAGAGGTGTGTTGACTATGCCTTTGCAGCTAGAAGCACCGTGTCTTGTCATGATGGCAATGGCTATCATGGCGCCAACAAAGCAGAGATCGAGCACCTAAGCCAGTGTCAGTATGTGGAACGACGTACAGCTGCCGGCGAGACGTACAATAGCCAAGAAAGCGAAGGCAGAGATTCCTCCGAGGCAGCATGTAAGAACGACTGCGAATATGGTGTACAGGACTGCGGCGCCAGCGAGCCCAGTGACCGCTTTCTCCCATCGCGGAATATGCGCATCTCTGTCGGCGAGGACGGCGAGGAAGTAGCTGTAGATGCCGAGCGCAACAGCACTGCATCCAAAGGCCAATGCGTACAGAAGCGTCTGAAAGAGACGCAACGCGCCTCCTTTGATAATACCCATGGTTGTTTGGTGTCGACGAGTCAAGTCTTGTGTTCGTTTGGCAAGAAGGTCGGGAAGAGGGTTCGTCGCAGGAGTGGCTCGAGTGATGTCGGAGATCTATGTACTGCCTTTGTGTTGACACCACTCAGCCACAATAGAGCTACGTCACTCGAAGTATGTGTGCAGCAATTTGCAGCTAAGCAATGCAAGTGCAAAAGCTAGTGCGTGTTCCTGGTTTACCGCAAGATCGGGAAGGCATGATTCGCCCTTGCCTCCTCCGAGGACATCACGCATCAGCCACAGAGACCGCCACATGCTGCTCCAACCTGGAGAGTTTTTGGACAGCACACTTGGTGATTGCTGGCGGGTCACGAGGCGCAGCCGATCTGAATTTCGCGATGTTGAGAGGCATCGCGACGTCTGCTTTCGGTTAGAAGCATAAAGCTTGTTCCCTTTTCGTGGCTTGTGACGTTTCGCCATTGGCATTTGTCGTCATTCCTGCTCGACAATCCTGGCACGATTCACAGCGCAAGGCGAGGCAAGGCAACTTGACGACTGAACCAATGGACAACTGGAGTAGCGGACACACTGCCTGCAAAAGTGAGCCTGATATGAGCTGACACCAGACTCTCCTAGCCTAGGCACGTGAACCATGGCCCGAGCACATGATGGCTGACGGAGACAAATTGTTACGCATCTTCAACTTGGGTTGAATGAAGAACTGAATTCTGCAGACGTGGCGACTCAACTATCCATTCTGCGGAAACAACACACTGCACGCGAACGAGAAGGAGTCTGCAACTACAAAACAACCGCCTCAATCAGAAGAAGAAATGTCACACGACGGCCGAAATCTGTTCAACTGGAATGGGCACTAGCATTGCAATCTCTCATGTGGACTTTAATGTCATGACCTTGATGGAGTTTCACTACTACAGCAGAGACGCAGAGGATGCTACTGGCCTTGCCATGTCTCTTCCAGCCACGTCCTCCCTTCTTAGATTTCACCACTCCCCTTCACTAATATCTTTACTTGTCGGTCTTTATCATTGATCAATGTCTTAAAGCCTTCCTCGACCACGTCTCTCATTTCTATTCTCTTGGTAATCATTTTCTTACACATGTCAAGCCGCCCATCCGAAATGGCATCTATGACCTCCTGGAAGTCACTCTTAACATATGTTGCGACTCCGAGGTATCTTCGCTCCTTGAAGACAAGGTCATTTGGCCAAAGTGTACATCTTTTCTCCCAGATCGCGATATTGACGTGGGTGCCGCGGGCCTTGAGCGAGTTCACGGCTTGGTCGAGACCTGGTTGCACACCAGCCGCATCGAAAGTAACGTCGACGCCACGATTATTTGTCAACTTGAGACATTCGGCAACGATATCATCCTAGAACAATGAACAGGCGTCAGCAAAGTTGCACGCTCTTGGAAACCATCAGCCCATAGCTGAACACAGACCTTGGTCGGGTCTAGAACCACGTGGGCGCCGAGATCTTTTGCAAACTGCTTTCGCATTCCGGACACTTCAGACACAATGCTACGCACAGCGAAAGATACAGTGGTCAGCAGTTCGCCTCAAACACAGGGATTGCACGTCAATCTCACATCTGTGGACATCCGCGAGCGCGTAAGGCTTGAACGACGGATAACCCGATCGGACCTCCCCCAAGGATCAAGGCTGTATCTGTTCGCTTGAAGGGACTCGAATTCACAGCATGCCAGCCAACTGCGAGTGGCTCTACGAGCGCTGCCACGTCTAGGCCGACATTGTCCGGGCAGTTGTAAAGTGTATACTCCGGAACCTGGGTCAGTGATAAGCAGAGGTGCTTGTGTCGCCACGCGTATGTCGTACCACCAAATGCTCTGAAAGGCCTCCCCCCCAACCGCTCAGGCCGACAAAGCCGTTCTTCCAACAGCAATTGACAAGCCCGTCTTGACATGCGCCACAGTCGCCGTCGTAGATAATGGGCGCCACTACAACTCGGCCGCCAACCTTGAATCGGTCGGAAACACCTTCTCCAACCTCTTCAATCACTCCACTGAACTCGTGCCCGAACGTAAGCGGTACTGTCTCCCCGGTAATCGGATGTGGTTTGCTTTCTGGACACAACGAGGGCCCGCCGAGGTATTCGTGAAGGTCAGGACAACTGTTAGCTATTTGGTAGCTTGGGATAAGACGGATCATTACCTGAGCCGCAAATTCCACACCACGCCGGTTTGACCTTTACCTGACCAGGTCCACAAACCGGCTCTGGAATATCTTCAAACCGCAAATCCTCTTTACCATGAAAGCGCACCGCCTTCATCGACTTTACACTCTCCGATGTGGGCTGGTTTTCTTTCGAATGTGGCAGGTTGCTGTCCTGGATAGTTTCGTGGGCCATATTGATGCTTGAGCAGCTGGGATGTGGAAATGTAGGAAGCCGGGCAAGCAGGGCATCGAGGACCTCGACACGTCTTAACTGATCAACACCTGCTACTTACGGAACTATGTTGACGGCATCCACGGCATGCCGTATGGAGGCATGCGATCACAAGAGCCTCCTCTTAAGCTCATTATTCCAGGGTCGCGAGCACGCGGGGCAACAGTGAAAGGAGTGAGGGGTTGCCGCCATGCTCGTTGCCGTGAAGACTGATCTTGGCATCGGGATGAATTGGGGTCCACTCCAGGAGGATCTCTTAGGGATTTCTGCCTGCTTCCCTGGGCCGATTGTGGAGGCAGTCAACGGAGAAGAAGCAGGTGCAAGCGGCCGGAGTGAATGGAGAGGCCGTATTGAGCGAAATCAAACACGACGCGTGGAAGCGCCCCGCAGCGCGCCCGCCGCCCAGACAGACGTGTTCGGCCGGAGATCGTCCGGATGGCGAAATGTGATTCCACAGAACAAGAGTGCAGCTTCCAGGCGGACGAAGATGAAAAAATGCCGTGGACAATGTCGACGGCTGGGGCCTTTGAAAAATGCGGCAAGGCTGGCAATGCGTGCTTCGCGGCGACGTTGAGTTCGAAGAGAATCAAAGACGCATGGTGCCGTTTCGTTGACGGGGGATGACCTCACCCCCATTGAGAGCTCTGAGATTCTCCGAGAGCGCACAAGCAAGGCACGGCCACTTTATAAGGACCAGCATTCTGCGCGACTCGCGCCTGCGTCTGTTGAGCATTTCTCGTCTATCCACACCAACCACGCAGGGCTTCTTTCCCACAATCTGCCAAGATGCCTTATCCAGACACCGCCGAGGGCTTCATGATCGAAGATCAGAAGAAGTGGACCGACTTCAAGAAGCAAGAGTTCAAGCTCAAGCCATTCGAGGACCGTGACATCGACATCGCGATTGAATGCTGTGGTGTATGCGGGTAGGCATAGAACAACACCTCTCCCCCGGGGGCTCCTGCTGACATTCACGTCCTTCTCTTCTAGGTCGGATGTGCACAAAATCAATGGCGGCTGGGGGTAAGGAAGTCCTGGCTTCGCGGCGTCCCATGTCTGAGATGGCTGCTAACCTTCGTGCCATCACTCCAGAGACTGTCCGCTCCCCATTTGCGTCGGTCATGAGGTTGTTGGAAAAGCTATCAAGGTTGGAAAGGATGTCAAAACAATCAAAATCGGAGATCGCGTCGGTGTTGGAGCTCAGATACAGGCGGATCTGACCTGCACAAACTGCAAAGCAGACCAGGAGAACTATTGTCCCAATATGATCGACACGTACGGTGCGTGGCTAACTCGGATAATCAAAGTGCGTGCTGGTCTGATTGAAACGCAGGTTCTCAATACAGCGACGGCACCATCTCTCAAGGCGGCTACTCCTCACACATCCGTGCACATGAATACTTCACATTCAAAATTCCGGACAACATTGAAAGCGCGATAGCAGCACCCATGCTTTGTGCAGGCCTCACAGTTTACTCGCCTCTCGTACGCTTGGGAGCTGGTCCGGGCAAGAAGGTTGCAATCGTGGGTATTGGAGGTGAGTTGCCCAGAGGGTATTCTTATCTTCATCCGCGCCTCTGCTAATGCCATCATCCTTTGACAGGTCTCGGACATTTCGCTGTGTTGTTCGCTCGTGCTCTCGGCGCCGAAGTCTACGTGCTATCACATAGTCCAAACAAGAAGGTATTGAGCTGCCGTGGTAGGGAGCAACGACAAGCCCTGACTGCTTCTAGGACGATGCACTGAAGATGGGTGCTAAACATTTCATCGACACCAACCAGAAAGACTGGCACAAGGACTATGCCTTCACCTTCGACTTCATTCTCAACTGTGCCGATGCAACTCACAAGTTCAACCTGAAAGACTACTTCAGTACACTCAAAGTCATGGGTCGCTTCCACACTGTCGGCTTCGGAGATCACCCATTACCGACTTTGATGGCCCAGGATTTCGCTGGTTCCGGATGTTACTTCGGCGCATCTCACATCGGAAACCGCCCTGAAATGCTTGCTATGTTCGATCTTGCTTCGAAGCAGAGCATCAAGTCGTGGATTCAGACAGTCCCAATCAGCGAGGCAGGATGCAAGGAGGCCGTGACCGCGGTATCTGAGAACAAGGTGAGGTACCGCTACGTTCTGACGGACTACGACAAGGTCTTTGGCAAGCGAGACTAGATTGTCGCTTCAGCAGGATACGAAATTGCTCACACAGAGTGTTTATGAGGCACATACATCAAATGTATACAATGCACCAAATATCAACACCTTGATAACGGCACTGTTCCCACCACTCGCAGTGCTCGTTTCCAGCCGCAGCTTTCATTCGTCAACCGCTCAGATATTGGCACATCGCTCTACTGTAAATCAAGTACGACCCGACCTTTCAGTTCGCCCTTGTCCATTTCCTCAAATATCGCCGTTAGTTCCTCCATCTTGGCAGTGCGGAAATGGGTCTTGACAAGTCCACGCTCCGCAAACTCGAGCGCCTCAATCGCGTCTCTACGATCCCCCACGGCAACACCGATTATTTTTTGGGCCCTAGCAACCAAGAACTGAGGAAAAGCTGTGGCGATGGGCTTGAGTTCACCCTCAGGTAAACCGACGCAGACACATGTACCGCCAAACCTGCAAGAGCGTGAGCTTTACAACGCCGGTATCAGGATCGAAGACCTACTTGAGCATGCCCATAGCGGAGGCATAAGCAGCGTTTGCTGCTGTGAGTACGAGAACAGCCTGAGCACCAAGGCCACCCGTAGCCTGCAAATCACACGGTCAGTCTAAGACAAGCTTGTGTCGGACTTTCATTTCCCAACCTTTTTCACTTCCTCTTCGGCGTTTCCTTGCGTGTGGTCAACGAAGACTTCCGCTCCGCATTCAGTTGCCAGCTCTTTCTTGCTCCCCGCATCAATGCCGATCACTCGCATTCCCATGCCTCGCGAAGCAATCTGTGTGGCGAGATGACCTAGACCACCACCTGCGCCAAGTAAGACGACCCAATCACCAGCTTTGGCTCCAGATTTCCTCAGAGCGCTGTAGACTGTAACGCCAGCACACAGCATAGGAGCGGCAGCATCGCTTGGTAGAGATTCGGGGATAGGGGTAACATAGCTAGCAGGGCCTAGCACGTACTGCTGAAAAGTGCCTGTATAAAAACAAGCAAGCAAGGTCAGAACGGCGAGAAAGCCGAGAAATCTGAGCATACTCACCAGGTGTGTAGTAGCCTGAGACTTTCTGTTTGGCCGGAGAGACAAGCTGGACAAGAATCACAAATTGCAGAGATCCTGGTCACAAATGTGTCAATTGGCTGGAATTCACTACCTGGGTGCACGACTTCTCTTACCATTTAATGCCAACGCGACTGCCGACTTTGATCACACTTGTTTCGGTACCAGGGCCAAGTTTCACAACTTTGCCAATGCCCTCATGGCCTCCAACTTGACCTGGCTGAGTTGGGAAAGGGAGGCCAGCCCATCGATTTGTCTACTAGAAATTTAGCAAGCCATTCGATCGTTTTTTTTTCCGTCTTTCGAGCCCACCATAACACCAAGATCCGAATGGCAGACGCCTGAATGCGTCAAGTTGATGAGAACCTCGCCTGGTCCAGGCTCTGGGGTGTCGAGCTCGACGACCTTGGTCGAGACCTTGCCAGGCTCATCGTAGATGACCGCCTTGTATTTCTTTGGAATGTCGACTGATGCCATGTTTGTTTGGTATCTTACCAATGGGGCAAGGGAATATGTTGCACAGATAGAGGAGAAGGAGAGAGCTTGATGGAAACGTGAGACCTCGCTTTGAGATCTGGATCCTCTTACGTGTAGTAATTCGTAGCTGGCGTGCCTCACATCGAGTCTAGCGAAGATGGAGCAGAATGGGACCTCGGTGCTGCGCGGGGTTTGAGTACAGTAAGAAGGTCCAAAGAGCTCGAGACAGCCACTGTTGAGGGGTAGTGCTGAGTGGAGACTATGGGCGCGCAGAAGTGAGTCCTTGGCCGCATGCCGATTTGCCCATTGCCACTGCGAGCAGATGGCCTTCGGGCGAGCCTGCCGTGGTATTGTACTGGAACGCGGCGGGCGGCGGCAACGATGGAGAAGCGAAGTACGACGACGTCTGCACATGATGTCATGAAGAGCAGATGGCTTCATGGCCCGGACCCTGCCAAGCAATTTCTGTCTACTGTCGCCGGCTCGGATCGGAGTCAGAATATCTCGTGTGTGGGAGCTCCTCAATCCCAAGCATCTCTCGGACTCTCCGCAAATCGGCTGCAGAGGGTAAGGTGGGATTTTCAAGAGAATGGAGAGGGGCTGTCCAACAAACCACGAAGAGCCAGGCCACCACATACCCATCGCAACACGGGCTTCTTGGCATGACGAGACTGCTAAGACCTGACCTTGAGCGCTAGACAGTCCTCGCTCTGCGCAGTGTTGAAGTGGTCAATGGAATCGCCCATCATGGAGTGCTCAGACTTTGCATATCTTTGCACCTGGTAGAGTCCGTTCCAAACGTCTTGACTTTTGAGCAACCGTTCTCCTCATGTTCCGGGGGTCCAGCAAGTCTTAGGGGGCAGAGCGAGCGCTCCTCGAAAGAGAAGACAGATGATGAAAAATGCAAGGACTATCATTGCAGCAATCGCATAATTTGACAGATGAATGATCTAGGGAGTGGCTCTTTGGCGTTCAGAGCCATGCGGACACATATCTTAGGCTCCCTGCTTTCGCTATTGTTGACGAGTGACGAGATCAGGCCGCCCGTCTACAACAAAGCCCAGGTCCTGATATCGAAATCGTTGTTCAAGTTGCGAAGCAAATTCGTAACTCTTCGACACTTCAGCTCGCAAGGCTAACCACATTTGCCCAAGTTCAGGTGCATCAGCTGCGGCAATGCACGATTCGGGCAGCCCGTCAAATCGTCGACATGGCCTCTAAGCGTGCGAGTCTGCTCATCTCAGCCCCGGCCTCGTAGCTGGCTCGAGCCTTCTATAAGTCCGATCCAGCAAAGTCGCTCTGGGCAGCCACTGCAGTTTTCACAAGCACTCATCAATTTGCAGAATTCGGTCAAGGGCAATGGTTAACCCAGGTCATCCAAGTCGTGGCTGTCAGGCATGTAGGTCTGCCAAGACTAAATGCAGCGAAGAACAGCCTTGTTGCCGCCGTTGCGTCAAACGTGGCAATCCTTGCGTCTATATGGAGTCCAAATTCCGTAGCATGAACGCATGGACCGAAACGAATGTGCAGTCTCGCGTTGCTACCAAACTTTCCTTGCGATCAGCGAATGATGGGAGAGCATCACCAGGCACCATACCAGTCCTTCCGACTCCCAGGCCTTGGGTCCACGATGCTGTGGAGGTCTTCTTTAGGGAATTTGTGCGAGAGCCAGACCAACTAGACTCAACTTGGGGCAGCTTTGATAGCCTACCAGCGGCATATGGGCGCGAGGACTTGCCGTATCTCTCTAGCGCAGTTGAGGCCTGCGCCATCTCGTACCTGGCAGTCTCTACGGGAAAGGCCAATCTCGACGACCTAGCCTCCCAGGCCTATGGCAAGACGATCACTCTGTTCGCTCCGATCGTACAAGAACCGAAGAAGGCAGCTTCCGATGCAAGCTTAGCCTGTATGATGCTGCTCTCTCTGTATGAAACGATTTCGGGCACGAAGCCAGCAACCGAGCTATTCCATGCACACCAGGGAGGCCAAGCCGCGGCGGTGTATTTGCGTATGCGGCATCATGAGGCAGAGGTCTCAACATGGAGTGATAAGTCCATTTTGAGTCAGACAAACCGACAGCTTCTGTGGCGCGACATAGGGCACCGGACAGTACCCAAATTCGGATCAAGCATATGGCCTGAGAACACATACCGGAGTTGGTTGGACGAAGCGGTAGCTCGAATAACATCGCGAGTCACTACTTCTTGCGGCCAAGTGAAGGAACTGCAAACAGCCTTTCTGCACGGGGACGCTGGAATTTTGGCCACGAAATTGGCCCGATGTACTGATGAGGCCCTGGCGGTATACTCTGCGATAGAAACATGCGTTGACGCGGCTCCGCAGACATGGAAGCCTCAAATAGGCCCGCAGCATGAAGAATCAGCATTCTGCCGGGCGACACCGCGCAGCCTTTCCAATCTCGAAAGTCAACTTGCGGATTTCTCCCTTCACTCCCAAAACATGGAATTGTCAGACGAAGACGTTTGTACACGTGCATACAGGCCTCGTGTTGACGTATATCCCAGCAGAGCGATCATGACCCTGTGGAACATGATGCGCGGCGTCCAGCTACATCTCATCCGGGCCATGATGGACCTCAGGTCCATGACAACAGAGAACACGAGCTCGGCTCTTCCAAGCTTCGCTGATCTTCAACAAAAGCTCTCAGAAACGGTACACCATATCTGTGGCAGCATTCCATACGCTCTTGGGGACGTTGCCAGGAATGAAGTGATCTCTGGACCATCAGCCGATCTTCCTGCCTTACTTTGGGTTCTGCACAAAGTGTGCTGCATTCCAGGTTTGAGTCCAGAGATTCGTTATTGGGCGGTGGAAACCTTTCGGCGGATAGGGATAGAACGACACATACGCCAAGGTCTGAATTTGGCAAAATTATATAGCCAAGAACGGCCTTGTCTCGCGACATAGTCTGCGAGAAGGATTCCAGCATGAAGTGGGAGAGCCGAATTCGTTCGATTATTGAGCCTTCTTCTTGCTCCTCTTCCTCTTCCTCTTCCCATCAACAATGTTACCATCTTCCGCCTTCTTCTTATGCTTCTTTCGAGGTTCGTCCGCCTCTTCCACAGTACCAAGCACTTTCTCAAAGCCGCCGGTGGGCTCATCAGCATTTCCGAAAGTCTCCTTCCTCCATTGTCTAAGACGAGCTTTCTTACTAAACTTCTTCTTGTCTCGAATCTTTTTCTGCTCGTCTCTGAATGCGGCCATCTTCTTGAGGCCCGCAAAGCTGTTCAATGCAGTGTCGTCAGCGAAGAGAATATCGCGAGCAGAAAGCCCGAAAGACGTTGGTGAAGTTTCACGATATCTGAAACCAATGACTGGAGCTTTGGAGCTGGAGGCAGAGGTCAGGCTCGGGTGCTGGAGAGGAAGCGAAGCATCGACCATTTCTTCGATGGCCATACGTTCTTTGCGTGCGACTCGCTTTGCATCTGACTTTTCCTTGAGTCGGTCCTTCTTGGTCTTCTTCTTGCCAGGTGCCGACTGTCTCTCCTCGCCATCCGATGGAGGCAGTGGGGCACCTCCATCCTCATCCTCATCATCAGTCAGAGTGATATTGGGCTTTTTACCAGCATCGAAGTCTGGCACGAGATCGGTGATGTCAATATCATCCTCGAACTTGGGCTTTCGGGGCTTGCGTTTTTTGCGTTCATGACCATCATCGTCCGAGCCAGAGTCCTCGCCCTCCGCGTAGTAGTCCTCGCCGAATCGACGTTTCATCTCTGTCTCCCATTGATCATCGTCAAAGTCGCCTTCAATGATGTCTCGCCACTCGTCAAGCTTCAGTTCCTGTCCTCTTAAGCCGGCAGCCTCCTTAATACGCTTCACCTTCTCCCCAGCTTCTTCAACTTTGAGCTTTCGCAACCTGGCTTTTTCTTCTTCTCGTTCACGCTTCGCGGCTTCTCTCTGCTCGCGTTCCCGCTCACGTTGCCTAGCACGACCACTCTTCTCCTCTCGACGCACTCCGTACTTGCCACTGTCACGAGCAAAAGACTGCAGCTTCTCGTTTGACTTTGCAGGATCCTCAAAGCGCATGTTGTATGCCTCTTCGAACTCTTCCGCCCTTTTGTCGTCGTCGCTATCATCAGACTCCAATGGCTGGAATCTGCTTCCCTCGCCAGGAAGCCACGCCCTCGCCGCCATGAAATTGGACAGATACGTCTCCGGGTCCTTATCGGCAGACGCAATGTCCTGATCGGTAAGCTGTTTCTTTGCCCGTCTCTGCGCAGATACTCCAGGCATATCCTCATGGGTCGATTTCTTCTTTTGAACCATGAAATCATCCTCGCCGTCGCTTTCCTCGCCATCATCTTTCGCGGCTGCATGTATTGACCCTACAAGCTCGCGCTTCAGCTGCTCCTGCTCCTCTGCATACGTCTGCATTGGTTCGTCTTCGTCATCATCCTGGCCGGCATGTCCAGCCAGGAGCTTCTCGCGCTGATAGTCTTGTAGCGTCATAGGCTTGTCTTCGTTCTTGACCGGTGCACTCTCTGGATCGAACTCCTTGTAGAACTTGACAGTTTGGTCCAGCCGCTTGGGATCCTTGTTCCGGATCATCTGCAGAGTCGCCATAATCTCGTCGTCGACGTCGGCTGTGGCCAGTTCGGCGTCGTCATCTTCGCTCTCGTCAGTGCTACTCTCCTCGCTCTCATCATCCTCTTCTGCATCGCGCTTCCTCTTCTTCGCGTCGCCATTCCCATATTTCTCTTCCAGCCGCTGCCTTTCCTCTCGCTTCTTGTTGTGCTCGAATCGCTTGGCATATTCCTCGTTGATTGTGAAGCCTTCGGTTTGAGGCAATTGTACGCCGGCGTCTGACTCGCTATCTGAAAAGTCAAGTTTGGCCTTCTTGACGGGCCGCAGTGCTGTTCCTGCCATGATCGCTGAAGTGGAACTTGCAAAATGGCAAATTCATCACCGCGTCGGAACTTGGAAGCTTCGTTGGAAAAAAAGTTGCAAGGATCTTGCCGCGCTAACCAAACTTAAGGGTCCGGGGTCAATTCTCGGTTCATGCTTCGAATCTTTTGCAACGACCATCCTAAAATCACACACCTGTCATCAAGATGGCAGCCGAACTTGAGGAGCGACCTTCGAAGCGACGTCGACTGTCAGAGGAATCGGTGTCAAGCGATGAGGTCCATGTTCCCACTGCAACATCTCCTCCAGCCATGTCCAGGATCAAGGCGAAGAAAAGCATCACTACAGTACCAGAAGTGGTTCAAAACGAGGAGTCCATTCCACAGGCAATCTTGGATTCCAGCGATGCGAACGAAAATGCCACTTTTAAGGATCTGGGCGTGGATACATGGCTCGTAAATTCTTTGCGACATCTTTCCATCACTCACCCGACCCGGATTCAGAAAGCCACCATACCACAAATTATAGCTGGGCGAGATTGTATAGGAGGGTCCCGCACAGGCTCGGGGAAAACAATCGCATTTGCTCTGCCGATATTGCATAAATGGGCCAAAGAACCAAGTGGCATATTCGGCCTCGTTCTAACCCCAACGAGAGAGCTCGCTCTGCAAATTTTCGAGCAATTTCAGGCGATTGGAGGCTCGCAAGGGCTCAGATGCGTCCTCGTGACGGGCGGAGCTGACATGCGTGCACAGGCGATCGAGTTGAGCAAGCGACCACATGTCGTGATAGCAACGCCTGGGCGCTTGGCGGATCACGTTGAGACTTCTGGGGAAGATACTATACATGGGCTGAAAAAGTGCCGGTTCGTCGTACTTGATGAGGCAGACCGACTGCTAGCAAGTGGCAAGGGAAGCATGCTGCCTGCTGTTGAGACTTGCCTGGATGCTCTACCGTCTGCGGCAAAACGACAGACATGTCTGTTCACCGCCACAGTCACACCAGAGGTCCGTGCACTCAAAGAACGGCCTCGAGAAAATGGAAAACCTCCAGTGTTCGTATGTGAGGTTGACATTGATAGCCTCGCCATACCACCGACCCTCACACAAAATTATCAGCTGGTCAATGTTCTTCACAAAGAGAAATACCTTCATGTCCTACTCGGTACGCCTGCCAACGTGGAGAAGACAACGATCGTGTTCTGCAACCGAACAGAAACCGCAAACCTTCTGGAATACTTGCTACGGTCTTTGGAGCACCGCGTCACTGCCTTGCACTCTGGACTTGATCATCAGGACAGAGTGAACAATCTTGCTCGCTTCCGAGCTCGCGCTGCTCGAATACTGGTCGCAACGGATGTGGCTTCACGTGGTCTCGATATTCCCGACGTGAGTTTGGTCATCAATTACGATTTGCCGCGCAATCCGGACGACTACATCCATCGTGTAGGCCGTACTGCACGTGCAGGGAGGAAAGGCATGGCAATATCACTCGTTGGCCAACGAGATGTAGATGTGGTCCATGCCATTGAGGCGCGTGTTGGGAGAGAATTGGCTGAATACAAGGAGGAAGGTGTCGGCGTGGAAGGCAGGGTCGTGCGCGAGGCGCTCAATATTGTAGGCGACAAGAAGAGAGAAGCCATGCTGGCCATTGAGGAAGGCAGAGATGTGAAGGGCAAGCGGCGGACCGGGCTGTTAAAGAAGCGAAAGCCCTGATACGGTTTATTCAATGCACTTGACGTTTCATTTCGCGCCTTTTACCATCTTTTGTAGTGGGAGATCTTCCTCTCATCTGTACTGGAGCTTTCACTTTCTTCGATTCAGCCTGAGCCATCAGAATATCCTCTTTCGACCCTTTGAGTGGTATCTGTCCCCACATGCCTTCCCACACCCCTGGGACAGCGCTCCGATCATTTCTCTGTGCTCTGTTTACATAGAACCTACCCCAGTTCCTGTGGGCAAGCCATCCCAGCAAGGAGTTCTTCAGCTTGTCGGTCACTAGGGGATTCTGCTGTTCAAGATTTGCGATTCCGCCTCTCAGACTTGGCTGCAGTCGTCTCAGTCGACCGAAGGGCACTCGTCGGGTCTGAGGCCACGGAAGCCATCGCATGTATTGCAGCTCAAGAAGTGTGTCGGCGGGGGTCAGGCTGGCAAAGCGCTTGAGGTCGTCCTTCGACCTGCGAGCCCTGCTGGGTAGATATACGCGGATGGCATGTATCATGGGACCCGTTGTGAGAGCGGTGACGAAAAATGGGACTGCAGCTGCAGCTATGTATACTGGAACCCAGAGACTGCTGTGATCGGGCGAGAAGAAGTAGGCTGGAGCATAGACTGTAGCTCCTGCTAAGAAGATGATGATGGTCGCGACGCGCGTAAGGCCGACTGAGAGTGTGGCCGATGTACCAGCGCGGTAGACATTAATGCGCTCAGGGTAAAGCACAGCTTTCTTGCGAGCGTGTGCGGCTTCAGTCGAGGCACCGCGGATTGGTGTTGCTGCTGCATTTCTCGAGATGAGATGGCATGGTGGTCGCAGGATTGATCGGAGGGTCTGTGGATGGGTATGGGTTGCTGGTCTCAGAGCAGATGCTCTTGGTGCGGAGGATGCTGCCCGCCATAAGGGGCCATGCACGCAGGGCATCACATTACTGATGAAGAAGTTGTACACTTTACAGGCGCGGGCGGAAGAAGCTCGTGAGGCTCCGCTCCGCGGCATTGACATTGGCACATTGCCAGGTGACACTGGGCATGGACCAGGATGAACTCTGCAACACCTGGCACCTGCCTCGCATCGACATCATGCCATATATATCACCTCTGCCCACATCGCGATCCAGTATCTGCCATAATACATGCCATGCTTCTGCAGGCCCTCTGCAACGTTGAGACGAGCGAGCGATAGTTCTAGCCTGGACACGTAGCGACCCACTCTCGGGACACCTTCATACGCATATCGATGTCGCAGAAACAATTGCACCAACGACTTTGCTGCGCGCGCTGAGAAGCTTCAGCACGCAAGCCGCAGTCTCCGGGTGCCTCACACGAGGTCGAATCGGGCATCCGTTGCTGCAGAAGACCACCGCCATGCAGCTGTCCGCCCGACTTTTGCTGCTGCCAGCGCTGCTGCGGCAGTGTCTGGCATACACTACGCTGTCTGACGCGACTCTGAAATCGCTGCCGTCTCCTGGGAATGACTTTGACATTCACAATGGCGCACTGCTTGCGCCTATCTTGCGAACACGAGTCCCCGGCACTGAGGGATCACGCGCTGTCCTGCAACACTTTGTCGACTTCTTCAGCAACCACTTGCCCAAATGGAAGCTGTCTTTTCAAAACAGCTCGTCTACAACCCCGACAAGTAACGGGCAACAAGTTCCCTTTGTGAACTTCATAGCAACAAGAGATCCGCCTGGCGCAACAGGAGATGGAGATGTTGGCCGTTTGGCGCTCGTTGCACATTACGACTCGAAGCTCACGCCAGAAGGCTTCATAGGCGCAACGGATAGTGCGGCCCCATGCGCAATGCTCATGCACGTAGCCAGAAGCATCGATGATGCGCTGACGAGGAAGTGGGAGTCTGAAAACGCAGCTGGGTCAGTAGCTGACGACCTTGAGGGCTATAAAGGAGTGCAGATATTGCTGCTCGACGGAGAAGAGGCGTTTCAAATGTGGACAAACACAGATAGTCTGTATGGAGCGAGGAGCCTGGCAGAAGAATGGGAAACCACACAGTATGCTGGCTGGAGTTCATATACCTCTCCGCTCGCTTCCATCGACCTCTTCGTTCTGTTGGACTTGTTGGGATCTGCATCACCCGAGGTACCGAGTTACTTTAAAACAACACATTGGGCATACCAGAAAATGGCTGGCGCCGAGGATCGCCTGAGAAAGGTGGGTAGGTTCAAGAGCAGTCCAAACCACGTTTCCAAGCGCAAGGCAGGAGCTCCAAGAGTCACGGAACCCATGTTCCTCCATGAATGGCACAAGAGTGAGAATGATCGCTGGGTTGGAGGATACGTCGAGGACGACCATGTGCCTTTCATGCAAAAAGGTGTAGACATTTTGCATATCATCACGTCGCCTTTTCCCTCGGTCTGGCATACGATTAACGACGACGGAGATCATTTGGACATTGCGACAGTTGAGGATTGGGCGCTGCTGACGACAGTATTTGTCGCGGAGTGGATGGATCTGGAAGGATTCTTCGACGTCAAGGCGACCCCTGCAGTCCAAGCAAAGACCAGGTATATCGAGGTTGAAAGGAGGCAAGCACCTACGAGGGATGAGTTGTGAGTCAGCCTGACTGTTCAAATCGTCCCCTCAAGATCACTGATCCTTTCGTAGATTGCTAGAAAGCGGATTCGAATGAGTAGTATCACATCCATTGTGCTTCAGGCTTTCTTGATAGGATAGCATAAGATACTGCAAGCTCATTGTCCGAAGGCGAGCCCATTTCTCTGCTTGCTTAAGCTGCAGAGCATTTTGCTTCCGGCCATGACCATCCCAACGACCAGATGCCACAAAGCGACAGTCAAATAAAGAGTATAGTACTCCTAGCAGTGTGGCCGCACGGGCCACTTCCGTATCCGGCGATTCTGTGACACTTTCTTTGTTGCAGTCAGAAGGCATACTTGCAAGCTCGAAGCTCAGGCGGGCGCTGTAAACTAACGAATTTGTGCCCAGTGTCGCTATTGTGAAGTCGTAATGCCTGTTCAGACGCGCCGCATGGCGGCAAGAACGAAGGTCACGAAGTCACCCTCAAGGAGCCCCGATGTTCGCTACAGTCCTGCTGTCCCACTCAATCGCCGGAACTCTTGCCTGAGTCTCAGTGTCCCGCTATCGCCAAGCAGAACTACTCGTCGGGAACCTAAGTCGTCCGCTCGGAGCGTTCCAAGATCACCTACTAGGAGTCCGAGCACGCCAAGTAAAAGCAGTCTCAAGAGCCCAAGTACGCCGTCGAAGAGCCCAAGGAATGTTAGCTTCGGGCCCAATCGTACCCGAAGCTTCGACAAGCGCAGTCCTGTCAAAGCCGTGAGAGCAGATTGGGTTTGGAATAAGACACGAGGATTGAGAAGAAGAAGCAGCCTCGAAAGATGGGCGGAGGAATACATGCGCACAATCTCTCGTGATTCTCAAGCGATGAACGATTTCGCAAGCCCGATCAATGCTGCAAGCGCTTCCAGCACGCACTCGTCTCGGAGGCAAAGCAAGGCCAGCAGTTCTGGATATGAGGCAGATCGGAGCAGATCTGCATCAGCTTCCTCTCGACGAAGCACTCTTACGCCTCCTTTGCCAACGAAGTGCCGTGCTTCAACGGGCAATATCGCTCGGCGGAATGTGGAAAGTGACGATGATGTATACGAAGTCGTACAAGACCTAGGAACAAGCATTGAAGATGATAATGCACCTCCTGGGACTTTTGGGGCGCCAATTACCATTTCTTCCAACGAGAGCAGCAGCGATAGCCTCGAAGCGGACTCATTTTCGGATGGCCATCAGTCAAGGGAGCACCATTTCGATCCATCTGTTGGAGCCGTAAGCAGTCAAGCAATATTCCATGGAGACTCTCCTGAACCACCTGACACTCCATCTTTTCTTCATCCCACGAGAGGTTGGGTCACCTCAACTAGGCGTGGCGAGCTGTTGAGGGAACAAGGGCCACAACTTCTCGCATCAACAGCGACCAGGGCCAATGCAGCAACCTCGCCAGCCTTTACTTCAGCAGTCAGGAGATCAGATTCCCCGACCGCCAAGAGCATCATTCAAACATTCGGTAACCGCAATGGATCCCGTCGTGCCAGATGGGACGATCGAGGAGAAGCAGAGGGCTCTGACGGCCCATGCTCTCCCTATCTTGAAACCGATGGGTCGGATGAGGATCCATGCGCAGATGTCCGCCCAGAGCTATATGAGCTTCAAGGACGACTCCGAGATTGTGAGAAGCACGGTATAAATCTGGCAGCTCAACTCAATAGAGCCAGATCGGAGCGCGATGCGGCTGTGGACGAATGCGATGGATTGAGGCACGAAAATGAAGCTGTTGCACAAGAAATGCACAATGAGATTCAAAGGCTATCGGACAAGAGCCACACTCTGGCGATTGAGCATGAGGAAGCGGTACAGAATCTCGACGAAGTGGAAAATCAACTGAGTGACGCCTTAGCCGAGTCAGAAGCACTTCGCAGCCAGCTTTCAGAATTACAAGACTTCAGTCAGAACTACAGTCACGAAGCTGATCCGACTATCGGGCAATATGACGCAGAAAGCGAGCTTGAACAGCGTGATGCCTCCTATACCATTGTGAATAATCTCCAGACGCAGCTGGACCAACGAACGGCGGAATTGGCCGCAACTGAAGCAGAACTTGATGCTCTTCGTCTCGAAAACTATGAGAACGAGCAATATCGTGATGTCAATGCAGACGCGGTGTCCGAACGTGACGAGCAGATTCTAGAACTTGAAGAGCAGGAAATCAGGTTGAATGCTCAGATAGAAGATTTACGAGATGAGAATGATGAGCTTCTGAGACTAAATACAGCACTTCGGCAAGAGACTCATGACTATGCATCTCACCTACGACAATGCGGACGAAGTCGCGATTCGTCCCAGCAGGGTTCCCTGGAGAATCAGGAGTCTCCAGCCGGAGACGATGATGAGCCTGATCCAGAGAGCTTCTCTGATTTGGTTACCGAGCAACTGCTGCGTGAGTCACTTGCAGCATGTCAAGGTCATCGCAATAAGCTGGAGAAGGAGCGTCGGGAGGAGCAGAAATATGTCGAGGCACTCACTGCATCTCTCGAAGAAGCTCGCGCAGCTCGACGAGTGCTTGAGTTGCAACTGAAGACATCGCAGTCTTATCTGCAACGAGCTTTGAAACAAAAACGAGAGCTCGAGACGACTAGCAAGGATTTGGAGCATGTGCTTTTGCAGAACGAGAGACGTTCTGATGACAGGTGAGGATCTGCTGTCTGCTCTGTGAACGCCAGTCCGCTGGAACCCCTGCTGATATTTCCTCCAGTTCACTCCTAGATGAAGCCGAAAATGGCGATGGTGCCGCTGCGAAAAAGAACATGCAGGAATTGAACGACGAGCTTGCACAGCTGAGAAATCAAAATCGTGAAATGCTACAGCGAAATGTGGATCTAGATCAGTTGAACCACACTCTCGTAGACAATTCCGGCGATGCGACGATCGAGGCTCTGAACCAGCAAATTCGAAATTCCCGCACCATCAGCGAAATCGAACAATCTCGGCTTCACAAAAAGCTAGAACATCTGCGACAAGAAGTCATCTATGCGGAGAAGCGGTATGATTTGCTCGTACAGAATGCTGCTGAGGATGCAATCGAACAACAAAACGCAACAGAGCTGCTGGATCGATTTCTCGGTATTGTCAAGGCACAAGAGGCCGAAATCAAGGACCTGAAGAAGATCAGCACAGGAGAGTTAGGACACGGTTCGAGCGCTGGTGGGGAGTTCAGACCCGAAGACGATGGCCAGGACATGGAGCCAGGCCGTGATTTCCTTGAAACTTCCTATGAGGAACTGCTTCAGGAAAATGAGAGGCTGATGGCGGAAAGCAATCAGCTTGTCTTGGAGCTACAGCAATGTCAAGCGCATGGTGCACAGCAAGAAGAAAAGTTGGCCGAGACGCAGGGCGAGATTGAGGCTGCAAATCGCATCAACGAGACAAGAGGCAGCAGTGGCTCGCCTGCTCAGAGAGGTGGTAGGGGAGGCGGGCGTGGTCGTGGAAGTCGTGCTTCCAGAGCATTGGGTACGACAAGCCCCAAGAGCCAGACCAACAGGACCAAGAAAACAACTACAGACAATGAAGCAGAAAGTTCATCTCAGCAGACCACCCGAGCATCGAAACGCAAAGCCAAGGATGTTAGCGATCTTGAAATCCTTGATGATAGTGGCAATCCCAAGCCGTTAGACAACAACGACAAGCGTTTCAGGCGAAATAAAAGCGGCAATGGCTCATCCGGACTTCGTGGTGGCGCCTCTGAGACCTGGGATACGCTCTCTGAATCTGAGCTGAACAGCATCTATGCGCGCATCCGAGAGTGGGACGTCATGACTGCGGCACTCCTGAGTGACCACATTGGTTATTTGAGCTGCAAAATCGACAGTCTTGAGGCGCAACTTATCCGAGCTTTCAAAGACCGGAATGCTGTTGAAGACCGGCTGAGAGTCGAGCGCGAAACCACTGATTATCTGACCGAGTCTGAGCTGTGGGTCCGGAACGAGCTTGAACAAACACGAGGTGAACTCAAGACTGCGAAACTAGATCTTACAAGGTGCAGGAAACAGCTTCGAGAGGGCAATAGCAGGAGTCAGTCCCAAGTCGCCCGTGATGCAGAAAATCTCCCACCAGACGATGAAAGGCAGCCCCCGTGCTCGGTCGATTTGCATCGCCAGGGCGTGGAAAGGTTCCGAGCTGGTGCGAGAATCCCAGGAATCGGAAGGGACTGCGAGGTGCACATACGTCGACTCCTCCAAGAGGTCAATGACCCGCGGATGGAAACCGAATTAATCGCGATCTTTCAGCAGTTAGGAGGGCGGATTGTGTCGCTGAGGCAGAGACACAAGCCGAATCGGTCCCAACGCATGAACTCCGCTACCCTGAGAAGGGAACGACACAGACTTCCGCCCATGCCTCGTCGGCGTCGCTGGATCAATGCGGATGGCACTGATGCGGAGGATTCGAATTCTGCGTCTAGTGCAAGTTTTGACTGTGGAGATGTCGAATGTGATGGCACAGACTGCTTCGAGAGAAATCAGTTGCTGCGAGCACGGAGAAGGAAGGCCATGAAGAATCATAACAAGCGAGTCAAAGCACTTCTTATTGAGGAGTTCCGGAGGTTTGAAGAGTCGGATCTGGATGCATACGATGATGAGCCGCTCGCACAACGTGATCGATCCAGGAGGTCTCCAAGGCAGTATGTGGGTAAACGGAGATCGCTGACGCCTAGTCCAAGGGTTGGAGGCCCGAGGCTGCTCAAGAACTCGCCATGGAACTCTGCAAAAAGTTCGAGAAGCAGTGCTAAAGGCAACGCCCCGGAACTGCCAATCAGTCAAGGGGAAACAGTCGTGGCCAGTCAGCGAGACGGCGATGCTGGTGCGGTGGAGCGGCATGGAGACTCTCATATGCCTCGCCCGTTGCGCATGACTGGCAAAAGGAAAAGAAAGTCAGAAGTCAAGGTCGGAGCGTAGGTGTTGGAGGGAAGGAGGGTAAGAGGAGACTGCAGTGTTGGCGGAGGTGGGCGTGAGGCGTGTAGTAGTGTTGGCGGAGGTGGCCGTGAGTCGTGAGTCGTGTAGTGCTGGAGAGGCAGGCCACGCAACAATGAGCGAGTCGATGTTCGCTCTCCGAGTTGGTGGGGCGGCATTCAACGGTAACTCAGCACTAGAAGATGATGATTGATTATTCTGCCCAGATCACATGACATGGCCAATTACGTAGGTGACGGTGGGTCGATAGCTTATCGGCGTGCGAAGTCAATTTGTTTGAGGTGTTGATTTTGAAAAGAATGGGCGGGGCTGGTCAGTCATGGCCAGTAGAATAGACAGCTTACTCTAGTTCTCAATCTGGTGCAGGAGTGTCAAGCGAGAACGACCAATGGTTGAGACACGCCGTCTCCGGTCGCCGTAGGGCGTTGGATCTTTTTTTTTTTTTTGGTTTCGCGGATAAGCACTGCAGCAAGGCTGGCCGGTTGAGCTCCCCACCATGCACCGTGCACTTCACTGCGCGCAGCATGAATATTTGCCCCGTCTCACACCGCAGCTGAACTCCTCCCGGCCTACACCAGAACGCTCCTCCTTCTCGTCCCAATCTCCCGTCGTTGTATACAGTCGACGACCAGCCTCCTTCTAAGTATCTCGTGTGCACGGCGGGGCTTGCACTGCCTTGACACGCGCTAAGGAGGCAGAGGCAGCTCGAAAAAGCCCTCCAGCCAACGCCCTCCACTCCCGGAACAACACCTCTCCAAGCCTTCGCAAAGACCATCCCTCACCAAAATGGGCGACTCTCTCGTGCACCAGGAGTATGGCCGCACTCGTGTGCAATGGCTTGCCTCCCTCAACACCGAATACCGCCCGCCCACGCAATTCCGCCGCACGAGTATCATCTGCACCATCGGTAAGAGAGCTTTCAAGCAGACGCCTGGAGCACCGTGCCGCTGACACCAGCTGATTGCAGGACCCAAGACCAACTCGCCAGAGAAGATCAACATGCTGCGCGCTGCTGGTCTGAACGTGGTCCGCATGAACTTCTCCCACGGCAGCTACGACTACCACCAGTCCGTCATCGACAATGCTCGCAAAGCTGAGCAGGGCCAAGCTGGACGTCCAGTGGCCATCGCCCTCGACACCAAGGGCCCCGAGATCCGCACGGGTAACACCCCCGGCGACGAGGACATCCCCATCTCTGCCGGCACCGAGATCAACATCACCACCGACGATCAATATGCTACTGCCTCCGACAACAAGAACATGTACCTGGACTACAAGAACATCACCAAGGTCATCGAGAAGGGCCGCATCATCTATGTGGACGACGGCGTTCTCGCCTTCGAGGTGCTCGACATCGTGGACGACAAGACTCTGCGATGCAGAGCCGTCAACAACGGCAAGATCAGCAGCAAGAAGGGTGTCAACCTGCCCAAGACCGACGTCGACCTCCCAGCTCTTTCGGAGAAGGACAAGGCCGATCTCAGGTTTGGTGTCAAGAACAACGTGGATATGGTCTTTGCATCCTTCATTCGCCGTGCCGAGGACATCACTGCCATCCGTGAGGTGCTCGGTGAGGAGGGCAAGGACATTCAGATCATTGCCAAGATCGAGAACCAACAGGGCGTGAACAACTTCGACGAGATCCTCAAGGTCACAGACGGTGTCATGGTGGCTCGTGGTGATTTGGGTATCGAGATCCCTCCAGCACAAGTCTTCATTGCCCAGAAAATGATGATCACAAAGTGCAACATTGCTGGCAAGCCAGTCATCTGTGCTACACAGATGCTTGAGAGCATGACTTACAACCCACGACCAACTCGTGCTGAGGTTTCCGACGTCGGCAATGCTGTTCTCGACGGAGCAGACTGCGTCATGCTGTCCGGCGAGACGGCCAAGGGTAATTATCCCAGAGAGGCTGTCACCATGATGCATGAGACCTGCCTGTTGGCAGAGATCGCTATCCCATACATCAACGCTTTCGACGAGCTGAAGCAGCTTGCTCCACGACCAGTTCCGACCACGGAGAATTGCTGCATGGCTGCTGTGTCTGCCTCTCTTGAGCAGAATGCCGGCGCTATTTTGGTGCTGACCACCTCGTAAGTCCCACCCCAGCGATTGCATTCACTGACCAGATGCTAAGGTTACCTCTCGCAGTGGTAACACCGCTCGTCTCATCTCCAAATACCGCCCAGTCTGCCCGATCATCATGGTCACTCGCAATGCTCGTGCATCTCGATACTCCCACCTTTACCGTGGCGTCTACCCCTTCCACTACGCTGTCGAGAAGCCAGACTTCAAGACCACCCCATGGCAAGAGGACGTTGATCGCCGTTTGAAGTGGGGCATCAATAATGCCATCAAGCTTGGTGTGCTGAAGAAGGGAGATCCAGTCATTTGTGTGCAAGGATGGAGAGGTGGTATGGGTCACACCAACACCATTCGTGTTGTCCCAGCGGAGGAGGATCTCGGCCTGGACCAGAACGCGTAGAATGGGTTCGGCAAACGGTCAGCGGCTGCCACTCCGGCTGCTGTGGAGATCCGGGGATTCGACTTCTTGCCGAGAGCTGCTCTGGCTGCCTAGGTGGCACAGAAGAGCTGAATGTAGCAGAATGAACTGTCAGCGGCCATGTTGACAACAAATTCGACAGCGCGTGATCATGTTGCAGTTGACGAGACGAATGAAACGAGCGTACTATAGAGGCGGCATGGGATAATGAGTACAACCTAGAATCACGCTTTCTATCACTCATGTGAGTGCGAGGCTTTCTTGCTTGTTTTACTGATATGCTTTGGAGTTATATAGCGGGAAAGATACCAACGGGCATGAGCCAAACAGCCCCAGCCTCTGCTACATACCGATTCATTTTCCAGCGTTACACGACTCAATTCCTCTCGAAGCGCAGCACGGTCGAGCAACTTGTCTTGCAATTCCTGTCTTCAAGATGTAAGGAGACGCAGCCTGGAAAGGATCAAGGTACTCCGGACAAAGTCCAGGAAAAAAAGGCCCGATGAACGACACGAATGGCGAGTTTAAGAGGCATCTGGCATGTTCACCAGCTGGGATCCACAAGATATCAGGCGGCATCCAGCAATCGGCAAAAAATACGCAGATCTGTGACAAGCTTGGGTACTCTCTAGCCATCTTACTACGGCGCCATACCTGGTATGTAATTCAAGGCATTTGCAAAGAATCTTCTCTCCATGTCGTACATCTGAGCATCATACCAGTACTGTATAGTCCAAGGCTCCGCCCGACTGGCATTTTCGAAACGGTGTGCTACAAGCTTTGCAATCGTCATGTCGTCTTCTGCTTTCAAGTATATGGATAGTTGCCTGCCTTTTATGTATGGAGGGTGTCCCATCTGACCATTCGCTGCGACTGGGAACTACTTCATGACCGAAATAATTTTTGGCCAGGTGCATGCATTGAAGCCTTGAGCTGCGCGGCCATCGACCCACAGAATTGGATTCGAGTGACAGACTTTACTTCCAGGAATTGATTGCGGCCTTGGCACAGGCATATTGAGGTCGACCCGGCAGAGATGACCGTCTCGTCGTGGTGGGAAAGCGTGATGGGACCGAGGAATGGACGCTGGTAGACATTTGCGATCGATCGCGGGAAGGAATTGCTGAGGGCCTTGTTCAGCTTTTCTACCAACCTTGAATTCTCTTCCTTTCGCAGTACAGATCTGGCACGTCCTGAGCAAGAGCTGCCCTGTGGTAAGTCCCTCATCACTGACCCGGCCGTGAAAGTGGCTTCCTTGCGCGACGACCGTTCGCCAAATTGCAACTTGAAGTCTCAGTGTTTACTTTACCTCCTTGTCCAGCGATCGATGATATTGCAGACACGGGATTACGCGATACGATCCTGATGTCGCGGAGGACGCGTTCCTGCGAGGCGTCACCGAGACTGGCGCAGCCTTGGTTCGCGTTTGCAAGGGCTCGGTCCCAAGATTGAGCCTTAGCCGGTATATGGCAGATTATTAGAGGAAACCCTTGCTGTGAACAGATGTGGATCTTGATGAACGCTGGACTGATCGCCGCGCGCATGTTGTTATAAAAATCGGCCTGTAGAGGAGAGATCAAATAATACATGCAGCTTCAATCAGGTATTGCAGCACAATCAGGCATCTCAGTTGGAGCCAACAGCACAGTCTTGGCTGGAAGTATTGGCTAACTTGGCCCCAAGAAACTGGAGGTCATGCTCCAAGGGGACCAGGATCAGCCTGATTCCCGAGATGCTTGTCCTTGGCATGCTGTGCATGCTTACGCGGAATTCCCTGGCCTTGTTGGGTACTTGCGCAGCCTCGCCAAGGATCTTGTATTGCCAATGCCCACGTCATCTTACTCTTTCTTCATTTGAGAGAAGCATAATGTACTGGATTGATTGTGCTATATCTTTTCACTGGTTGTTCATCGACTTGTGTTTGTTCAAGACATCTTGCACCAAATAGCTTCGTGAGAACACTTCATCTATCTGGCATCGACGAAAGCACAACGCTCTAAGAATCACTTCTACTAGCAGCAAATGACGATGCTACAAATGCCTAGATATACGCCGGAAACACCTTCCAGGCTCAAAATACAAATACCAGCGACCGAAATGTTAGACAGTCAAGTCGCCAGACCTAGAAGCAGAAGTTCTACAAGCTCAGCCAGCGTGGACCAAAATCGATCGATTGTGGAAGCATACTGTCTTGCCGGCAAAGTAAGCGCCAAACTTCGTCGAGAGGTCAACCGGCCAATTGGAAACTTGAGGCGCCTCGTGGGACATGTCAATGTCTTGGACGAAATTATGGACACCATTCACGATGACGAGATGGAATCCCAATCGGACTTTCCAGACTTCAGCGGTCTTGAAAGAGAGCAGTCCGACTCAAGCAGTATGACTCTTCGGTCGATGGATAACCATTGGACGGAAGAGGACTTTGAGATGCAAGATCCGGCAGCGTCCAGAGAGCGGGAGTCCAGTTGGGAGAAGCAAGTCAGAGAAATGCACGAAGCTCCACTGAGGCCTCCACCTCCACCACCGAAGCCGGCCGGACTTGTTTCATGAGCATCAAGTACACAGGTGAAACATTTTCGAATAGTCTGCACACCCTTTTTTAGTTTCGGACAGAAGAAAGGGCTCGTCAGGAATGGAGAGGACGCCTAGCTTCTCCAGGCGTGCACTGGATCTCCAATGCTCAATGCCACTCGGGCCGAATGCCGTCTTTATTACGGTGCTGAGATTTATCCGTGAAGTCGACCGGCTGGCGTTCGTTGGCACTGGCGCATGGGTACACCTTGCTCTGGGGCAACAGCCTTGTGGTCCTTTCCGGTCGGAGCTGGATTGAGGACAATGATCAAGAAAGAGGCAGAAAGGAGCGCGGTGGTTTGCGGTGGCTTCGTGTGCAGGTGCTGTCACGGACGAGGAAGCATCATTGTGCGAGTGCATAGTTCGCGATGAGCTCTAGCAGAGAAACGGGGTGCGAAAGGTGTATGATAGCTAGAGAAACGTGGTGCGAAAGGTGTATGATAGCTGTTTGTTTGATGATGAATTATTTTCTAACACGAACGTCAGACCTCGGTGAAGAACAGAGAGGATCTAGCCCAAATCGGACAAGCGTGTCGATGCGTGCAGAGTGCAGATTTGCGTCGCCGCCGCCGCCTCACTACTGGCCACATTCCACACTTAAGCTTTCTACTACGATTGGTGCACGGCACGCGGCATCCATTGACCTCGCCCCAGCATTTCGTCTGCCCTATCGTCATGGCGACTACCTGCGCAGAAGTGTGGCAATAATGGGAACGGACTTAGGCACATGCTCCGCTCGTGTCCCCCAGCAAACATGTATAGAACACTTCTTCTGTGCCACGTCGTGCCTCCCCGACCTCCCCTACCTACCCTACCTACCCTTTTCTCCCTTCATCCCTTCGAATATCCCTGCTTTGAGTTCGCTCACGCAAACATCTGGAGCAACTGACCCGACGCCTGCAGAAGCTCGGTTCAATGCCCCATTCTGCATCTCGAGATCCGTTTCAGCCTGCGACTCAGGCGCCTTGAGCGCAGCGCAGCAAAGTGACGAAGGCCAAAGCACTGCCAAAGGTTGAAAATTGAAAACAAACACCGACAGACTTCCTTCGAAGGCGTCGCTCACGTTCGGCTTGGCTCAAGATTCAAGTGTGCGGTAAGATCTCTGCGCGATCCAGGCCCGAGATCTCGACGACGCTCATACCTGCTCAACGTTTGCCAACCATGTCGGACGACAAGGTCGACGTCGAGGGCGGGAAGCCAAAACAAATACCGCATTTGCGACAAGTCCTTGATCAATCTGGTGTCACTCCAGACGTCGAGAACTGGCATTATGAGGGCTCTGGCACCGAAGACCACCCTTACGTCGTCGTCTGGGTACGATGATACCATGTCCTTCCTCTGCTCCTTACCCACAGCTAACAGCCATCCAGATTGATCAAGACCCAAGAAACCCGATGCTTTACTCCGAATTGAAGAAATGGAGCTTGACAATGCTGGTCGCGATGGCTACTTTGGCCGTCGCATTTGTGTCATCTGCCTTCTCTGGAGGCACCCGAGAAATTATTCGAGACTTCGGAGCCAGCCAGGAAGTCGTCACTTTAGGAGTGTCACTCTTCGTGTTGGGCTTCGCCATTGGACCTCTATTGTGGGCACCACTGTCTGAGCTCTTTGGACGACAGTATCTATACATCGGAACTTACCTTGGTCTGACAGCATTCAATGCCGGAGCGGCTGGATCTCAGAATATCTGGACGCTGATCATCTTGCGATTCTTCGCGGGAGCCATTGGCTCGAGCCCACTGACGAACGCCGGAGGTGTGATTGCCGATATGTTTCCAGCTCGCGAACGTGGTCTAGCGATGAGTTTGTTTGCCACAGCGCCGTTCATGGGACCAGTCATTGGGCCAATCGCGAGTCAATCGACCACTTTCCTCTGCGCTTATTTGCTGACTATGATTCCAGGTTGGAGGCTTCGTCGGAGAGACAATAGGTTGGCGCTGGATTCAAGGCGTGATGGCAATCTTCACAGGCGTCCTCTGGCTGATTGGCACAATTGCCATTCCTGAGACATATTCACCCGTCATCCTTCGCCAACGGGCCAAGAAGCTCAGCAAGCTTACCGGAAAGGTATACAGAAGTCGTGGTGACATCGAGCAAGGCCATACGACCATTCTAGAGGTGTTCAAGACTTCGCTTTCACGACCCTGGATCCTCCTCTTCCGCGAGCCCATTGTATTCCTGCTTTCCGTGTACATGGCCATCATTTACGGCACACTCTACATGTGCTTTGGAGCTTTCCCGATTGTATACCAGCAGTACAGAGGTTGGTCGCCAGGCATCGGTGGTCTCGCTTTCCTTGGCGTGGCTGTGGGAATGCTGATAGCTGTCGCATACAGCGTTTGGGACAATAAACGCTATGCAAAGATCAGCGACGAATACCAAGGATTTGCGCCTCCAGAGTCTCGCCTCCCGTTGTGTATGGTTGGCTCAATAGCCGTTCCGATTGGGCTGTTCTGGTTCGCCTGGACTAATTATCCAAGGTAAGTCTGCTACCAGGCAATCCCACGTATCGAAGGCAATCGCTAGCAGAGTAGATCGCTAAAGTGAAGCAGTATACACTGGATTGTCTCGATCATGGCTGGAGCGCCTTTCGGTTTCGGCATGGTCTTGATCTTTTTAGGGATCATGAACTATCTTATTGACTCCTACACCATCTTCGCTGCGTCGGTCCTCGCGGCGAATTCGGTCTTGCGGTCGTTATTTGGTGCCGCCTTCCCACTTTTCACGAGCCAGATGTTCGCGAACCTTGGAATCCACTGGGCTGCATCGATTCCTGCCTTACTGGCGCTCATCTGTGTTCCGTTTCCATTTCTATTCTGGAAATTTGGCGCCCGCATAAGAACCAAATGCAAGTACGCAGCTCAGAGCGAATCCTTCATGCGACAGATGATGAACCAGACATTATCGAAGCCACAGGAAGACGAAAATGCAGATCCTTTCTCCGAGGGTGAGACCACAGCAGCAGAGAACACAGATACGGACGAGAAGCCCCAGGATTCTGAGTCTCCCGTCGAGGGCAAGGAGTCCCGTCGACGGAGCAGGCGCGAGGAGGAAGAAGAAGAGGCGCGAAGAGAATCCATCATTGAGTCTGAAATCGGAGAAGATGATGAGCCTCGCTTTGCTCCAATCACAGCGAGCAAGTCTCGGACCGCTCAACCTGAGACGAGCTACGAACTTTCACCTTTCGATCTTGACCGGGTCAATACTCGGGAGAGCTTCAAGAGAAGCGCGAGTCGCAGCAGAGCGAATAGTCGATCGAGCTCAAAGAGTCGGAGGTAGACGACATGGTCAGCGTTTGATGTTTTGATAATTAGCGAGCGAGGAGTTCTGGCACGACGAGGAGGTCCTTGCAGTGATACGAACATGCCATAAAATGTACAGCGTAGTATTTAATCACAATAGCATCTGACGCTTGGCGCACTTGGTAAATGTCTCCTGTCCGTGAGTGCCCATGTAGCCAATCTCTCAATGGTGCGGGGAGGAAGTCTTGATCCGCAAAGAAGTTCGCTCTCGCTCGAAGCAGGTCATAGTATTGGTTTGGACCACTGGTCAAAGTAGATATCGCACTCGATCATGACGAGCATTTTTGGGTGCATGTCATGTGGCAGTCCGATGTGATCAAGCCAAATACGGAAACAGAAATTCCGTACCGCGCGACTCTCGCTCATGCTGCTGTGTGATACTGCTAACAATACAGTGGAGTGTACTTTCGACTGCTTCGAACTATGGGGTCCGAGACCAAAGTCATGTTCGAATTGTGGTGAAGGCTTTTTGGCTTGACGGGATATCTCTTTCAAAGGAACGAGGAAGGGACCGCGTGAAATTACACTTTCTTCTTGGTCTTCCTCTTCTGAGTGCCCCTGCCACTCGCATCCACGTCGCCGTTGCTCTCGACCGGAAACCCCCTTGGCGTTGGGCTGGCGAGCTCGTCTCTTTCGTCCCGGCTCGCATTTTTCACGTCGGCATCTCCAATGACCTCAATGCTGGAGGCAAGCCATTGCTGAAAAGGTTTTGCTACGAAGTATCCGTCCGCCGTAAACCACGTTGTGAAAGGAGTCTTGAGATGGAGTGTGCTCTCAGGAAAGCCGGGTTTTGTAGTCGTAACGTCGAGGTAGTAGGTCGGATCGTGTTTATTGGTTTTGGTGGAGATTGAGATCTGTTCAAAGTCAGAAAATATGTCTCGTGTGTAGGTTCCTTACTTGTCTCCTCACCTTCTTGCCGTCCTTGGCGCCTTCAAAAATCAAGCCCTTCTCTACGAACCACAGCCACAGCGTCAAGGCGCCATTGAGAAGTGTGTACACGGCAACTGCCCAGGCTGTGCCGGTCTTAGTTACCTCCCATCCAAACTTGTAGTCTGCAGCAAATGTCACTGCAGAAATTATGACCGCAGTATATCCAAGTGCCAGCCTTACGTCGAGCTTTGTGTTGTCTTGCTTGAAGTTCAGGCCTCGTAGATAGTTGCCCAGAGCATCATCGGTCGTGTTCTTGAGATCGTTCAGCGAGTATGGAGATACGCGTGAGTCGGCCATGCTGGGTGGCTATCGAGTCTGAGAACAATGGAGCAAATTCGTGATATTGTATCCTGCGGGTCTGCTTATTGCATTGTCGCAGAGAGTTCCGTTTATATTTGGACTCGATGTTAGTTCAGGACAGCTGTAGCTCGCGCGACCCTGGATGAGGCTGAGATGATGCGTCTTGGCGTGATCGGCGGGCACGGCAGCTCCCCCCCGTCGCTCACGTGAAGACGCTAGAGCATCTCCAAGATGCGCACGACATTCACAGCTTTCGAATAGTGCGGCAACAGACAACAACCATGGCCGCGCCAGTGGAACAGCAGATCCATAGGGATCCTGCCCTCTTGTATGTCCGCTCAAACATCTCCTGCTTTCTCAACCAGAACGTCGACTGATGCAATAGTCCAGCTACTGGATCCTCCTGCCCATCACAATAGTCATGATCTTGACTGGCATACTCCGACACTACCTCTCCACCTTGCTCCAGACCACGCCAAAGAAACAGCCTCTCGCCAAGATCCGCGAAATGCGTTCACGTTTGCGCATGCAGACTCTCCGCGCGAACTATGCCCAAGTCTCGAAATCGGCATTCGATAAGCGGAAAGAGTATTTCATCGAGGAAGTAAAAGAAGGCAAATTCCTGGCGGATCCGGAGAACCGAGGCAAGCCTCCAGCAAATCCTCTCACAGATCCGGGCGCCATGGACGGAATGATGGGCATGATGAAAGGTAATATGGTTATGATGGTTCCGCAGAGCTTGATTATGGGATGGATCAATGCATTCTTCTCGGGTTACGTGATCAGTGAGTGTTCAGCGCAAATAAGTAACAGCAGCCAGGTCTCAGGAACTAACAATGCTCCAGTGAAACTCCCCTTCCCATTAACACCTCAGTTCAAGCAAATGCTGCAAGCCGGGGTCGGAACTAGAGACTTGGACGTGAGGTGGGTGTCTAGCTTGAGCTGGTACTTTCTCACGCTCTTTGGCCTTCAGCCGGTTTACAACTTCATCCTGGGTAGCAACAATGCTGCCGATCAGGTGACGCAGCAGATGGCGCAGGCGCAGATGGGCCAGAACCCTATGGGTGGGCAGGAGGATCCAGACAAGATTTTCAAGGCGGAGATTGAGAATTTAGAGGTCATTGAGCACCGTTATATCCTAGACGGCATAGAAGATAGACTTCTGGCTAAGCTCGGTGCGGATGTATAGAGCCAGAATCAATGTCGGAGTGTACACAGACCCGTTCGTTCCTTCATGATTCTGAATGCACAGTTGAGAGACGTGTAGAAACTTGGTTCTGGCCTGAGTGGGAAACGCGGGTAAATGCAAAGAGTTCCAGGCCGCTATTTTCGATTGAGAGCACCGCCCTTACTCTTTGCAATCAAAGTCGAGTTCTGCACATTGCTTCATAATGCATGTGGCTGATCTATGCTCCATCCCTTGGTATCTTTTTGAACATGCTATTCACGAAACGCCAGCCTTTCCAACCCATGAATGACTACTTCTTGCTCATTGAACAGCTTGCATCTGACCTTCAAACATATCATCAATACCATCTTGGTCCTCGTCAACTTCATCCTCCTCACTCTCAATCTCCTCATCACCTTCATCTTCCTCCTCAAACCCTGTCTCGATAGCCCTTGAGCGCAATCTGTCCTTCATTTCCTCGCGTCGTTCTTCCTGCCACCGCATTAGAGCCGCACTCGCGTGGACGCGGAAGCCATATATGCGGGGCTCGTAGCGTCTCTGTGTCTTCTGCGGCAGCAAAGCCGGATAGACCTGGAAGAGGATATTGTGGAAACTAGTGCCGAAATACGCGCCGTCTATTGAGTTGTGCCGAGAGGATTTAGGATTGTAGATGTCTTCACATTTGGCGCAATAGAGCTTGACATTTGACGTGTTCGCAATATCATGCTGTCCCATTGGCAGCAAGTGTTGCGATTCGCAAATGACTCGCGGGCACTTTCCGAAGACGCCTTGTTTGAACTTCTCCATCTAAACTACGCATGAGCATGAGCTGACGGACACAAGGAAGGGAAGGACGTACCATTTTTGCCAGGCCTCTCGTAGTAACGACGTAGCGTGCGTGGACAAGACCGTACAAGTGTCTTGCACTCTTCTCGATCTGTTCTCGCATATCGTCGTCCACTTCCATGTCGAATACATCCGTGACCAGATCCAGTGCATATTGGTAGTACTGTACTTCCGTGTTCAAGCCGGTCAGGTTGAAACGATCTGTGAGATAGTCCTCATCGATCTCGCAGAAGTATTCATTGCCGCGAGAGGATATAAACTGTGAATTTTGGTTAGCTATTGGTCGACAGATCAGGAAAGACCTCCGTAGCACGTGTTTCCGCCAGTACAGCGGGATGGACTCGCTTGGGGAGGATGATGATGAAATATTGTGAGGGCGTTCGCGGAAGGCCAGCATGAGATCTTGTTCGAGAGCAGAGGGAAGTTGAAAGTAAAGCTCAGTGGGAAGGATTGGAGAAAAGCAATGTTGAAGACGGACTCTCAAATATGCTGGCTCGATGAGAATGGTTTGCTCATGCTCTCGAGAAGGGTGTCGGCGCAAGAAGGTGTCTTCTGGCATGCACGACAATGGGAATTTAGGAAGCAACACTCACCCAGTCCCTCCAGTAACTGGTATAGTCGCTGTCGGTGTCGCTCGCAAAATCGTCCATGCTCGGGTCTTTCCTCCAATATTTCAGTTCAGTTTGATGTTGCAGGTCCTGTTCGCAGGCAGTCAGAGCGAGGCACAGTCGAGGGCGAGGTCGAGGTCGAAGGAGACGTATGTGTTTTGGCAATAGTGAAGTCGTGACAAGGCCAGATCAGATTCCCCCCTCCCCGTCACTCTTGAAGCCACACCAGCCACGTGTGTTTGCGGGGCGTGGGCGTGTGCGTGGCGACATGGAGCTTCAACGAGACTTCCAATCCCTGCAGGACAGAGCTTCTGGTAAATAAATACGTGTGGTTGTTCGCATCGCCTATGTTGCGCTTCTGTGGTTCGGCCTACTCATATTGATGGGTCGCAGATTACACACCACGATTCAACGAACGACATGAGCTTGACTCCCCTCCCACGCCGATTGCGACCACCTTGAGGTGCCATGTACTGGCCCGTCGGAGCGCCGAATGTCTTTTCCCTGACAAAGCATGCGATTGCTGCCGCGAAGACCACATCCTCCAATGATGGTCTAGAAGCACCGTTGAGCGAAAGCTCGACCGACCTGGGCGACGATACCAAGGGCGAAACTAAGACAGAACGCAACAAGTCCCGCAGACAAGATGGTGGAATTGAGGGCAAGGGGATGCATACACCCGCCAATGATGAGATAATAGATGCGAAGATCTCACGCAGTGGCAATATCTTCATTACCTTGACGGCAACCTCCTTGGTGGTGTGGCAGACCAGACCAACCGTGGCTTTGGCCATCGTTCAGCGATCACAGCAATCCCTCAAAGCCTATGGCCAGAGCACGGCGTTGCTGCTGAGGTCAGATGCTCTGCTGATAGTTGTCCAGACAGCTCTCGGCTATCTGATCACATATTCTATGTCCACAGATCCCAACACCAAGGTATACCAGACACCTCTTCCAGAGACCAATAGGCACGTGCGACGACCGAGCACCGATGGTTACAGCAACCTCAGAAAGCAGAGCACCATCACAGCTGCAAACACACCGGCGGAAGGAGATGGCATTCGTGAGATCAATGTGCGTTTTCGCATGGTTATACGCATCGATGCCGGCATTGGCAAGGCTGTCGCGCTGGACGACGAGTTGGTCGTTGCAACAAAAAAGCCGGCCGCGCTGCAGTGCATTCGATGGATCGCAGAAAGCGGGTCTTCGCAGACCAGCACGGAGCTCGTGAGCCGCATGGAGTGGATTGGTAAAAAGGTGGCGGTGACAGATATTGTTCATGATCGGCCCATGAACCTGTTCACGTGGATCACGAACGACGGCGCGGCATACGCTGTTCAGCGATGCATCACAACTGGTGCGGATGCCGAAGGGCCAAAAGGCCTTTTTCAAGGCTTCTGCTTCCGAGATGCCGAAGGTATCAATGAAGCTGCAGTCAAGGTAGCCATAAATGCCCGCTTCTCCCTTATCGCTGTTGGAACTGCCATCGGACTCATTGACGTGTACACCGTCAAAGACTATACCGGCAATATCCCACTTTCCCACAAGATACGTCTGCCTGTGGGCCCGAGCACTACGGGAAAATTGACCGCGCTGATATATTCGCCGGATGGATATTGTTTATTTGCAGGTTACGAAAAAGGCTGGGCACTGTGGACTGTGTACGGCAAACCTTGTGCAAACACTTTCAGCGCGGACTCCGTGCAGTCTGAGAACAACGATGAGCGATGGCTGCGCGGCATCAAGTCTGCTTTCTGGGTTGGTGGTGGCTCTGAGCTTGCTTTGCTCCCGGTATCTGACGATCGGCTGTGGTTTCTCGATATGGCCAGGAACGCTTTGGCAGGGTGTTTCTCGCCTTCGAACATATCACGAGGTCTGCTGCATTCCACTAATAGCGTGATGCTCTATAAAGGCCATGATGTGCCCGACGTGACTTCTCTGCCTTCGGATATCTCGCTTTGGCAGACCATTCAAGTACCGCATCACTATCTGGCCCATCAATGGCCCATCAAATCTGCAGTGGTATCTCCGGATGGACACTACATAGCGGTTGCTGGCAAGCGAGGACTCGCGCATTATAGTGTCGCGAGCGGAAGATGGAGAACGTTTGACGATCCCCAGGCGGAGCAAGAGTTTGCAGTCAGAGGCGGCATGTGCTGGCATCATCATATCCTAATCGCTTCAGTGGAGGCCAACGGTCGATATGAAGTGCGACTTTATTCTCGAGAAAAGGCACTGGATTTTGCCCACGTCCAACACACTGAAAAGCTGTCTCATGCTGCAATCTCGACCATCGTTTCCGGCGCAGACTCACTCCTGGTATATACATATGGCAACATCCTGCTACACTATATTATCGTCATGGGAGGATCGAGCCCGAAACTGGTTCAAGTCGGCCAAATAGGGTTTCATGGTATCATCCGGGCTCCACCGCGTGTGCGGACTATCAGCTGGATACTACCGGAAGACCAGCTGGAGCACGGTGACCCTTCCCAGGACGTTGCTACGGCATCTGTCCTCTTCTTAGTAGATGGTAAACTCGTCCTCCTCCAGCCAGCCACGAATGAGTATGGCGACCTGAAATACGATATGCGCGTGATCGTGCAGAACATCGAATTTTACATGCTGCTGCGTGACCAGCCTATCACGGTCGCCTCCTTGGAAGGCGGTAATGAGGGCACAGACACACCTCCTGCAAACGGTCTGTCTTTGGACGATCCTACAGGTCACAGCCTACGTGACTCACTGTGGTACTTCGACGGGAGCGGCTTCCACGTCTGGTCTGATATCCAGGACGTCCTGGCTCGCGCTCCTGCTGAACTCGGCCGAGAGCTACCTTCGGCAGTGGCGGTCCCGCTCGACTTCTCCCCTGTATCTGCAGTAGTTGGTAAAGGCATCGTTTCTGGCATCGAGGCTGATCTTGTTCAGAGAAGAGACGTGAACTTCAGCTTCTTCAGACATGCGCCCAGGACTCAGCTCTTCCTGCCCCAGCTACTCCGTTACCATTTGACCGAATTCAACTCGCCGGCGGCTTTGCATTTGTCAAAGTCATATCAGCATCTACCTTACTTTGCGCACGCTCTAGAGGTCCTTCTGCATGACGTGCTTGATGCCGAAGTTGACACTCCGCCGGTGCCGCCCGAAACAGCACTGCTTCCAACCGTCCTCTCATTCCTCTCCTCTTTCAGCTTCTACTTGGACGTTGTTTGCAATTGTACGCGCAAGACCGAGCTGCGAAGCTGGCAGACACTGTTCTCGTACCTGCCCCCGGTCATCGAGCTATTTCAGCAATCTTTGCTCAACGGGAAGCTCAACACTGCGGCAGGGTATTTGCTAGTACTGCATGCTTTCGAAGAGGGCTCTTTTCAAGTCCATGAGTTTGCTTTACTCTTGCAGAGGGCCTCGGAGGAAAACGACTGGGAGCTTTGTAGGGAGTTGTCGCGCTTCCTGGTCGGTATTGATGCTTCTGGCAAAACTTTGGCTTCTGCATTGGCTGCGGCAGGACTTAGAGATGCCCCAAATGGCAAGAAGGAGGACGCTTCGAGGATTGAAGATGTTCAGCGCCAAAGCGGCTCACCGAATCACCGTGGTGCACAGGATTGGCAACGTCGGAGATCTCAGACGCAGGTTAACGGGCAATGGCGAGGGGACTACTTCTCTCTGGAACAACGGCTGATCAATGAGCCTGACGTCAAGACAGATACGAATCTCATGGGTTCAGATGCGTGAACAACATTATGCAGCTCTCGTATTGCAACCTTACGATAGGGCTGCATGCGATCTCTTGCTGCGTTGGTGCTCCAGGCTATGCGCCAAGCTGCCAGCCGTAAAATGTGAAGGGGTCGCACACGCAAATCGGGATCGCGTCAGCTCTCGTTAAAACTTGCTCTTCTCTCGAGCCAGCGCACACGCATCCCTGCCGCACATCTTCAATCGGCATTGCACCGCCTCAAAGGCCGACCGCTTCTTCGACCGAGCCTTGCAGCCAACATTGACCACACACGGAGCTCTTCCAGCGGTGACTGCAGTATGGCTATTGGGGCGCATTCACGCCATGTGGGCCGTTGCCGAGGCTGCCTGGTTGTTACACGAGCCCTTGAGCCGTTGCAGAGCACTTTCCCAGCTGAACAGGTTCATCTTCAAGCACTCAACCACCAACCTTGCCGCCCATATTAGCGTCATACTTATCAGTCGGACGTGGCTCCTCCTATCTAACGTCTTCTATAATGGCTTCTCCACAGAATGCGACCGAAATACTGATGTTGCCTCCGTATGCTAATCCAGGATCTCGGATCAATCCTGTGCTTCGCAGAGATTCGCCGCTCAGCAGTGCTTCACTCGCAACATCTGATTCAGAGCCGTCTTCAGACAGCACAAGGACGTCAATAGAATCCAAGGAAGGTCCAGGGCGTTCTCAATCACGCCAGAATCCATCTCTCCCAGCTTTACCCAAAGTCCCGAGTGGCAACAAGAAGAATGGTCAAGCCAGCAGCAATAAGTCTCTTCGATTTTTCGTGGTGGACCATCCGACGAAACTCAAAGACCGGACCCAAATGCGCGAGAATCGCAAGCATGTAATGCATGACTACCTAGACAAGGAACGACGCAAACCAATGAGCCATGACATCAGGGTTGCTGGTTCCGGCACGGCCAGAAAACGAAAGCGAGTAGAAGGAGTCCTCCCTTGTCCGCGAGAGTCCTTCGCAACAGCCACAAGTACAAGTCACGCTCCCATCCAAGACATGCGCGGCGGAATGAAGGCTCAGGAAGGCATGCAATCACTCAACACCCGGGAATCGCAACATAGCGAGCTTAATATCAAAGCAATGCGACCTAATGTGACCGCCGGTCAGATCAGATTTGTAGATGACGAGGCGCCGCTAGTCCACGGTATTTCAGGAGGGTTTAACAACTCGAGGTATTTGCGAGCAATACCAGAGAGCATACCTCCCCTCCTAGGTGACCCGCGATCGGCTTTGGGCTCAAATCTGCAACCGTTTAGTAGCTGTTGGCCAGCTTTACAGGACCCGTCTTTGAATGTCGAAGAGTTGAAATGGAGCTGTAGTCGCAAATTCGGTAGCCGGGGCATTGCTAGAGATTGGGTACCCACGTTGCTCAAAAGCAGGCATGCGTTTCTCAGCACTATCTGTATCTCTGCTTCCCATGACGATATCATGCGACGAGGACTGCAAACCCCTCAGGAACGGGCACCCTTCGGATCAGAGCAACGTATGAAGGTCAGATCAGAAGTGCTACAATTGATCAACCAAGCATTAGCGGACCCTCAAATGCAGACAGCGGACGCAACACTTGTGGCGGTGTTGCACGTCCTCAACAGCGAGATCATGGGCTGCGACGATTCCATCATGCGCATTCATCAAGAAGGCCTGCATAACCTGGTCCGTCAGAGAGGTGGACTTGATCGTCTTGGCGTTGATGGCCAACTGGCTTCAATCCTGACGATTACCATGTACATGATCTCTGCTCTTCGCGAAACCGAACCCCATGCAGACTTTATCAAGTATGGCTCGCAAAAAAGGACGAAGCCAGCGAACAACCAGAATCAGCTTCCAGAGTCTCCGGTCTATTGTCGCCCCTCTGGCTTTCTCACCATCAAGCGGTCCATATCGCAGAGCAGTCCAACGTACAATTTGCTTGAAAGCCTGCGACAACTGACACACGCCTTCGTGCGGAGTACGGCCTCACATCATGTGACGCCGCTAACGCCGGTGGATATGCGAGCAGCGTGGGATCAGGATCCGGCCACAATTGTCTCGCTGAAAGACAATATCTTTGCATTCCCCTCTTGCGAAAATATCGCGGATTCTTTCCACAGCATGAGTGACAAGTACACTTACGAGTCCTTACGTACAGTGGCACTTGTCTACGCCCACGCTCTAGCCGAAGAAATACCACTTTCCAAAGCCGCCTCGCAACTGGCAATGATGAATCATACAAAGGTAACATCACTACCAGTATATCCCATCAGCGAGAACGCGGCATCGACACAAAAGGATGAAATGAGCTGGCACCTTCTCATCAAAGCAGCCTTGATAAGGACCAACTTGAGCGACTGTTGGGGCCACATGGCAGGAGTGCTATTCTGGATGTCTTTAATTGCCGGCGCCTGTGCGAATCCAGACTCACCTTCCAACAAGCCCCGGCGCGAGCTTTCTCCCGAAGAGGAAGAAGGTCGTAAATGGCTTGCTGCCATTGCAGTCAGATGTAGTATTGTGCTCAGCTTTGAGTACGGAGGTGCTATACTCGAAACGCTCAAAAGAATGGTCGGGATTGAGCAGGCTTTGGCGAAAGCAGAGGCTGAGAGAGGAGCGCTCGGGGAGTGGTTTTCACGCGAAGATGTGGTTTATGGACCAACGATGAACACACATGGTGGGACGGAGGGAGGATCGTGTGGAACGGCGCAACAATCGTATGCGTCGAATACCTTTGCGGATTTTGCCCACGATTTCTTGAGCGATTTTATGTGATCGATAGATGTGTCGATAGCTCGACCAGCGTTGCTAATTCACGCTTGCACGGACGTTTTGGTATTGTCTATGATTTTGAAAATCTCCCAGCTGCAAGGGCCCTGGTGGTTTGGTAGAAGTTGTGAGCATGAAAGATGTTCTTCCGTTATCGAATGCCTAGGAACCTCCCCGGGAAGATCAGGCGAAAATGCCTTGCTTCTATCTTCGTGGTCAAAGCTTGCCCAGATCATTGGCGCGAGTCCACTGTAGCTCGGAAGAAGAATTGTTCAAAGACGCAACCCTCTGGTCTATTCGTTGTCATTGCGCAGCACAAGTTAGGTAGACTCGGCAGCGGCTTCTTGGTATTCGGGGTCTACGAAGCGACCAAGCAGTGCATGCTCACACGCAGACTTTGCGATATTGCTGGATGCGTTGCGGATTGAGTCTTACAAGAGCCGAGATATGACTGATCGGCTCATAACTTCCGGCTGTATGAGATGATCCTCTGGGCGAGATCCTCCACTCCAACTTCCTCTTTGATACTCAAACGACGCGATTGCAGTTCCACTGCCTTTCGATCCTTCCATGCTTTGCCGAGTATGACTATGAAGGGATAGCCAATCAAGTCTGCATCGTTGAGCTTCCAGCCTAGGGGTCTTTCTCGATCGTCAATTACAGCATCAAACTCCATTGTTCCCGACATTTCCCGGAGGTGATGCATGACATAGTCGTACAGTTCGACCACTTCATCTGCTGAACTACTGCCCGTGCCGACCAGCACCATCGCGAATGGAGCAATAACGACAGGCCAATTCAAGCCCTTGGCGTCCGCGAGCATTGTGGCCATTGCTCCGACTAATCGGGAGACGCCGACACCGTGACAGCCCATCTCAATGGCGATGGTTTCGTTGCTGGCGTCTTTGATCGTCGCTTCCAGTGGTTCACTATATCGTGAGCCGAGATGGAAGGTGTGGCCTATCTCGATGGCTTGATGTAATTGAAGGGCCCTAGATCCACAATCTGGACACGGGTCATTTTCTCGAGCTTTTGTGAGGAGGAATGGTGCTTCTGCAATTCTCGGCGGCTCCGAACCAGAGTAATCAACGTCAGGAAGATAGCACTGGGACTCAGATATCCTAGGGTCACGAATGTGGATGCAATGCTCTTGACGGGCATCGAGCCACATCTGAGCATCAGCATTGCTCGTCTCAATATTTGGATGAAGTCTCTTGATAGCATGCAAGTTCAGCTCACAGTCTTGAGGATAGTACACCTTCAAGATCGAGTCAACACGGCCGCCAGCAGTCCGCGCGGACGCGTCAAGAGTGTAGGCGGCCTCATACTTCGACCAAGCTTGACCATAGATCTGCTCAAATTGTGCGGCTTCTTCTTCAGACCGCGGCTTTGGTAACTTCTTTTCCAGCTTACGGAGGATGGGACCAGCCCATATAGCGAGATCATGCTTGACGTCTAGAGGCTCTGACGTTGCGTCGTGCTTGCCGACGTAAAGCTCCTCATTTACAGACATTCTGCAAGCGCTGCATTTGATGACTGTGTCTTCGCCTCTCTGAGACGCGAAGTGGTACTCGTGGCTGTGGTTGCCACCCATATTACCAGAATCCGCAGTCGCCACCAGATATGGAAGGTTCAGCTGGTCAAAGAAGGCCTTGTACGCCTTCTGCACAGCTTGATATGTCTCCATAGCATGTTCCTCGGTCAAGTCAAAAGTGTAGAGATCTTTCATGATGAACTCCCTGCCTCGAAGTAATCCTTGCCTGGGGCGGGCCTCGTCCCGGTATTTCCTCGACACTTGATACAGCCGGAGCGGCAGGTCTTTGTAAGACTGTACGGCATGCTTGACAATGTTGGTGATTTCTTCCTCGTGCGTTGGAGCGAGCAAGTGTTTTGCATTCTTTCGGTCAGTCAAGTGGAAGAGCTCTGAGTTTCGGCCCTGGAGCCGTCCAGATTTTCGCCATAACTCTTGCGACGAGAGAGAAGACAATGCAACCTTGGAGGCACCGAGGCTCTGCATGTGCTTGTCGATCAGCGTCTCCACCTTGTTCAGCACTCGCAATCCGAGCGGAAGAATGTGAAAGATTCCAGGCTGTGCTTGGCGTAGGAATCCAGCTCGGACGAGAAGGTCGTGGCCATCTTCATGCGCATCCCCAGACGATGGCTTCTTTTTGCTTTGAGTGGGAGTCCAAAAGGTGGTCAATCGGTTGCGAGTATCGGACTGGTGAAGTCATTAATGTAATGAAGTGGCAGGGCAGGCGTAGAAGCGATACGATACTGACATGGAGAGCGCGTCGCTGAAACCACCCTTGAATACTTGAGGCCCTGCTCAATGGCATCTCAAGCACTACGTGCAAATTTTTATGAAGCCGAAGTCGATGCCACTCGAGCAGTCTTCAATGCGACGAGCCAATCCATCGTTCTACTCAGGCAGCAGTTCTGTCAATGGTACTCGCGTTTTTGAGTTTGGAGCTGCCGAGATATCGCCGTCGCAGCGCCGACTGGGGAACATTTTCTCTGGCGAGTCCCAAGCACGAATACAACCACACATGCCGTCGCCATGAGCACGAAACGAAAATCGTTCGGCGACCAAGGCCGGCCGCACAAGAAGCCCAAGCCGAATCATGGCAGCGGCAGCGGCAGCGGCAGCAAGAGAGTCGGCCAGCCCACACTCATATTCGCAGCAAGACCCGACTGGCACGCCGCAGAGTTACCATCGCTCGAAGAAAAGGAGATTGTGTCTCTGCCGCCACAACAGACGATCGACGAGCTGTACCAGTACGCGACTGCTCTGCTCGAGGCAGAGAACAAGGCCTACAATGACTCCCACCTCACCGGCTCGTCTTCGCACAAATTCCTGTCTACCATCATGGCTTCAGGTACCCTCGAGGACAAAATATCGGCCTTGACGCTTCTGGTACAAGAATCGCCTCTGCATACAACGAAAGCTTTCGAAAACCTCCTGGGCTTGTCAAAGAAGAAGAGCAGGAATCAAGCGTTGCAGGCCTTGGCGGCATTGAAGGACTTGCTAGGGCAAGGTGTCGTCTTACCAGGAGATCGCAAGCTACGCCCTTTTGCCAAACAACCTGGGCTTCTCGCAGTCCTACAAGGGAAGTCTGTGCGTTGGCAACGTGGAGATGCGCTGCCAAATGGTTTGCAGAAGACTCATCTTCTTGTATGGGCTTTCGAAGACTGGCTAAAGAAGAGGTACTTTGAACTGCTAGGGATTCTGGAAACGTGGTGCAGTGATGAAATCGAATACTCCAGGAGCCGTGCTATTACCTATGTCTTTGAACTGCTGAAGGATAAGCCGGAGCAGGAAGAGAATCTGCTGCGATTACTTGTGAACAAGTTGGGAGATACAGAGCGAAAAATCGCATCGCGAGCCTCGTATCTGCTTTTGCAGCTCGAAAATACACATCCAGCAATGAAGACAATCATTACGAACAGTATTGAAGCAGACTCGTTATTCAGACCTGGCCAGAGCGATCATGCGAAATACTATGCCATTATCACCCTCAATCAAACGATCCTCAGTCAAAAGGAGGAAGAGCTGGCAAACAGGCTCCTGGATATATACTTCTCTCTGTTCGTGCAGTTGCTGAAGCCAGTGGAGAAGGATCGACCAACAGTGAAGGCAAATGCTAAAGCTCCCCATCAAGGCGGAGGCGGCAAAGCAGGCAAAATGGCGGCCAAGAAGCGGAAGGCCGAGGAGCGAAGTGAAGAATCTGCGACACAGCTCCACGACAAGATGGTTGCACAGGTACTGGCCGGAGTAAATCGAGCGTTCCCTTTCGCTGACACCAGCGACCCAACATTCGAGCAGCAACTTGACACCATCTTCCGTGTAGCTCACGCCTCAAACTTTAATACCAGCATTCAGGCCTTGATCCTGCTACAACAAATATCGTCAAGGAAGCATTTCGGCGCGGAACGATTCTACAAGACACTCTACGAGAGCTTGTTAGACCCAAGGCTCTTCTCGAGCAGCAAACAGGTCATGTACCTCAACCTGCTGTACAAGAGCTTGAAAGCGGATCTCAACGCGAAGCGTGTGCAAGCATTCGTGAAAAGGCTCCTACAAGTCATAACAATGCATGAACCGCCATTTGCATGCGGAGTGCTTTACCTGATAAGCGAGCTGGAAAACACGTTCCCCAGCATCCGCAAAATGTTGACAGAGCCTGAACTCGCAGACGAAGACGAAGAAGAGCATTTCGTAGATGTTCCAGAAGGTGGGCAGAGCCTCGAACAAGAGCAAGCAACTCCAGCTAGAAAAGTCGCCTACGATCCGAGAAAACGAGATCCAGAGTATTCAAATGCCGAGCGCACCTCGCTGTGGGATATTCTTCCACTGTTGCGACACTTCCATCCATCTGTCGCACTCTTTGCAGAGGCTGTTTTCGGTACGAAGAAGATGCCGCCAAAGCCGGACCCGACACAGCATACCCTGATGCATTTCCTCGACCGATTCGTGTATCGTAAACCCAAGACGAAGCAAGATAAGACGCATGGCGCTTCTATCATGCAACCGTTGGTTGGTAGCAATGCTGCCGATCTCTTGGTCAAGCCAGGCGAGGCCGTCACTCGACAAGCGCCACTCAACTCTGATTCTTTCTGGGCGAAGAAGGTGGAAGATGTTGCTGCGGATGAAGTTTTCTTCCATTCCTACTTCAATGCTGCAGACAACAAGAAGCGCAAGGTTGGAGAGAAGAGAGGGAAGATGTCTCAAGAGTCTGTTGACAGTGATAGCGATGCAGGAGAGGATGAGATCTGGCAGGCCATTGCGAATTCGAGACCAGAAGTTGAGGGACCAGATTCCGACGACGACCTCAGCATGGCAGACTTGGAATCTGCTTATTCCAAGAGTGATGGATCTGAGTCGGGTATTGACCTTGGTGGGAATGAAGACGAGCCTGTTCAAGATTCATTCGCAGAGATGGATGGAATGGACGGCAGCGATATGGAAGACATACCCGACTTCGATGACGAGGAAGCAATGCTTGGATCAGATGATGAGGTACCATTAGGCTTGCCGGAGGAAAGCTTGGAAGTGACGGACAAGACGACACGGAACAAGAAGAAGCGACAGGAGCGGAAGCGTCTGCGCGATATGCCTGTTTTTGCGTCAGCAGACGATTACGCACGTCTACTTGGTGACGATGAGGGTATGTAAATAGCACAGACAAATGCGCCGCATTGGCTGCGTGGGTCGCGCTTGTGAAAACGGCTTGCTGCCTTGCCACCTAAAATTAGCCACACCTCTCGCCAGCTCTTACACATCATCACGGTTGTAACGAAGAAGCAGGGCCACCCGATGCGATCACTTTGACCTGGCCAAGATGCACTTCAGCAGATGAGAAAACGGGATCGAAGAACTCTGGCCAATGGTCACTTCTCCATCAAGGAAGGCGTCCACGAGGTTCAGTTACTGAGCAGCGATCCTGCGATGGGACTGAAATGCCATACAACTACTTTCCGACCGTCTTTGTTGACACAAACGCAATGCCCCATTTCACGATCGTCTTGAAGCTGTTGAATGTCCCGACATTTCTCGGCCAATGAAGCCTGAACGCAGAGTGTAGGAGCATATCATCCCGTAAAGTTCTTAGGCTGTGATGTTAAAGTCGTTTGACCACCATAAGCCTTGAATTTACAGACCCAGCTTCCACAAGCCATCTCCAACATAGTGTCCGTTCTCAATGGCTGGGCCCTTCTTTTTCTCCTTCATCTCTTTGGTGCTCTGCTTCAATACCCCGACCATACACGCATTTTCCTTGCCTTCGGCGTCCACGACAACAACCTCCCCAGCTTCAATCTCTTTTCCTCCATTAGCCCACTGCTCACTCTCTGGCCCACCGGGCAATCTTCCGCCAGGACTCGTCAGTCCCGGCGTCATCAGCGTAGCTCCTGACAGCACAAATCTTATACCACCGCGATCTATTCGTACGTGCTGGAAGCACTGCGGGTATTGGTGTATTACTCGCAGATGTGGAATGATCGGATCGTCCATGTGTTGCCAGAAAAGAGGCTTGTCGCCCAGAGAGTAGAGTGAGACGCGATCTGGGAGTTTGACCAAGTCTAATTGCTCTTTCTTCGGAAGGATCGCCTCAATGTATGGCTCGATGAGTGGGTAGGTCTCGATGATGTTTTCGCGGATTTTGCGCTGGACGGAGGATTTCACTTTGGACTTCGCGCCCGGCGAGAATCTGGTTGAGAGTGTGAGCGTGTAGGCAAGGAGCATGAGGTTCGGACACGTACTGACTCCTTTTTGAACATCTTGAAGGTCGAGTCTGCCCGCTCAATGTATGAGCACGCAACAGTGTATGTAGCTTTCAACTAACTGTTTGCATGTGATGTCGAACCACCTGCGACCCCACCCCACCCTGCCCCGCCATCCATACGCTTGGCTACGGAGGCCCGTAGATACCAAGAAGCCAAACCAGGGTGGGCTATTCTCACCGCCTTTACTACCTAATTCTTCATGTTTGACCTTAAGGACTCGCACTACACTCGCTATTGACTCGCATAATAGCTCCACGTGTTGATTTAGAGCTATAGAGGGCCTAATTAATCTCTTAAGTCGAGAGGGATACTACGAAGGAAGCAATCCTATAATACCTTCTATAGGAGACCGGTTATTAGATATCTATGCGTACGCTTATACGAAGGCTCTAGGAGTGGAATATCTAGTATAACCGTTATACTAACTAGCGAGTTAACGATGTCGAGTAACTTAAGATTCGAGTCGCTTATACCTTCTACGTTCTACGGTTAACTAATAAAGAGGCGGTTAAAATACTATAGGCGGATAGATTTAATATTAGCTAGCGGAGATATCAACGGATACGTTAAGAGCTTAGATTAAAGAAGTTAATAGACCGGTATTTATAAGCACGAGCGGAAGAGGAGATAGCGGAGGTTTTACGAGAAGAGCTTAATAAGTCTCTAGTAGAGTCTTTTAGCCGAAGGCACCTATATACCTATATTAGGTCCAAATACAATATCGTTAGCAGAGACAGGCTATATCGTATAGCTTGCTTGCTAAATCCTAAAGGCCTACGAGTCCGCCGCGAGCGGGTACGAGAGCACTATAGTATAGTTCGGATACTAGGCCCTAGATACGCAATATTAATAGATGCTTACTATAAATTCGAGCATTAGGGTATATAGATATATGCAGCTATTAATGTCTACTCGCGTTATATTGTCTAGATCTATATAGGCATTACTAGCCGGACAGCTGTCTCTATACTCGCTTAGTACGTTGCAACTATTAAGAATAGTAGTGTAATGCTATAGATTATCCGATTAGACCGTAGAGCGGAGACGATTCTAGCCGCGGACGCTTACTATAGGACTCGCCTTGCGACTCGTACTAAGGCGGAATCGGAGGAACCGCTACCTGCCTTCTAGGATTGCTTTAAATACGGCACTAGCAAGATAAACTAGCGGATTGAGTTATAGTAGCGGTAGCAAGTACCCGCTATAGATAGCTAGAGGAGCTATTTCTACGAGTTGCTACGCGAGTCACTATACGATACTAATTTATTATCCGACCGGATTGCCTTCCTTACGATCTATATACTAATTATACGTAATAAAGTCCTCGAGTTTGTTTACCTCTAGAATAGCTATCGTATTCGGAAGCAGGCTAGGCGACTATATATTGTATTAGGCATTCCGTATATTCTATACTATTATCTAGAGCTTAGCGGGCATTCTTATTAAGGTATTCCTATACTAGACGGCGTACTTAATAATATCGAGCAAGACCTTTAAGAATTCGGTATATATTAGTTCTAGACTCGCTATAGACTCGCCGCAAACTCGCTAATATACTTGCTCCTAGATCTTAAAGCCTACCTACCCGAGGTTACGCTTACTTAGTATTAGGTAGCATTATAGGCTTATAACTTCTCGTATCTAGTTAGTAGCAGCGAGAATAATAGCGATAGAGAGCGCGTTTACCGCTCTATATACTTACTTCTTCGACGGCTAGTTACGGAGCATATAGCTATAGGGGAAGAGCCGGAACTAGTAGAATTAGACAAGCTATTAGCAGCTCGTAATTAGATGTCAGCAACGGCTCGGTACTAGGAGGCGCTTGCAAACCCCGATGCTAGATTAATTGAGTTTGAAAATAATATAGTTTAATCGGCGATCTACGAGCCGGCCGCGAGTATATAGCGAGTCGATTATTCTAGTTCTATTTCGTCCTTTCCCTAGCTAGTTCTACCTCTATTCTATACCTATTTCTACCTCTATTCTATACCTATTTCTATACTAACAATACAATAATGCCTGCTAAATAGGGTACCTTTTACTCTGTCTTAGGCGTTAAGTATATAGTAATGTTTCAATTATACGCATACTGTTTACAATGCGGCCTTAAGAACCCTAATCCACTAACTAAGCGATTTATACGCGAGCTATTAGTAGCAGCTGCTACGGCAGCTACGAGTGTAGTTACGAGTATAGCACGAGGCTATAATGCGTTCCCCTCTCTACCTAAGTCGGCTAACGCTGTACGCAACGCTGCTATTTAGCAATATAAGCTAACTTAACGACTAAACGCTAGGTCTCGGAGCCTCTCGTAGCGTCTAGTAATATCTGCTTCTTCTTCTTCGGAAAAAACAGAGCTAATAAAGCTATTCCGGTGCCGCTATATTATCTATCTTTAGCGAGTCGAAGTTAAGATTATAGCCTCTATAGAGACGTAGATATACTATAAATCGGAGGTGTATTCTACTACGACTAATTCCGTGTCTAAAGAAGTATATAAAGCCGCTAATATAAGCTTTCTCGACTAGATTTTAAATAAACGGATTAACGAGCTACCTAACAATAGCGACATTAAGGGTATAGAAGACTATACTAACTACTTCTTCTACGCTAGCTTCGACAAAGATAATCAACTAGATAAGGTATCCTCTAAGGCGGTTAGCTTACTATCGATTGAATAGATTCTTTTTACGTTCAAACTAACGACAAAGACAACAATCTACGAGATACCTATCTATATCTAGTTACGGAAGCAGCAGTAACAAAGGTAGTAAAAGCGGAAGTACCGGCTAAATATTCCTCCTACTGCGAGTAGTACTACGAGTACTATAGCGAGTAAGTATAGAGTAGTTGATAGCATAGAGATTAAGAAAGAAAAGCTATAGACCGAGAAGATAATCGATATAGAGAAGCCGCCTAAGATTATTAACTTAAGCGGCGAGGATACCGCGAGGACACTACGAGGTACGTCTGTTCTAAAAGGGTCGAGCGAATCTAAAGACTAGCAACCTAGCTAGCAACCTAGCTAGCAACCTAGCTAGCAACCTAAGCAGCAACCTAAGCAGCAACCTAAGTAGCAACCTAGCTAGCAAGCTAAGTAGTAACAACCTACTAACAGCGGCGGACATACTAAGAGTTAAAGGCTAAAGCGCAGTCGGAAGAAGAAATAAGATATAGAAGTAGAAGTATAGACTCGTAGTACACTCGCTATAGACTCGCTATAGAATCGCTATTTTATTTACTATACTCGTAGCGGACTCGCTGCTATTTTAAAGGTCTTCTACTAGTAGCTCGCGATCGCTATTTAGCTATAACTCCTTCTATATCGTATATATATCCTTTAACTTAATAATTGCCTTAGTCTTAAGCTATTTGAACTACTTTTAATAATAACCCTCTAGATCGGCAAACCTAGTCTTAAAAGCATTAATCTTTGTCTCTAATACAATATTCTTCGTCTCTAATTTAATGCTCTTTACCTCTAACAGAGTATTCTTCGACTCTAGGGCCTCGACTCGCGCCTATATCGCGGCTAGCTCGCTATTCTTATCGTCTTCTTTAACCTTAATCTCGCTAGTAGTGTAGCTACTCTTGCCCTAATACTTATAATAAGTATAGACTCTCTCTCCTTTAGCATCTAGCACGCGATACTTATAGCCGTTATCGTAGCGAGTATAGAAGTGATATAGCGATAGTGCTAGCTTTCCTTGCTTAGTCTCTATAATTGTACTAGTAGCTAAGTATTTACGTATTCTGTTTAAAGCTACCTTCTTCTTTTACGGATTTGCAGTATCGTCGATAAGGTCCTACTATATCTGCTCGCTATAGTACTAGAAATCTTTCGTGTTTATAGTCGTAGGACGTCGAAGTCTAGAGCGAGTTAGTAGCGAGTCTATAGCGATACGCCTCGTAGCTTACGATAAATACGGTGCTCCTGCTAGTAAGGTAGGCACTAAGTCGGGCGCTAAAGCACCTAAAGCAGCTATAATAATAAGGTCGCGCGAAATACTAGTTATAGCTCGAAACGGTAGTAGTAGTAGTAACGCTACTATCGCTATCGCTATCGCTAAAGGTAGAAGACGAAGAAGAATATAGCGAGTCGAGGCGCGAAGGAATAGCGAGTACGGTAAGGTTTGCGCGGTGAAGTTACGCGTAAGGAAGGCGCGATAATAATAGGAAGCAACAATAGCCTCAAGTGAAGCCAACCGTGGTTTGGCTTCTTGGTATGTATGGAGCTCCGTCCTTGGCACTTGGGGCCCATCAATTATTGATTGACCGCGCCGATCTACACGACAACTTACTGTCCTCACGAGAAGGTTCGATCGGGCCCTGGGAGATAAGGATAACACACAGCTCCCGACCTGCAGTGGAAGACATCGCGCAGAGCAAGAAGGTACCTCACACGAATCTCAAGGCAGCCAAAATGGTATGGTGATCGCCACATGGTCAAAATGTGGCCCAGCTCACGCAACGTCTAGGCTACAGACTCCCGCAAGCGCCTCGCACTTGCGATTGTCGATTTCCTGCAGAGTTCCCTCAAAGATGGCACTCTGCAACCCGAAGACTCCGACTCGATCGAGATTGCAACCAACTGTATAGCAGAATGCTTCCACGTCGACCCGAACGATGAAGCGGCGGTCAAGGATGCGCTCGGCGGCCAGAATTTACTATCCATCTATGGCGTTTACGAAAAGCTGAAGGGGAAGAGCACACCAGCTGCTGCAGCCAGTGGTGCAGCAGCTGGAGCATCAGCAGCGACCTCGGCAACTCCAACTCCTTCCGGCCAGCCTACAGAGGAGAGTGAGAAGCTCAAGGGCGCTGGCAATGCTGCGATGCAAAAGAAGGACTACCAGAGCGCCGTGGACAACTACACCAAAGCGCTTGAGATCTGCCCTCTCAACCCGATTTATCTCTCCAACCGTGCAGCAGCTTACAGCGCCATGAACCAGCACGAGTTTGCTAAGAATGATGCTGAACTGGCAACCGCTACAGATCCGAAGTACACCAAGGCTTGGTCGCGATTGGGATTGGCCCGGTTTGCGCTGGGCGATGCCAAGGGGGCGATGGAGGCTTACAAGCAGGGAATCGATGCCGAAGGAAGCGGAGGCAGCGACGCCATGAAGAAGGGCTACGAAACTGCCAAGAGGAGAGTGGAAGAGCTCGAAGGCGCCGAGGCAGCAGAGCAAGCTGAAGAAGAGACCGAGCGAGGTGCAGGCGCAGGTGGAATGCCCGATCTTGGTGGACTCGCGAGTATGCTCGGTGGTGGAGGTGGTGGCATGCCAGATCTCGGATCTCTCATGCAGAATCCAATGATGCGGCAGATGGCGCAGAATCTGATGTCCAATCCAGAGGCCATGAGCAATTTGATGAACAATCCGGCGCTGAGAAACATGGCAAGTCAGTTTGGCGGCGGTCGAGGTGGTGCTGGAGGCGAGGGCGGCAGCGGTGGTGGTGGGGGTGGTGGTGGAATGCCAGACCTCAGCGCTCTGATGAATGACCCCAACATTGCCAACATGTGAGTACATCTTGATCGCGGTCTGAATACTTCGGCTTACAATTATCCCAGGGCCAGGCAATTCATGGGCGGCGCCGGACGTGGAGCTGGCAACAATCAGTAAACGATTAACAGCTATGCCCTTTCCTTTTCCATCACATGGATTTGTTCAGAGCTTGATACCCTTGCGTCGACATTATAGACTCAAATGGAAAAGACGATTGAACGAGCATTGACTCAAGACAGCGGGAATGCTTTAACAATGCCGCGAGTTGTTGCAGTGCCGACACAAGTTCAATACCTCTGCCAGCGGTTGCCCATCGGCACGGCCGTTACGCTAGTGTGAGTCGATGCGTGACCAAACTCAATGCTACAACTGAAGTCGCGAATAGCAATGACCATCTTAGGCACGTCCGAGCAGCAATACAAGGTACACAGGCCATCTTCAGGTGCTATAGTGGTGTATTTCGTTTCTACACATGCCAATGCGATGCGTGCAAATGTCCTCGCGATCACGAGCACAGGCCGAACTGAAGCTGGCACCTCACTTCACTCACTGAATGAGCGCAGTTGGAAGGACCCTACATCACATGCTGTCGCTTTAGCTCCGGCAGCCATCCTTTTTATTTATTGTCCAGTTATTGGCTCACCTCAACAATAGCAACACTTCAACCACACACAAGGTGACCATAGTTCCGAAAGCCTTTCGCAGCTCCCAGTCGTATCAGCCATCTACATATCCACCACTCTACTCTCCATTCGGTGGACCCAGTGCTGGTCACTGTTGCACACATTACTAGAGTATCAAGCACCATATTTGACAATCTCTTCCAAGAGGTACGACCGCAGAAGGATACAATCAGATCAACTGCTCCAACCATGGTGTATGAACACCTTCCATACATCGAGCGCCAACAATTTACTCTCGACAGTATGAGCGCCCTGTATCGATCGAACCTCGCGGCGACGTCCGATGCGGCAGCTGCAAATTGCTCTGAAACCCGAGACGATGGCAAGCCCAATCCATTCGATTCTCTGCCTCTTGAAGTAAGTAGAATTGGTGTTCAAGTCGCGCATTCAAAAAGCGTCCCAGCTAATGAGGAACGCAGATTTGCCAGGAAGTCGCGAGCCACATTGAGAGCGACGATGATCTCGACAGTATGCTGTATGCCTGCAAGTCACTTCAAGTGGCTCTCGCGGACCCTCACTTCTGGCGTAAGCGGTTCCTTCAAAAGTTTGACAGTCCGCGCCCGGACAGCAATGTGAAGGAGAACGACGACTTCAAGACAGAGTACAAGAGACGTCAGAACGTCTTGAAATATGGTGCTCGAGGTCAATTCGTCACCGGGAACAAAGCTAGAGAGAAGTTCTGCCTGCAGATTCTTCGAGATCTCATTCTGGGTATGTGCTCGGCGAGCGCTTGTCATACTTGAAGTCACGCTAAATGAGCACTACAGACTCCTTCCAGAATGGACCAGGCGGTAATGTTCGAGTTCGCAAAGCAGCCAACGTCTGGCATCTCAGCGAGGTACGTATCTATTATGCTGCGGTGAGACGTGGTTTGTTGTGATGTCTGCTGACATTTTTCCACCTTTAGTTCGTCATCAACCACGATCTGGTTGTGAACCTCTTGCACCCACTCTGTACTGTTCCAACTTCGTCCCGCGTAGGCGACCGATTCCACGATAGAACCAATCCACTACTCCAGACCATCCAGCTCATGGCGACTCCCAACTTTCTCGACATCGATCGTCGCCGTTATGGCGGAGAATCACACGTCTGGGGATTTCCCGAGTCACAACAAATGGCTTATGCCACTGCTACCGAGCGTCCAATCTTCAAGGGATGCAATGGTCTCGACGTCGACATCGAATGGTGCTTGCATCAGATCAACTTCTGGAAATATCACATGCTTCGCGAAGAAGAGTGTACGCTTTATGAAGCGTATGCCAACCTTGACATCGCCGAACGCCCTCATTTCTGGTCTTCTGAACTTACGAACAACGGACGTGCCACCGTTGGTAAGAGTTGGAAGGGTGCATACGGGTTTCTGACCCGCGAACAAGACATCGATGTGGTTCGTACGGGCAATAATCGTGAAATCCAAGTCGTCGATGAATTCAACAGCGATGACTTTCGTGGCGAATTTCAAGATCTCGAACTGACTCTCACGGACCCGACGGAGCAAGAATTCAACCCACTGTTCGAGAGCATTCTCCACTCGCTCGAGCCACCCGTTCAAAAGGCCCGCACCCGTGCGCAGAAGCGCTGTGCATCTCCACCTCCAACGCACCTCCCGTCGCGCTCCTTCCGATTTGGTGGGAAAGGCGAGGACGCTGAGGAGGAGTTCAAGGCTGACGGCTGGCTCAACCCTCTTCCATCTCAGAATGGCATTCCGGGATGGCAGCGCATGACGATGATGAAGTACTACGAGCAGGATGATGGCACCGTGGACACTTCATCTCTATGGGCTTATGAGGGAGTCTGCCTGCCTGGTGGTCAGATCATCATCGGCCGCTGGTGGTCGCCATCGAGCACAGTCAACGGCGACGACATGTACTGCGGCCCCTTCTTGCTTTGGTGCGTCGACAGCCACGAGATTCCAGCCGTGAGCTGATCAGCTCAAGCACTGCCACCTTTCGATCTCTTCAAGATTCCGCAAAACACCATTCAGCTCAGTACCACATTCACCACTAGTTAAGCTTGTGCGCACGAGAAGTGCGGACCACACCATGCAGACTTCTAGCGACATCTTACACCAACTGGCCGGATTGGCCGGCAGCGCTCTTTGTTGCAAGTGACAGTCGCTCGACAACCGGATCGAAGGGCCGAGACGATACGAATGCGATCAGGCCTGCGGCTACTCTGCGACACGGCTACAGACTCGATCTTACGATGGCTTTTCAACTACCCATGAGATTTGGATTTAGCGACACATTTTGGCTTCGGAAGTTTGGAAGATACCGTAATATTGAGGTATCCTGATAAGTATCTTCTCGGCGCTTTTGCAAAAGTAACGACGGCAATACTTGGTTTTCTTTCTTGCGTGATTTTTTTCTTCATCATCTGGCTACCGACGTCTTACGTACGAGGACTGAGAAGGTTTGGCTTCTACGTATTAGTCCAGAAGCGCAGCTAGCACTCAGCATGAGCGCTCGGACAGGCAGGGATGGGGCATGTTATGTCCCGCACTACGTAGCAAGTTTATGCATTTCACGACCGATTCTCAGACTGATCTGTGTGTTGCACCTCCTGCCCTTAAGACAGATCTCTACGCGTGAACTGTGGGGCTGACGAACGGTCGCAGTATGGTGCAAGTTTTCGTGCTTGCGACCAGAAGCTAGCTCATTCGCTGGCTCAGACGTGAGCTTCTGAACAGAGCTGCGACTTGAGCAAAGTGATGCTGGAATCGGTTGCATCCGAGGTTTGCCAAAGGGCAGTGATCACTGCAACCATTAGTCGGCCTTTGCGAGAAGTTGTCGCGCCGCTGATTCGCAGACGCTGTCGTTCCCAAGAAGATCGCAATAATCTGCGAGTGGATATATGGGCCAAGCCGCACAGAGAGGTACAGACAGGCACTTTGCACTGCACCTAGCGGCCTTGAGTTGCCGACCGAACCTCATGCAGTCATTGAGGGGTCTTTTTACCTGCTCATTTCTTGCCCTTTCGTTTCTTGAACACCACTGTTGTCGCCGCTCCAGCTCCTTCAACGTCTGGTAGCGAATCCAATGCCTTTCCCACCTCACCATTTGGCTCCGTTTTGACCTGGATGTCACCCTCTGCCTTCGATTCCTTCTTCTTGACTCCGCTTAAAAGTGCATCAAGGTCCCCAATGTCAGCATCATCATCTTTCTTTCCTGGGTAGCTTTTGATGTTGCTGCCCCAAGCTTTCTTTTGTCTCGGCGTAGCCTCCTCGTCGCGAGGGTCCTCATTTTCTTCTATCTTGCGCTTGAGGAGGTTCTTCGACTTTGTCTCTTCATCGCCCTCCACTTTGATATCGTTTGGTGCGCTTGCCTCGTCCTCGCGCCGCGATTCGGCAAGAATTTCTGCCAGTGATCTGTTCACGCTAATCGAGCCCCTGTCTTCAACCTCGCGCTCTTGGACGACACGATAGCTGCCGATACCAGTGACTTCTTTCGTCAGCTCATCTGGTAGTTCGACGCCCAGCGCGGCGAGCTGCTCGGCGTGGGCTTTTCTTTGCTGTGCAATGTTCAGTGTCGGAGGTTGTGTTCTGGACTGGGAAGTCGTGGCAGGCACTGGCGCATTTGGTGAAGATTTCGTCCCTCCGAACATACCATTCAGCCGTGCTACTTCATCTTTCGCCCTCTGCTTTTCGCGGTCTTCGCGCTCTTTACCCTTGTGTAGTTCGCGCAGGCTTCGCTGGATATTATTTTGGTGCTTCGCACTCGCTTCGTGATTCTTCTTCTCGACCTTGGTGTCGCGCACATGCTGGCTGCAGAATTTGCACCAGTAGGTGGGCGTACTTTTCCAGTACTCGGCCATTGCAGTTATGGTATTTCGTATTTCGGTTCTGGCGCCAGAGGTTCAAAGGGAACAGGGATTCAAGATAAGGTTCAGCCGCATAACGACGTGCTTGGCATGACTCCCGATCAATCGACAGCCTGAGAACTCACTGCACCGACTGCGTGCAGAGAGAGACTAGAGAAGAGACTCGAAGCCTGTAATTTACATAGAGACGGCGATGATAAGGTGGCGTTTCACTTCCAATCCTCGTGATATTGCTTTCCTACATACACTGTTATACCATTGCATGGTAGCATTCATCTTGAATCACTTCTGTCGTTTGCTCGCTCTGTCTCTTTCCAATGGCTCTTCATCGTAGCCTGGATGCTTTGTCCGATTTGGAGACGAGAGATTGGTCCCATCCATCGCTTCCTGAGGTGTGTATGACTTTACGGCAATGTGGGTTTGAATATCAGCGAAGTATGGCTGACCTCCTGTCTCTGCGCTCAAGAGAGCATCAGTCCACACGATAAGCTGGACTGTTGTTGATGGGAGTCCTGTACAGGACAGAGTGTCATGGTCAGCAAGTCTTAGGCACAGAGTACGCATGGCGAGGGTCGAGCTTACCAAGATTTGCAAGCCCTCCTCTCATTTCACTCATGCTAAGCAGGCTTGTCATCAATTGTGACTAGCAGATAATCTGAGTTCCAGATCTTACCGCAACTGAGCAGGGCGGTGCATAGAATGGGCGAGCAATCGATTACCGTAAATATGTTCATGTAAAGCTATACGTCCGACGGCAAGTATGACCGGATTGCTTGTACTCCTTTCGAAATCGCCAAGTGCATCTTGCATAGCTTTGACGGTCTTTTGCCCCAACCACTGACGCAAATAGATCAATCGTTAGCAAAGGCGCCTCAGTCTCCGAGGTGTGCTGCCGAAGGTGGTACGTACCAGGGCGGCGGACAGTGGGAACAGGCCTTCAGCGACCGGAATCCCCGCTTGCCAAAAAGAGCGACGTGTAGAATAATACAGGCTCTGAGAGTTCCTGCCTCCGAGACCAGATAGTATACGCTTCGAGCTCAGGCCTTGAGGCTTTGATGACTCGAGTAGAGCGTGGCAAAACTACCTGGTACCAGTAATTGAGCAGCTGCCCATACCACTTTCGATATCGGACCGGGTAAGTGAGGAAAAGATCGCTTAAGCTGGCGTCAAGGAAGGCCGGATCAGGCAATGAAGTATGGAATGCTCCTGGGGAAAGCGAGCGATCGCTATCACTGCTCGAACTTTCTCTCTTGATCTGTCCTTTCGCTCTTTTCCTAGAGATGTTGGCCACAATTATTTCCCCAGCTCCTGATTCCTCAGACGAAACACTGGATATGGGCGGGACTGGACTTCGACGTCCTCGCTTCAAAGTGCTAGCAGATTTGCCAGAGCTTCCGGACGCTTTCGAGGTTGTCGTGCTCAAAAATTGCCGCCGGGAATCATCAACAGTCTCAGCACTGTCCAAGGCTCTGAGATTGGCCTCCGGCTTTGTGCCTCCCGCGGTGCTATGCGGTGAGAGTAAGCTGTTGCCGTGGATCGAATTAGTTTTCGAGATGTCTTCTTCTGATCCTCATCGTTTCCCACGTTGCAATTCACCAAAACAAAACCAGGATTCTGAGTGGCCTGAGTGTGAGCCGGTCTTGAAGATGCCTTGATTCGTTCTTCATCGTATTCTATGTTCGCGCACACAAAGCCTGGCGTCTGGCTCATAGCATTTGCTAGCAGCACAGGCTTTGGTTCTTATATCGGCGTTCTTGCAAGCTAGCCAACAGCCAAGGCATGAAGTACATTGCATGTCTTGTTTTTCTGCGACAGCTCGTTGGCCAAAGGAGTGTTAGATACTGGGACCGGTATCTGGCTCTTCCACCTGGCTCTCGGGACATGGTGGCGATGATCTAGCCCTTAAGTGGAGAGTTCCGAAGCTTTGAGGAGGCAAATCGAGCTTGAACGACGCGCTACTCGCCTGCGGAGAACACAGACATGCAGTAATAGGCACCTTGCGCAGTAGGTTTGAATTGGCAGTTGCGCTCCGTGTACGCGGAAGTGGCTCGCGCTAGTGCACTATTATGTGAATAAACTCCAACCTGTTACCCGTGCGTGAAGGATTAAGTGAATAAAAGCACGGGTAACACCTTGGTCTCAACCTGTTACCCGTACACGCTTATATAATCGAAAATACGCTAATTAGACCCTGCACTAGGCCGTTAATAGTTAAGTAAAGGAGTGTACGGAGCGCTTAGCGTAGTAGCTTAAACCCTACCCTCGGCTTCTATTAAATTCCTCTCCGCTAGCATAGTGCCTATTATATACTAGTCGCTATATAACCCCTACCTATATATATAAAGGTAGAGAGTTTAGCAAGAGGTATATAAAGGTCGGCGGACGGCTGCTAAGACTTATATAGGTCTAATAGCTAGTATATAATTACTCTAAGAGCCGTTATAGGAGGAGTTACAAATATCTCGGGAAAGAGCGATGTAATTAGAATTAGGTCCGTACCTCGAGAGAGGTATATATTAGGGCTTCCGAGAGTACGGAAGGTACTTAGAAGCTTAGATTTGTTAGTAAATACCTCTTGTTTAGAGCATCTTAGCACTATAGCGGCTCCTATTACCCTAATATATACCCTACCTAGAATTACCTCCCTTCTCGACCCTAATTTTAACTTCTCTCGGAGCGATCTATACCCTCGCTTAGGTCCTTCCTTCTATACGCTACTAGCTATATTCCGCGACTATTATAGTTAACCTGCGCTATATAGTCTAACGCAATTACTTGCTAGTAAAGTCGTCTATAAGCTAGTAGCTAATTAAGACTATAAAGTAAGTAATCTAGTTACTTCTACGCTAGTCGAAGAGGCCGCTTCTACGCTAGTCGAGAGACTAATTAAGGAGCCTATTTCTACGCTAATTTCTACGCCGACTAACACTCAATCTTTAGCTAAACAACTATTATAAGACGACCTAATCGCCGCTTCTATAGTAGAAGCTAATGCCGCTAACACTCGAGTACGTAGATATAGCTATATCTCGCCTAAGTATAAGCTTACTATCGTTAAAGTAGCTATAGCGATTGCTTATAAGCGAGTCTCCGGTAAGATCCGTTAGTAGAATACTAAGCTAAAGAATGTTATAATAGCTTGCTAGCTACGAGATAAGCCGACTGTTAGTAACGCTTTCGTTGTTCTACGTCGACTAGTCTATTAGCGTATAGAAGCTAAGCGTACTATCGAAGCGGCTTCTAGAGCGGTTGTTATAGATATACTATAGGATTAATTGCTAGATAAGGCAATCGATACTATATTCCGGCTCGATAAGGCATAGCGAGAGAGGGTGTTATAGCCTTAAGAACTAAGAGTCTTTAACGCTCCGGCATAGAACATACGAGATAATATACTATCGACCCTCTCTTAGCGGTCTAATAATAAAGTAAGGGTACCTATACTAATGCCGAGCGCTCTAACTAAGCTATCTCTAGATCTAAATCTACCGTTAACTCCGGCTCGGCGTATAGAGATCGTCGACTTAAATACGCTAAGTACTAGTAACAATAGCAACACTATATAGCTTACTAAGCGTCGTCGACTAGACTTCGAGTCTAAACGGCTTTAGCGTAGCTCGTAGGTATAAGGAGCTATACTTAAGGAGGTACTATTACCTATATTTAAGACGCTAAGAACACTAGCTAAAGGACGTAGTATAAGACGAAGATTATCGTCTATAGGTACCTCTATTAGTAGCGTCGATAGCGAGGGACTCTATATACTAAGTCCTACTAGATTTGTAAGCGCCGTCGGCGGCATTAATAACGGACTCGAGACAAGAGTTAATACGGCTATTCGAGAGGTTGAGGCGAAGATAGTACGTTAATTAGATGCGGTCTAGTTTAGTATCTAGGCCTTGTCTATAACGATTACTTTTTCGTTACTATTCCGGCCCTTACCGTTATCTTAAATAGTAGCTTCTAATAGTACTATAGGAAGTCAAACGGAGTCGCTAGACTACGATAACGACAGCGACTATTTCGTAGACCTTAATACTATCGAGGAAGAGGTATTCTCGTAGATAATTTAATCTCTTAGGGTTAGGGTTAGGGTTAGGGTTAGGGTAAGGGTTAAGCTTAGGGTATTACAATTGTCGTATTCTTGTTGTCGAGAATGTTGTAATTACTTAGTTAATATCTTCTTTTACGAGTGCCTATTCGAAATCGTAGCTTCGTTCGGTACGAGAGCGCTAAAACCCTCTATACCTAATAAAATCGCGGGGTTAGAGCTCGAACGGCGAACCTATATCGACGGCTCTAAGGGACTCGTAAAATAGGGTAGGTATTATAGTATATAGCTCGAAGTAATGCGGAAAGCCGAGATTTCATCGCTTAGTAAGCGGGCTTCGACCTTCTACGACTCGCTATATAATAACGTATTGCTCGTTTTCGCTCGTTTTTAGACAATAAGACGCGCCGTATACTAAAGAATATAGCGTATATAAGAGTGTATAAAATTAGTAATATTATTGTTATATTTGAAGTCCTAAAGCATCTCGTATAATATACTACGCGCTAGTACGGGTATACCCGTATCTACTACTTTCCTACGTCTTCTACCTCTATCTCCTAATTCAATCTTCTTCTATTATATTAACAACCTTAATCTCGTCTGTCTTATAGAACGGTATAACCGTACGACTATACCTAAATGAAGCGCCGCTATCGAATACCTCGTCGCTAGCTTAATAGCCCGATCCGAAGTCCCTACTATAGCGTAGAAGGTCGCCGTCGTTAGTTTAAGCTATAGGCATTATAGGTAGGGGTAGTAGGTTAGCGAGATATTCGCGTACACTCGGTAGGTTTACCTTATATAACCGACTAATCTTATTGCTATAATAACAAGTAAGGCAATTAGTAAGCAGTATAGTAACAAGATATATCGCTCCGACCGGCATTAACTCGACTCGGAGCCTATAGAAGTACTTTATTAACTCGAAGTTGTTAACAACCTTAGTAAAGCCCTATTCGACCGACTAGCGTATAGTACTTATCTCCTTTACCGCCGTAGCCTTACTAGCATTACGAAACTCGCCGTTCGTCGTCTTCTAGCTTCCTATAATGCTATTAAGGATATTATAGGCCTAATTACTATATAAGAACACTCGCTCTTCGAAGGGTCGTTATAGCTACCCTAGCGGCTCGAAATAGGACTTCTAGATATCGTTAAAGCCGGACTCGAGTACTAAAGCCGTATCGCTATATAATCTAGGCGCTAGACCGTAGATTAATATTATGCTATCCGGTAGGACAATGCCTTAATATTTGAGTCTATAGAAGTGCTTATAGCTATTATAGAACGGCCGCTAGTTATAGGTCGGTCTATAGCACTTCCGTAGTATACTATCGATATAACCGAAGACGTACTTTATATCGATTAATCTAGTAATAGTAACGGCCATTCGCTATAGGTAGGCTTTACTTAACCTATTAAAGTCCTATACTAACCTGTCCTTCTAACGCCTTACTATTTAAGTGTAGCTAGCATTAAACATACGACTAATCTAGCTATTACTACGACTAAAGATCTAGCTTAAGTTGCGTTAATAACCTAGATTACTAAGCCTTCCGTATATAATATACAACACTGTTACTAGATCGTAACATATACGGTATAGCAACTTAATCGACTTAATATCTAGCAACTCGGCTAATTCTATTACTTGTTGCTTGCTAAAGCGGAAGTCGCCCTTAAAGTTAGTATTAGGGTGCGTTTCTAGTAACTATTACTTATCTCTTAGATACTCGCGTAGCTCTTTATATAGCCTATTACTACGAGCCTGTCTATACTAGTATTTACGCTCGGTCTTACCCTCTCGGCGAATAGCTAGATCTAGTAGATTGTCGACCTCGGAAGCTAAGATAGCTACAGTTGTTGCTATTATTCTACTATAAACAGCGATTATATCCTTATTAAGTTTACTATTAGTTAAGAAGCCGTCTAAGTCGTATTCCGCTATAGTATGCTATAGCAATAGCAATCCTATCTGCCTGCTAATTACAGTAAGGTCCAAGACCCCGGGCGCGTCTTAGCACCTCCGTTGCTTACTAAGCAATCGATCGAGAAACGCTACTAAATTGCCTACGCAACCTCTTATTAACTGTTAGTCTAGTTATTCACTTTCCGCCGCTAAAACGGCGCTATTCGCGGCTTCTTACATATGCTAAACGGCTAGAAACCTACTGCGCAAGGTGCCTAATAAAGGCATCACCTCGATACTGTACATAGCGGGAACTTGAAGCTCAACGTTGCTTTAAAGTTTTGCATTGGCTTTCCTTGAAAAAGCTTTCGCAGTGCACTTACCCAAATTCACCTGGTCGCTTTCAGACGCGTTGCGCCGGCAACTTCATCAGGTTTTCTCACGTTGCAGCCCAAATATTCATACCCGCAATATTCATCTGGACACGAAACTTCCATAGCCTTCCAAACCTGGGAAGCAACCCTGGCGGCCGATCGCGAGAAAAGGTGGTCATGACTCTCATGCTCGTATACCGAATGGAAGGGATCCAGGCCCAGGCTGATTCTTTCCAACGGTCTAGGAGTACCGGGCCTTACTCGATAATGCCGGGCGGATCAGGCTGTAGTGTCCAAGCTGGCCTACAATAAGTTGCCTGGCCCGGCTGGAGGCGAAATGACTATTGTATTGTATCGCGCCGCGCAACTAACCGCCGAGCCTACGAGGTCTTGGTTAATAACACGTAGTCATAACCCACGAGCGGCCGCTTCGTGACTCTTAGATTGCTTACGCCGCGATCTACTGCACATTTTTTCAGCACACCTGGGCTCATGACTCCGATACCCCAATATCCAGGCCGGGGGAGCGTCGTAGTGGTTGTGGACCGCTTTGATGCGGCTTTCCTGGCCCATCAATTCCAATTGCCTCGTTCTTCGAACAACTTGTCGAGAATGGCCGTGTTCACAGCAACGTCAACGATGCGCACGCTCCCAGGCTGCCTGGATAGCTATGGCTATATGCGGTCTGCGGATGAGGGAACAGCACGAGATCAAGACGGATTGTACCTTAGTCAACCCAATTCGCAATCTCTGTGCAGTGCACCGAAACACCACGAAACCTCCAGAAAAGGCTCTCTCCTGGCGGGGAACAGAATTCATCAGCTCACGCAATTGAACAGACACGGGCTCGGGAGCAGGAGACATCGAAAAGTTTGCCAAGACATCCGGCAAAAGTGCGGCTTCGAAGTGACTGACCACGAACCTCATCTTGTGATTTACAGCTAGGCGCCACATCATCACATCCACGTCTCTCAACGATGGCAGATAAGCAGGCGCTCGCTGCTGTCGAAACCTTTCGTGCGCAGTATTTGGCGCACACCTCCGACGCCAACTTCGACAGGAAGATGTGGGAACACCTTGCTATAATCTCTGCCTCTGCCACCAAAGAAACGGTCTTCTTTACCATCAGCATCCCGACAGTGTACAGCAATCACCTTGGGATGGTCCACGGCGGCGCAATAGCGACATTGTTCGATGGTTTGACGAGCTCCGCCCTGGCTCTACTTGCTCCCGAACTTCTCTGGAGCGGCAGAGAAGTTTCGCGAGGTCTTCATTGCAAGTTTCTCAAACCAGTTCCAATTGATGAGTGTATCGATGCGTACATCTCGATTGTTCACGCAGATTCTCGAACCGCGACCATCCGCGGAGAGCTGCGGCGCGGGCGCGATCAGCTCTTGTTGGCTGAATGTACTCATGAGAAAGCCAATCTGGCTTCAAGTCTTCGGAGTAGACTTTGAGTGTTTCTGGTATTGCATCAAACACCAAAATCTGCGCCTCGCATGTGCTAATTTTCTCTAGCGACTTCCTGCGCGGAAGGAATACTGGCAGGTCCAGACCCTCTCTTTTCAAATCGACTTCCTGCACACCCAGGCAGTATGGGACTTTGGGATGAAGCTGGAAATTGAGTTCAGCATCCAGAGATAAGCGAAGCATTGCCTCCCTCTACGCCTTCCACTCACTATTCCGTTCGCGATATCCAGACCCCCATATTGATCAATCGCCTTGCATTATGCACCCATTTCCGTTTCTCCGCAAGCGCAGAAGTGCCCTTCAAAATGGTATGTATCTCGTCAAAATAGATTTCGGGTGCTGCATTGAATGTAGGTGTGCTTGACCCTCGAATCTCCATGCTTTCAATTCCCCGACTGGCTTCAAAGTGACAAAGACAGCCGCGACACTATCTGCCGCCCGCATGTGCCAATTGCAGGGGCAAGCGAGCTATAAGGAATGTACTTGCTGCTTCCGTGCAAAGCCCATCAGCATTCTTTGGATATCTCCATTTTCTAGCACGGGACGCAAGCACGTCATGCCGAAAAAAACCAGAGACCCGAGTTGATGAACCCAAGTGTCTAATCCAAGATTGTCGAACGTTATACAAGCATGAAGGTACAGATATGAAGTTACAGCCAGTGACATTGATGTACGTACATGCATGCCACTGAGCAATGGCCTTTGTCTTGCATCATGACCCGATGCGGAAAATCGAAGAGAGAAAGCTCATGCCTTTGTTCGCAAATACATTGTATTTACGTTCAATTCTATGGAAATGGCTTCTGGATCAAGACTGCAATGCAAAATGTTGGTTCCGGATCTTACTGGAGCCGCCAAAGCCATCGAGCAATCTTTCGCTGATACGACTGCCGTTAACACTGAAGCCACGAAGACGGCTGTATACACTGCAAGAAGCATACTTAGGAGCCAGCATGGCCACAGTAAGGCTAGTGCGTTATTGATAGCTGCAAACGCTGCCCAGCAGAGTCGTTCACACCCGTCGGAGGAAGTTCATGACATCGGGAAGAGACAAGGCTCGAGTTCCACAAGACCATCCTCAGGAACACCTACATCTTCGAGAGGCGGAATCACGAGTCAGGCACAGACATCAAGCACATCACGTACCCAGACACAGAACAGCTCTCGACCCACATCTATCAGCGCATCGCGGAGCTTGACAGGAGCGACGAGCACTACTGCAACATCCTTGGAAGGACCAGCGTCGACTGCGACAGGCTCTCTCGCGACCCCGGCTCCCAGCTGTCCTGCAGCAGGCCTGAGCAACTTCACTGATGATGCTGGTGTCGTCTACCTGATCAAATGCTCGACTACAAATAGCGGAAGCGCCTTCGAAACTGTGGGCGTTACAAGCGGTGGCTACGGACAGTGCTTCGCATCCTGCTCCTATAAGTCCGATTGCGTCGGTAAGTCCGACAGAATCCAAGGCTTCTATCGAGTTCGAAACGCTTACTGACATCGCATCGTCTGCGATCTATAGGGTTCTCGTTTGTCGGCAACGACTCTGGGTTGTGTTACCTTAGAAATGCACAGTCGACACAATTTGACAGCACAGCATTGGTTACCACCTATGTCACTGCCTATAAATTAGATCCTGATGCCGTGGCATCGCCTTCCGCCAGCTCATCAGACTCTTCATCGGGCTCCAAGAAGTCTAATGCTGGTCCTATAGCGGGTGGAGTTGTTGGTGGTGTAGCGGTACTTGCTTTACTCCTAGTTGTAATAGCATTCTTCGCACGGCGTAAGAGAAGACAAATCGAGGAGAGACGGGCAAAAGAATCGGGCGCACCTATAACTTCTCAAGAACGATATTACGACGATTTTCACAAGACTGGCGAGGGGCACCACCGTTCAGGCAGCACGGCGAATGATGTACATTCATCTCATGGAGGTTCGTACAACACCTTTCAGCATACCAGACAGCGAAGCATCTATCGCGACGAGGACCAAGAGTGGCTCTGACAGGTATGTGTAGTCATTCCTTTGCGGAACTTTGCTCCGGCTGGAAGTGCTGATCATTCCAGCGAACTGGAAGCCGAGAAGGTCGCGGGTCCAACAGGCAAGCCTGTTGTGCCCTCACCGGGCGTGCGAGCCGAAGGCCTAGGACTACCAGCCGCCGTACTGAGACCCCCTCAACTTTTGGATAGCACTCCTGTTGGTTATCGATCGTCAAGTCCGAAGAGTGCTTCAAGGACGAGCATTTTCCGTGAGAATATCTCAGAGATGGAAGATACAGTAAGCCTGCAACGAGCCTTCGCCCAAGATGCGCCTCACTGACCAATGCAGTCCTCCACCCACAGGCTTGGCGGTAACCTTCATAGCACTGATTCGCCGGTGCTTGGAAGAGGTGAACACTCCCAGTCCAACTTTCCAAAGCAGGGTCGGTCTATCGAGACCGAAAAAAATGACGTGTCCTCGATGAAGTCTATCATATCGATGCCAAAGACGCCACCAACAGCCAGAACTGCTCCATCAGTAGTCAGCCCAGATATGAGCGGAGAGCCACGGGACGGAAGCTTCATGATCAGCCCCTTGCGTTCTGCATCCTCGAAGCATTAATGCAGAGTGGCCTACAAGCATCCCAAGAAGAGGTATAGTGCTCTTAGCTAGTTTGTTCGCAGACTGTATTTACTCAGTGAAACCTCTGGTCGCTGCCTCTTGGTGGATAGTACGTTCCGCCGAACTCAAGACTTGCGCCGTGAAACACATCCTGCTGGACCAGCTTCCAGTCGCTGAACCAGCCGCCTTCGAAAATTTTCACTTCAATGGTCGCCTGGAAACTCTGTCCCAAATAGTTTTCCCTGTGGCCTTCCACGAAGGGTGAACTTAGGGAAAAGTAAGTACCCTTCGGAGCTTGCGCCGAGACAACCAACTTCTGGCGAAAGCTCTGTATCTGTAGCGAAAATTTGCCGGAGTCCCAGTCGGTTTCATATGCCATGAATGGACTAAGACCGGCCAGTCGCAGCGAGAAGGGAGGGCGGAAGTCGATACTCATATCTCCGCTGCGGTATCCCAGCAGGAATGCCTCCATGCCAAGAATTTGACCTCCGGCACAGCAGAAACTCTTCTCGCCGTCCCGAGCCTGTAGCCACATATGCGCTGATGGAAACGACCTGGCCCAATTCTTCTCGTCGTGCACAGTCGCTTGCCCTTGTGAGTCTTCAATAGACAGATCATAATGAGGAATGCTTAGATTGAAGTCGCATTGAGAGCTCAAGGACTGAACATGCCAATGCAATGGTAAAGGCAAATGCACGAAGAGACCTTCTGGTGTGCTCGTGGTCTCTGACCAGGGCGTGCGAGTCGTCGATCTCGCTTTCAAGCTGAATTCTGGATGCTGTAGGTTGTATTCGGTGATGTTGTCATTGCGCCAGTCGATAAAGCCAATGCCAGGCACATTGACTCGAAAGCCCTGGCTGGTCGAGACCATTTGCAAGCTTTCTGGCCAGACTTCCCTCTGAAAGGGCGGTGTCGAGTTGGCTGGTACGTAGGTGAAAGAAAGCATATTGGGCTTTTGTTTGGCATGCCTGATTTTAGAGCAGATGACTGCAAGATGAGCGCCGGATGGGAGATCAAACTTGCTGTAATACCCTTCAAATGCAGACGAATCGTGCGGCCTGTGATGCTCCATGTTGGCTGGAGGTGACCTCGGCCAAATGCTCGAGAGGGATGGGGGTAAAGTGGCGAGTCTCCATCTTGTGCTTGTTGATTATTATTGTGCGTCGTGATGAAGCAATCGAACGCGTCGTGTCCCGAGTCGTCACTGCTTTCCAAGGTTCGATGGTCAACCAAACAGCAAGCGCGCGCGCGGACGCACACCCCTGACCGGGCAGCGTGAGGAACGAGCGATTGGCCAGGTAAGCGAGTGGCCGGTGCACTGAGCCTCCCCTCCTCGAAACACCGTCTCCGTCTCCGCCTCGTCTTCGTCTTCCCACGCACCTCAGCCTGCCTTTAATTCCCGTCGTCAATGCTCACAAAGGGTGGGAAAGCTGCAACAGGATATCTCTGCAGCAATGTTCTGAACCCCATCGGCTTCAAATGTACTGGTCCAACCTCTTAAGGAACAGTGCACATAGTCAGTAGACAGAGACAGGTTGACATGAATAGTATACACAGAAGATCCCCTGGCTTGATGATTTCTTTGGCCTCGCACTACTTCTTCTCTGGTTCTCCTTTCTGCGCTTTATTCTTGTTGTCTCCGGTATCTTTATAGTCGCCGCCCTGAGCCTCATATCGGCGGGCCATCTCTCCTGCTTTCCAAGCAGACCATTGTCCCTTACCACCACCTTCAGAGCCAGAGTCAGCCATGGTGTTTGAGTTTCCTAAAGAAACCGAGCTCCTTGCCGGCATACACACCTTTCTCTTCGCCCTTGACTTCCTCCTTGACTTTCTCTCTCAATTCTGGGTCAGTGGGTTCGCCTTTGCTTGAACCCATTTTTGATCTGGTGGACGATGGAGTTTTTTTTTGGAGAGAGTTGTTGGAGTTTCTTGCTTCGACGCTGTAATTTGCCAGTCATATAACAACAACGTGGGTGTAGGCTTCATTGAATATAGTGTCTTGCTTGTTTGACGATATCATCAGAACTACGTATGTTGTCTGCTCAATGAAGTCATGATGTCACTTCCTGATCGTGGACTGTCGAGCGTCGCTACCGGACAAAGAGCTCCAGGCGGCCTGATGCAGGTACCGCACTCTATCTGTGAAGTGAGATCTGATCGGGAAGCACAGCGAAACGGGGCCAAGTGGGACCGCTTTCGTGAACTGTGACTATTCCCGTTCGTTCAAGGAATTTCTCATGATTCATCCAGTAATTCATCTACAATCCTGTAACGTTCAGTGCACTGTAGCTGTATACTCATCTCTGCGTCATGATTTGCCCTTGCTCCTCGAAGACCTCCTTGAGTTGCCCTCGTCTTTCAATGCGGATTTGATCTTCTTGTCCTTTGTCGACTTGGGTTTAGGTGTTTCTTCTGGCCCATCTTCAAGACGCTGCTCTTGTTTCAATTCTTTATCCAGCTCAGTCTTGACTTTTTTCTGCCTGCCACCTATCTTTGCCTTGTACTCAATATTTTCGTTGACTCTGGACTTCTCGACTTTTTGCTTTCTTCCGCCCCTTCCTTTCTTAGCTGGGATGACCTTCTCTGATTCATGCTCAACCTCGTCCTCGTCATCATCCTCTTTCCTGCTCTTCCGCTTCTTGCTCGACGCAGGTTTCTTGCTCTCATCTCCATTGATGTCTCCTGCTACTGCAGCGGTCTTCTTCTGCACCGCTGGCACGATCGCGGATGTCCTTCCTCCTACCGTCAAATGTTCGATCTTGTTGCCGTTGGGAAGGACATTCTTCTCCTTCTTGCCTTTGTCCCATCTGTATTTCATCAACCAGTCTTCCGGGAACTTGGAGCTATCAGCGAGTAATTCACATGCTGTCGTGCACACGCCTATGAGAGAATCGTGGATGCGGTTTATCTGATCCTCATCGAACGTGTTACAGTATTGCTCAGGATGTATTCTAGCTTGATAGAGAATCTCATCAGCAACCCAGTTGCCGACTCCAGAAATGTTGGCCTGGTCCAGCAGAAGTGCTTTGATGGGCACTTTCTTTCGATTTAGCAGTTCACTCAACCAATCGACGGTAAGCGTGTCTTTGTCGATGACCGGATCTGGACCGTTCTCCTTCAACGGAGACTCTCTCCTGATTTTGTCCGCTTCGCAGTCAATCAATCGTATCCTGCCGAGCCGTCTTGCATCGACGAATGCAACTTCTACTGGTTCTCTCCCTCCCTCCTTGTCGCATTTGATAAGCCACTTTGTCCACTTCTCGTTCGGAGGCCATTGCTCAGGCTCTTTATCTTCTTCGACCGCTTGTTTATAATAGAAAGTTTCCTCTGTCGAGAATTTGATCCATCCAGTCATTCCAAGGTGCATGACGGAATGCGGCGGCGAGTCGAAGGTCAAGTAGAAATACTTGCCCTGCTGTCCGGCGCCCAACACCTTCTTTCCTTCGACGGCCTTGCTGAATGCATCTGCACTGCAACCAACTTTGCCGTAAACAATGTCATCGTTGAAAGCCTTGCCTAGAAAGCAATGAATTGAAGGTCAGCAGATGTCGGAGGCATCTACCAGCATCCGCCACTTACATGATTTGACCGTGCGTCCAACGAGATGTTTTCGCAGGTAATGGACGATTCGTGCAACTTCGCCAATCTACCAGCGTCAGCGCTCGCGCCGGTTCACTTGATCTCTCCTCAAGGCATACCTCCGGCATTATGTCGATGCTGATTCTGGGAAGATGTGTACCGTGCAGATTACATGTATGTTCCAAGATATCTGCGGAGCGCAGTGAGTGATGGGCTGTGCAGCTGGGACATGTAGATGCATGTTACTCGTGCCGCCGAACAGAAGCTTGACGCGTGCACTGTCGTTGACGCGATCGCGACCGTCCCGGAGCCTTGTCGCGGACCTTGATGTCTAATCTCCTGATGAGCTCCATGGCATCCACCTTCGACACATCAATGTCGGTCCTATAATAAAGAGACATCCTGTGCGCAAAATGATATTCGTGGTTCTCTCCTCGCGCTGTTCTGGAACACATTTGCTAGACTGGCCGGCACATGAGGCCGAATTGGCCGCTGACGGCGAAGAAAGTGGGCGATAAGCCTTCAAAAATGGCTCGAACGACGTCCTTGTTGTCCTTCGTCGAGACATACGCCTTGGTCTTCTCCATTCAGTGGCTGAGCTGCGCGGTATCATGAGGTTGCTGCCATCCGCCGCGTGTATCGGCCTGGCATTCGCGCACACTGGCCATGATCATCAGCGAGAAGAGCAGCAATCATTTGTAGGTTGGACCAAGGACGATCTTGATGCCAAATGGGGCACAGACTGGGGCTACACTGGAATCTCAACATTCGCACATCTTCCTTATATTCGATGTCTACAGCATCCGGAGGAAGAGTATGACATCGCTATCCTGGGCCTCCCATTTGACACTGCTGTAACGTACAGACCCGGCGCACGGTTTGGACCGCGAGCGATCAGAGCAGCAGCAGCTCGACAGACTACGTTTCGTGGATTTAATCCCAGAGCTGGCCTCAATCCGTATCAATCATGGGCGAAGGTCATCGATTGCGGTGATGTAAGTCCTCCACTGCTCGAATTTCGTCCAACTGAGGGACTAATGTAATTTTCTAGGTACCGGTCACCCCTTTCGATAATGCCCTGGCATTGAGGCAGATGAGTGAGGCTTACACCAATCTCGCGTACAGCAAGGCGCCCAAGAGCAATGCTGAGTCTCCGATCAAGTATCGGAATACTCCAAAACTGATTGCGCTTGGTGGTGATCATTCCATTGCTCTACCTACGCTACGAGCACTCAACAAGATATATGGCAACGTAGCAGTGGTTCATTTCGATGCTCATCTGGATACCTGGCATCCAGCAAAGTATCCATCAGCGTGGTTCGACAAGGACGACGCAACACAGCAATCGTTCTTCACACACGGCACTATGTTCTGGTTGGCTCACAATGAATCACTTATCATGGAAGGCAAGTCTGTTCATGCTGGACTTCGAACTCGCTTGACGAACATCGAAGATAACGAAGAGGACGATGCTCAAGGGTGGAGTCGGATCGCATGCGATGACATTGACGAGATTGGAATTGCAGGAGTCGCGAAGAAGATTGTCTCACATGTTGGGACAGAGACTCCGGTCTATCTATCTATCGACATCGATGTAATTGATCCTGGGCTTGCTCCGGGAACTGGTACACCGGAGCCAGGAGGATGGACAACACGAGAATTGATTCAGGTGCTGAGGAGGATCGAGAGCCTCAATGTAGTAGGAGCAGATGTTGTGGAGGTGTCCCCTGCTTATGATGGAACTGGGGAGGTGACGGCTCTAGCTGCAGCACAGATTGCCTTTGAGGTGCTGACCAGCATGGTCAAGCGTGGACTGCCAGCTGCAGAGGAGGGCCACAGCGAGCTGTAGATTCATTTCGGCGCTGGAGACACTTCACATATTGCAATGCATGTGACGGACTGATGAAGTAGATAGTCAAGAGCTCAATGCTGCCAAATGAAGAGTAAATTTCCATAGCTTGGGCACTTTGGTTCGTCTCGTTTCGCATCCACAACAGATCTCGTGACCGCGGAAGACAGCAAGCGCCTCGGGCAGCCCAAGCTGCTACGCTATCCTCCATTCCACCTCACACTTCCACCAGCTGTTTCTGCACATTCGCCGCGATCTCCAATTTCCGTGGACGTCTGCCAGGCACATAACGGACGTGCGACGTCAATATCATTCCACCACAGCCCACTCAACATCCGACAAAGCGCAAGCACCGCCAGACCTCGCAGGCGCACTCCCGAGGCCTGCATGGGCCTCAGCGCCGACCTTCGATAACCATGCAGCACAATGTCTTTGCGCATCAAGGGCCTTTCAGCCATGCGGACTGGCAACATAACCCGCAGCAACAACAACAGCACCATCACTTCGCGCAGACTCAAGCGGCGCAGCAACAACAACAGCAGCAGCAGCACTATGGACGAACCATGAGTGCAGCAGCGGGGCAAAATGGCGCCAACACGAATGGCAACGGCACAGGCGGACTCGCCGCCATGGGCGGTGTCAGTGGTGCCGGAGCTCTTGGCGGCGCATCCGCTGGCGAGCACGGTGCGAGCATTATAGGTCCAGGAGACAGCATTAGCGACGACAACAGGAGAGTTCTGGAATGGATTGCCCAAGTTCTAAGAGCAGACACACGCGAAGCAGCTTTGCTAGAGCTCAGCAAGAAGAGAGAACAAGTGCCGGAGCTCGCGCTCATATTATGGCATTCCTTTGGTGAGTGCACGGGTTATACGTCGTGGATGTGTTCCATCTGCGACATATCGACGCTGCGCTAACTCGAGATCTTTCGCAGGCGTCATGACGTCCCTCCTCCAGGAGATCATCTCGGTCTATCCACTACTCAACCCCAGCCAGCTCACAGCCGCCGCATCTAATAGGGTTTGCAATGCGCTCGCCCTGCTCCAATGCGTTGCTAGCCACAGCGAGACCAGAGGCCTTTTCCTGAACGGTCCGTCTCGTCTTGTCACATTTGACATGTTCAATGACCGCTAACAGGTCTCCAGCGCATATCCCTCTATTCCTCTATCCATTCCTAAACACTACCTCCAAATCGCGGCCCTTCGAGTACCTTCGCCTCACTTCTCTCGGCGTCATTGGAGCCCTGGTCAAGAACGACAGTTCCGATGTGATCAACTTCTTGCTGACCACGGAGATTATACCGCTCTGTCTACGAATCATGGAGACCGGGTCAGAGCTCAGCAAGACTGTGGCAATCTTCATTGTGCAAAAGATCCTCCTGGACGACATGGGTCTTCAATACATCTGCCAGACATACGAGCGCTTCTATGCTGTGGGAACTGTGCTTAGTAACATGGTCACTCAGCTCGTGGATCAGCAAACGGTCAGACTGCTGAAGCATGTCGTGAGATGCTTCCTCCGGTACGTGAAGACACGATAAAAAGGGGATCACGCCTCTTCGAAACTAACGTGCATCGCAGGCTTTCGGACAATGCCCGCGCTCGCGAGGCGCTACGGCAATGTCTTCCCGAACCACTTCGAGATGCCACGTTCTCGCCAGTCTTGCGAGACGATGCAGCTACTAAGCGTTGCCTAGCACAACTGCTCCTGGCTTTGTCCGACCAGGCTGAGAACCCAATGTCTGGATCATATAACAACCATCAAAATCTGATTCACTCCGTCTCTTGAGGGAGAGGTTGTGGATCGATGAACCCAGGGCAGCTGAGAATTCGGAACCTCGGAGAAGCTCGAAATCGGGCTTGATATGTTCCAGCGTGGACTAGCACATTTGGCTCTTAAAAGTTTCAAGCGAGGACCGGTGACAGTGCGGACAGCTTTACGATTATTCTTTGACATGTTCGGAGCCCAACCAAACTGGATCGGCGTTCGTAGACAGGAAAGTGTGCTTTATCTGGGAAAGGGAATGGGAGGAAGAGAGACGCCTGATGCATATTCACAACTGGGCATGGCCACTTATACCCCCTGCAACGCTGCCTCATCTCTATTTGATGCGGCGTTGCGTGCACGGCTTTGCGACACTACTACTACGACTACTACCTTGAGCATAGCGGGAGGCGTTCTGTTTTATTTTCCTTTCGCGGTCAATATCGATTGAGCGGGCTGTAGAACTAACTATACGGGACTTTCGACAAAAAGAGGATCAAGACGTCTAGGGAAATGATCGGTTTTGCGACCTTGAGACATGTAGATATGAATGCGGCTTCGTTGCTTCTCTTATCGATGAATGGATCGCTGGGCGTAGAGTCGCCTCGCTGGGTTGAGTGTATTTTTGGGCAGAAGGACAAAAAGCCATTCTTTACTTGACCAAAGACTGTCTCAGAAAATATCTGCCTTTTATGACTTGTAGAAAGCGATGTGAGTCCTGCACAGAACATCGCAATACAGTGTCTGCCACGCGATTATGTGAGCCATCTACTTGTCCGGCACAGCCCTTGTTCTGATAAGTAAAACGATCGCCTAGTTCTCTTCCTCGACTCGCATTGCCCAAATTTCCTTCCAACGCCCTTGAGTTCATTTCGACTCGCTTTTGTGCCTGACATACTCGTGGTGTCGCCCAGTGTGTCAGTTCGGTGTTAAGGTACCGAAGTCTTGCGGACGCGCACGCCTTTATGAAGGTCATGGTGCGCCGCTGCAGCGTCTGTTGATGCATTTTGACAAGATGAAATCAGATTTCTATTGCATATGTTTTCGTCTGGCCTACTTCGCCAGGAATGGAGAAAGTTCGATGATGGCGATCACGTTGGCCTGCTTATGCCTGCCAGTTTGATGGATCGTCGACATATTCGTCTTGGAGCGCGCCAAATCGAGATGTTTTCTTCTGCGGCTGAGCTGTCTTGCTCGCTGAAACGGCAGTACTCGGGACTGGGGTGGCGTCGCCATTCTGGGTAGTCTTGTTCTTGACTTTCTTGGTCTTTACCTCGCTCCAGCCAGATTCGTGGTTGGACTCTTCCAACGCTCGCGACAGATCATCGTCGCCGGATCCAACATTGTCTGTAGTTGAGGTAGCCGCAGTGCTGATACCAGCATTTGATGAACTGTTTGATTCGACATCGAAGGTGTCCAGTAAAGAGGCCTGATTGCTAGAGGAAGCAACCTCTGTGTCTCTGGCTGCGTTCTGCTCGGCCCAAGCATTCTTCGCTGGGGCGGACGAAGTGGTAACCCCGTTTCTTGCTGGCTCGCCTCTGGCTTCACGAGCAATTCGTCGTTGTTGCTCCATGAGTCTCTTCTGCTCTGCATCAGCCTGTGCACGAGCTGCTTGTTCGGCCTCTTTTCTTTGCCGATTCTGGCGTGCTTTCTTCGTCTCCTCCTGTGCCTCTTTCTTTGGCTTATTCGTCTTTTCCTTGACAGGCTTTGTCGGAGCTGTGATGCGTAATGAGTTTGGGCCGGAAGCTGCTGGCTCAATCATATCAGCGACGCCGCTTGTCTGAAGCGCTGTTGAGGCAGCGGATGCCCGACTGTCATCTTCGGGTTGAGAAGATGGCTCGAAGACTGGAGTGGGAGCATCGATTGCCTGGCTGTTCTTGGCCTTGACGGTCTTTACGCGAGCCTCCGTCTTGTTTGTTTTCTTCAGATCGGTGCCCTCCTGCGCCCGCCTCAGCGACTCCGCGAAGTGTCGCGTAGACATGTCGATTTCGTCATCATCCATCTGCCCTGCGGTCGCATCGGAACTGGTCGGAATAGGTGCCTGCGTGTTGGCTTTCCGCTTCTTGAGCCCGCTCTGCGACACCTGTGGCTGCTGCTCTGAGCCACTGCTCACATCTCTTGGGGCCGCAGCCGCTTTCTCTGCATGGCTCGGGACTTTCTTTGCGGCCTTCTTGACCTCGGGCCTGGTCTCTCGCGCCGGAGTCGATTTTGGGGGCTGCTTCGACCGCGCTTTCTTGCCGGTGGAGGCGTAATAGTAACCAACAGCCGCAAACAATACCAGCGCGAAGCCCCAACTCTGAAGCGCCTCGTATTTGTCCGCCATGGTTGGTTCGTCAAGTGCGCCGCGGCGATTGCGTGGAGGTAGCCCTCAGCGAGGCTCAGATGCTACTCGGCTCCTGTGGCCAGAGTGTCGGCGTGCGCTGTAAGATAGTGCTGTGCGTGATGTTTACCGACAAGCAGAAAGGAAAGGAGGGTGGTGTCGCAGCGCGGGCAGCACGGCAGTGGAAGGACGCCAATGTCTGGGCGTAGCTTTGGCAAGCGGACGCAGTGAAGGTGTGGTGTCAAGCAAGGAGGCACACTTGTGCGTCGGTCAGCTTTGTCGCCTGCTCGCGAAGAGCGAGTGGATTGTTGGTTGGTTGGTTGGTTGGTTGGTTGGTTGGTTGCGTGAGCGTTGCGCGGAGGAAGAACGGCGGCTCAGACGTCAAGCTGTGTGGTGGATGAGAGACTGGATGGGAGATGATGCGTGTCCACCGGGACAATACCTCCGTCCTCAGGGTCGATCTGTGGCCGACATGAGCTGCAGAGTGGCTTGTGCTCGAAACGACCGAAAGGGGTGCGGACGGAAATTTGGTGACCGATGTTCCACAGCAAATAATATCTCACATGCTGCTCACTACTACTGCACAACATTTCTCTATGCTCGGCCATGACTTACATTGCGGGAGTACGAGAGTATTCTACCGCTGGGAGGATGCCGCGGCTCCCAACTTCCCAAGCCAAGCATTGCGGGTGGTAGCCTCGCGTTGATGAGCTGGATCAGGCGTGCTTCATCTCTGCCTTCTTGATCCTTCCATTACAGAATTCTTCGACTTCTCCAGTGGCACCTGAGCGTCTTTCCCATCTCTCCTTTCCACACGCTTCACACTGGAAGCACCGCCACCATGTTCAACCCATTCGTTCGCCGCGCGAAGACCGCGCCTTCCAGCTATCCTCGCGTCGTCTTCCACGCCATTCGCACCGCACAGCTTTTATCCAGTCTGGTCGTGGGCGCTATCATGAGCTACTTCATTTGGAATCTGACGCATGATCACTGGGCCACGCCTTGGACTTTCATCTGGGTAGGAAGGTCGCATGAGAGTCGACACTCTGAATGGATACTCACAGCTTGAACAGCTTACATCGGCCTCCCTGTTTTCCATCGCGGCTCTCGCTTTCACCATCCTTCTTCACTGCTTCTCGGGGCTCAATCCACGTCTCAATCTGGCCATAAACGCTTTCCTCTTGATACTTTGGACACTCTCTTGGTGTCTTCTGACGTGGTACATGAGTGGGACCCTCTCGAACATGTGCGACATTGATCAGTAAGTCTGACGGGTTGGAAGGTCCACTGCGTGTTCACGAAGTATGCTGATTCTGCAATTTCCGCTTTCAGCTGGAACGAAGACATCGGAATCATGGTTTGCCGCATATACAAGACTTTGTTCACGTTTACTTTAACTGGCTTGTGAGTAAGAGGCCATGAGGCCGCTTCGACATTTGAAGAATTGCTCGTACTAATCAAAGCCACTGTACAGTATCTCAACGATAGCTGCATTCACCCTCGATATCCTGGTTTGGCGAAAGAACACCCGTCTAGGTCGGCACATGCGCTTGCACGATCTACCAGACGATAAGAGACCAGTTGCGACCCGCGGTCCTTTCACTGATGACGGCCACCAAGGATCTTTGCCTCGTGAAAGTGAGGCCTGGGAAGCGCCGCGCCCAAGCCTAGGACCATACAGCGAGCGTGGACATGGCGAATACACCGTCCCAGATCAACAATTTGAATATGACACTGGCTACCATGGACATGGCGGAAGATAGGACGTACATGTATGTGGAGATTGTTGAATCAACTTCAAAATCTTGGACAAAACGGGCACGATTCTGGTCGGTCCGGCCAGCCTCGACGCCTATGAGCTCGACCTGCGATCCAAGAGTTATGAAGTCCGCGGACTCGCGTTCGCGTTCGCGCCTGGAACGTATCGCACCGTCGCCCGGTGCTGCAATATTGGACAGCTGAGGAAGTGGATTCTAAAGGGATTCGATGCCGTCAGCGACGCTGTTCGGGGAGGCCGGCACTCATGGGATCGAAACGAGCCTGCAAAATACAGCTCATGGCCAGCTAGAAAGATATCCTGCAGACCAAACTCTCATGCTTCTGCAATGAGTCCTCTTTGCGTTGCTTGCGTTCGGACCTTCACCCAATCCACGCCAGCAGGCCTTATACTGAACTTCTCGTCGACCATTCCGGAAGGGTTTAGTCTGAAGGATCACGCTCATACCGGTTCTCTAAAACGCTCAACATGTGCTCTGTCCGACAATTACGAATCTGGTGTCGAATTCTCGGAATGAGGACACCCCCGACATCAAAGAGTTGTCCAACAGCATCGAGGTGTCTCCCATGGTTTGCCGTCGCATGCGGAGAGATATTGCTGAAGAAGGACAACAGGCCTTGCAGGACTGGTCTAGAGGAGTACTAGGACACGAGCACCAGTGTTTTAATTAAGAGTTGGACTGCTTAGGTAACGACCATGTTCCAATTCCTGCTTCAGGAAGAGCACTGGTGGTGGTCGCAAGATCTGTTGCCTAATCATATCAATCTTTGCAAACATGGCTACCGAGCGCACGCAAGTGGTCGCCTAAAAGCTTGTGCTCGTCAAGGTCCAATTTCCAAGAGGTCTATCCTATCGAAAGCCTCATTGCTCTGCTGTAATCTTGGTCTGTGCAGTAATGCCAAATAGACTAATTGGTCGATCAATCAGAGTTGCTCGCTCAGCTATCACGCATCGAGACTCTCGCATTGCCGTTCCGGTTGGAGGACCAGCGGTCCAAGGCTCTGGGCCTTGATGGCGGAAGCTTTCTCGCTCGGAAAGGGTTGCCTCCAGAAACCTCAACCGAGGGACTGGTCTGGCATGGCATTCCTGCAGCAGATGCGAGCGATGCTGTTGATTGTACTGATGTGATAGCTGCGCTCTAGATGTTTTCTGTTTTGTGATATTTTTCAGACAGCCTTCTTTGATGGGATGATACATGATGATGTTGTGCGACGGTGTCAGCCAAGGAGGATTCCGACGATGAACCAGAATTGCGATGGCGAAGCGAGCCCGCCAAGCATTTGACAAAACTCAATTGAGACTGCGAGTGCGCTGGGCTGGGCTGGACCTCACGACTTCACCGCAGCGCGCTCCTTCCAGCTCGCGGGAACGAGGCACTATCTTGTTAGCGCCATTGACCAGCCGGCCGACCGTCCACACGAAGAACGAAGAACGAAGAACGAAGAACGAAGAACGAAGAACGAAGAACGAAGAACGAAGAACGAAGAACGAAGAACGAAGAACGAAGAACGAAGAACAGCAGTCGAAACAGAACGACGGTTCCGATGGCAGCCACAATGGCAGTACAAAAGAACATCCCTTTCTGATGTGCTGTCAAGAAAGCGAGAATTTGCGAACACTGCTGGGCGCCACAATATATCCTGCCGGCTTGATGGTGGAACTGCAGTCGACAATCCTTGTGACTCGCATTAGCTCATCAATTGCTGCAGGAACCCGCACACGAAGCGGTGCCATTCTCAGAGCCTTGCATGTACAAACGGCCATTGATTGTGTTTCTGACACACCCGCACTGTTTCCTGACTAACGTTAGGCCCTGCTCCGCCGTGCCGGGCACAGTTCGGCCTGGTACGCGACATCTCGAGATGGTAGATATCCCTCCACCGTATCCTTTTCGAACTGTTCCTGAGCCGATCCGCGTCGCCCAACTGCAAGACGGTGCACTCGCCGATCCTTCGTTCTTTTATTCTCTCGTTTGTTTGTTGGTCACTGCTTGGTCGACCGCAGCCATGCGCGCCAACGTTCCACTCGTACTCTCCACTTTTCTGGGCGCTGCGGCGGCCGCTGGGGTCCCTGGCAATGCAGACCAGCCTTCCAATGTTGAGCGGCCGGATGCTTTCCAGCTGCTTAGGGATGATATAACAAGGCTGCAAGATGCTCTTCGACAGGCCTTCTCCAACCTTCCCAACCTTTACAGCAAAGGCGAATCGACTGACTGTCCTTCTACAAGCTCGCCGGGCAACATTTATTCTGGCAGCGGTCAGCCATTATCCACTAGTAGTACTTTAATTTCAGAGATCACTTTCTCTTCCTCGACAGCTCTCAGAGCTTCGTGCTCAGTCACTTCGGCACCATCGACAGATTTTACACCAGCTTCGCCACCCAGCAAAACGAGCTCATCAGTCAGCGCACGCTCTACAGGAACTTCAAACAGCACACCTGAAACAAACGCCGCGATGTCCTGCGCAAGTCTCTGCTCGTCGCTCACGTTTCCAGCTTCGGATTTTCCGGTCAGTCCAGTATCCTGCGTCTCATATGACGCAGGCTCAAACATCACAATCACCGGAGGTCAAGCCGATGCTGCATGTGGCTCAAACATCAAACCTGAGGTCGACCTCTGCCGAGTGGTCTTGACTGTTCAAACTAGCGATGAATCTGAGACTTACATGGAAGTGTGGCTCCCAGAGAATGGCGAATGGAACGGACGCACAATGAACACAGACAATGGCGGCGTCAATGGCTGTGTTCATTACGTTGACATGAAATACGTCTCTGGACGTGGCTTTGCAGCCATTGGCGACAACGCCGGCCACAACGGATCTTCTTTCGACGGCTCCTGGTTCGCCGACTCAAACGAAGTTGTCCTTGATTGGGTCTACCGTGCCCGTCACTCTGCTGTTGTCGCTGGTAAAGAAGTTGTCGATCAATTCTACGGTGAAGCTCCAGAATACTCTTACTATATCGGTTGCTCGGCCGGCGGCGCACAAGGGCTCAAGTCCGCTCAGATGTACCCAGGCGATTTCGATGGTATCATTTCTGGCTCTGCTGCTGCCGACTTCAATCATCTCCAAGCATGGAGTGGCCGGTTCGTGCAACTCACTGGTACTGGAACCGACGACGACAGATTCTTGACTCAAGACGACTGGATCACGGTTCAAGCCGCTATCTTCGACCAATGCGACGAGAGACTGGATGGTGTCAACGATGGCATTCTTGAAGACCCAATGCTTTGTGTATTTGACTCCACTGTCCTCGCATGCTCCAACAACGCAACTCTATCCGGCTGCTTGACTGATACCCAAGTGGAAACGGTCGATAAAGTATTTACCGAGCTCTACAACACTGAAGGCGAGTTGCTATACCCGGCTCTCCTCTATGGATCACAAGTCGATGCATTTCGTCTTGGACAACTCTCCGGAAGTATTCAAGGAATTTCCAAAGACTGGTACCTCTACGCTGTGGTCAATGGTTCGCAGCCGAACTGGGATGCTATCACCGATCTCGGACAGGATGAGTATGCCTTGGCCGATTCCCTCGATGAATATCACGGCAACGTCTCCCAGTTCTCTGGCGATCTCTCTGGCTTCCAAGCGGCGGGCAGCAAGATGATAATGTATCACGGTCTGGCTGACCCACTAGTCTCGGGCGCCAACAGCCAGAGATACTATCTCAAGGTTGCCAAAACTCTAGGTCTCGACAACATCGGCATGGATGACTTCCTGCGCTTCTTCAGAATTTCAGGCATGGCACACTGCGGCGTTGGTGGCATCTCTGGAGCAGGAGCTTGGATGTTTGGCCAAAACGGCGCCGCTTCTGTCGCTACGCACAACATCATCGATTATCTCCAGGACTGGGTTGAGGATGATAACGCTCCAGACACTATCATCGGAACGAAGTATTGGTACGACGAGGTTGACAACGGCATCCAGTTCGAGCGAGCTCACTGCCGATTCCCTTACCGCACCACCTATGTAGATGGAGACTATACTGAGATCGACTCATGGAATTGCACGATGATCGAAGATTGGCAGGAGTGCGGCGTGGGCGCACTGCCTAGACTTTGCAATGTCGATGGCAGTTTCACGTAAGCTCTCTGCAGCTCGATGGATGTGGTATTGAAAATGATAGACGGCTCCACTGGTTTCTTCAGTGTATATGTGGTGTTGTTGTTTTGCTTGTTACACATGAAGGCACTATAGCAAAGAGTCAGCAGATAATAGATACAGAGTATAGATAATCAGCACGAGGGCGAGAGACGCCACAGTATGCCAATTCGAGTAGCCGATCCCCATCAATGTCTTCCACGGACATTGTGCATAAGGTCTAATTTCCAATTGCTCAGAGCGCGGCCATGGAAAACTGCCTAGAGCTAGGCTGTCAGAATAGTCGACGCTCAGCGGTTGAGCGAGGCTACGCTCCCGCCAACTCCTCCCAGAGGAAGCAATAGCCCGGAAAACGACGAATAAAGTAATCACTCAGATTATCTGCACTTCGTCTGAACGTTAAACACCATCGGCTGACAGACAGGACACCTTTCTTGAAGAGTCTTCCTAATCGTGGTGGCCAGTCCTTGTCCGACATCCTTCTGAAAAATATCCAAGAAGATGTGCAGTCGGGTTGAGCTAGCATTTCAGTTCTGAGGCGGGCTCTGATGTTGCGAGGTCTCTAAATTGCTCATCGTAGCGCAGCGACAATTCTCCGCACTCTGCAAAGAACAGGAGTAGACGCAAAGTCGAGTTCTATTGTGGATTACGAACGATTTGCGGTCTTTAGCATGACATCTGGCATGCCTAGAATGTGGATCTATCTCTACATAGGGCGGAGAGTTGCTCTTTACGAGCGAGGACTCGATGTTAGATCTCGCCAGGCTGGTCATCATCTGGTCTGGTGAACAAGTTGCTCGGGCGCGATTCGAGCTCTCTGCACTTTCTGTGGATGCTACGAGGGCCCATTCCCGCGGCGATAAGCACTCTTGTCTCAGTACACGCCGACAGCTTCATCGATTCCGGCCCAAGACGGTTGTTTTCGCGGCCTGCACAGGATCAACTTCCGTGCTTGCATTATTCCGCGTCCGCCACTCATTAAGTGCTTGATCCGAGTCTGACGTGTCATTTTCGCATCGCTCACCGATCACGCTCCAGGTCCTCGCCCGAATAATATTCTCAACCATCCTCTCATTGCGAATCAGACCTGCCAGCGATTCTGTTCTCGTGTCACGGGGAAGGTATCTCGCGCCGTACGGATCCAGCCTCTCATCTACCAGCCTTTCTCTCGCCCTCGCATCTTCGCTTTCGCGTAGGACGTGATCGGGGTCATCTGGGTCGGGCGACGTGGCTACTCCGGCACAATAGTTAAGGACATCCGAGCGGGTCTGCCATGAGGGAAACAGTATCTTGTCTTTGAAGGTCTGGCAGCCGTGTTGCGGCAGCTGTCTTCGACCGATGGGTCTCAGCTGTCGCTCTGCAGTAGTCGCGGGATCGAAAGGCGTTGAGCCGGGAGTCGCCAGAGCATTGAGGTGTTGGTTGATGGTGTCGTCGATGGCCGTCCGCGAAACGCGTAGAAAGTCTAGGGCGGAGCTTGGTATGAGCTTTTAGCTTGGTAGAGGTAGAGGCGGCACAGTGAAAAGTGGCTTTACCTCTGAGTGCAGTTTGGTTGAAGCAGAACTGCGGTGTTAGTTTGGGCTGCTCCGGCGTGGGAGGCATTATATCGATAGCGATGGGCTCGAGTGTCGTGAAGTGCAGATTCAGATGCAGATTTGCAGACTGTAGTTCTATGACGTTGTGAAGGACAGGACGGTCGCGGACTCGCGGGACGACGGAGCTCCATATATACCAGATTGTCAATGAAGAATTCACAAGCGCAATCTTTGCCCCTACAAGTTCTTTTAATATATCTT